AAACTACAAGCCATCAGGTCTGTTCAACCGCTCGCTGCTCTAGCTGCTGAAGGGAAGAACACAGAACCGGGCTGGAAAAATCAGCAACTCCGTCAAACTCACGGAGAACGCGAAAACAGCGGAGAAAGCCATCAAGCCGACGGACGACGCCGAAAGCTGCGGAGAAACACGGAGAACCGTCAACTCAAAGAGGGAGGGACGCCTCGCTCTTCTGGTGATCAGAAACTCATCTCTTTCTCTCTCTCCTTCTTCTCCCGTTTCCTCTATAGTCCAGAATAAGCAATAAAATTGCGCTATTGCTTCAAATTACCAGACGTGTTTTCCTCTTTCGCTCCCAATACGTCCGTCGGGTCATTTTGAAAGAATAAACTGCTTATTGATCATTGTTTGGTATCTTTAAATGTTTTCTGCTACGGCCAAGCAGTTAAACTAAAAAGATATAATTTGTGATTAATCTTTTGTGTTGTTTCATGATCCTTTGAAATGTTTTTGAGTGATTTAAGGTTAAGTTACTACTGATTCTAAGTGCTTTGGAAGTTAAAGTGCAAGTTGCCACCCACACTTTAGCCAGACAAAGGGGTCAGCCATCTTGTATTCAAGACTCCATTTTGAATCCATACACACGCACATACACACACACACACTACTCCTTTGTGAGAACAAAGGACCCCATTCATACATCCTCCATCACACGCAAACACATCCATCTTCAATCATATCACACGGTTATTATTCATTTATTTCATTGTTTATTCATTTGACAAATTGTTTAATTAAATGTTATAAAATTCAGATTTTTGTGTCCAGTAGCTTTGTTGTGTCGAAGAGAAGTCTCTGCTCCAAGGATGATACGAACTTCAAGAAAGACTGATAAGGTTTTGGATTCATTTCCCTTTCTAATTAAAGGGTGGTGCCCCGGAGATATCTAAGAATATCTTAATTAATTAATAAATCAGTAAATATTCCCATATTTACAGAATTTATTGAAGAATCCAAAAGTAAGTTAACGCTTACTAATTGTTCGCTACCGAATAACCCCTACACACATATCTGCTGGCAGAATACTGGCTTTTGTGCAGATTAAATTACAGTCTGTTAGATGTTGCATGTGTGATTCATGGGGTCATTTAACTTGAGGAAACTGTGATTTCTGGTAAGCATACCCTAAAATGAACAATCACAGTTCATGTTTCTCCAACATGCTAGTCAGGCTATGGGGAATCTACAATGTTTTCTGCATTGTAAAATGGTAAATGTCCAAGTCTCCACATTTTTGTCCACTTTTCATAGCTGGAGAAGCCTTAAACGAGAAAATGTCATGTGATAAAGCTGAAGGAGACTTGTCAGCTGTATAATGGTTGAATTTACATGTTATTTAAAAAACCATAAGACAAAAGATAAATATGAAATCAACCTTATGGATCTGTGGGTACTGTTTAACCAGAACATTGGAACTTTTTATTGCAGGGATTAGGTAACAATCTCATATTAATTCAGAGATAACAGAAGAGAGAGTCAAGTTTTAAAAGTTTAAAGATTTATTACTAAACAAATTAAAACTAGACTAACTTAAACACTAAATGTATGGTGTAACTATGGTGAATAAGACGGAGAACGGTGTAGTCTGGAATGTTGCTCAGAACCAGCAAATCCGAAGAAATGATTAGTTCTGGTGGGAAGTGAAGGTGATGTCTTCGCGCTAAGCTTTGGTTAGGAGATTCATAAACACATTCGAAGCTATTCCGTCGGTCTACGTACCCTTAGCAGAAGTCCCCGTCTAGATCAGGAGGTGTAGAGGCCCAGCTTGACCTTTATGGAGCCGAAGCCTGCAGAAGCAGCCGTGGCAGCCGACCACCAGTCTTGAGATACTTCCGGGTCACGACAGTTTTGTTGGCTTCTAGCGAGACCCAAAACTGGGTCGTGATGGTTTAGCTTTTATTCTGAAAGGAACCGTTGCAGCAGTTGGATCAGCAACCGATTTTATCCAGCTTGTCGTTGGTTCTTTTGGCTGAAGAGGAAAGTTACGGATTGGCCACTCCGACAACTTCTCTAGAACGCTTTGAACTGGCGTTAAAGATGGCGTGGGCATAGTTTTATACATCGGATGTTTTGGTTTATGTTCGAATGAAAAGATGATAGATTTACCAAGCACCACCAAAACCACACCTCCGTCAGATCTGGCAGATTCTGATTGGTTCAGTAAAAGCAATTTGTCGTCTCTTAACGCTACATGAGCTCAGTCCTAGAGACATTTAAAGTCATATTACTTATTATATTCTATAGGATTATAATAAAGTAATTAATATTTTCATTTCACAGATTGGTCACATCTTATTATCGACTAACACTTTGTTTGATTAGCTTTATTAAAAATAAAGTTCTTTGATTTATTAAAAGGAGAGAGTCCTTTCTTCATTCTTCTCTTGAGCTGGAAAGAAGCATTTTAGAAGCAAATGCATGAGACCTTGAGGCAATATCTCATACAGACTAGTTCTGTGTCAGAGGAGAGGGGGGAAATGACTTTTGGTGGAAAACAGTCATTTCATTCCGTTACAGCTGCTAAATGCAGCTGTAAAAATAATGTTAAAATAATGACGAATCTATGAAAAAAATAACCGGGTCAAATGTTTTTTAGAGTTGTTTTCGGGGTGTCGTTATCCTTGTGCTCAATCACTAGCATCAGAACACTACTGTGCCCCAGATTCATGAACTAAAACGGGTTCCGTCTATTTTTTTTACACCTAAAACAGTGATGCATCTCAAGATTATAGTTGTTTCAAATAGAAAGTGTTTGCCTTCTTCCCACTCATTCTCGCCACACTTTCTGATTGCTCAGACAGAGATCTGTAAGACTTTTAAGCCTAACTGCCAGTTTTGTTTCATGCTTCATTTCATGTGGCTACAAACGTGGTTGCACTTTAAAATGTTTGTGAAAATGAACCCCCCTTTGGTCTGCTGATTGAACTTGGGAGCCAAGTCAGTCCATAAAAGTCTTACATTATTTTTACTAATGTGTTTTTTGTTGTGATGGTTACAGCACAGTCTCCCGGATGTTTCTTATGACCTTAAACTAAAACCCCTATTAATACACTCCAGTTTGTTTGTTTAACTAAAACACAAACTTAAACCAGAATCTTCAGGGTATTACAAGGAACAGCCTGGTTTAGAACCCATTTTCTTTGATTCCGATGCTTTTTTTTTTTTTTTTTTTTTGCATGTTGCATTTCTTGTTTTTTTTTGTCCTTTTTGCTTTTTCCTCCCATCAGCAGCAGCCTTTGACTCTTTTCCTCTTCCATCTCTCTGCTGAGCTTTGTCTGTACTATACGTCTCCTCCTCTGTCTTCTCTGTTTCTGTTGTACTCTGTTACAGCCTCGCTGGCATTTTATCTCTCGAACATTGTTTTTGATTCCTCTCTTTTCTCCTTTGTATTGCATCTCCCTCCCACCTGTATATTCTCCATTTTGCTCTCTCTCTCACTCCCTCTCTCTCTGTCCCCCCTCCTCCTCTCACTGCTTCCCTGATATTGATCTGCATTCTAGCCATACAGCTGAACCGCCTTCGGCTCTGCAATGAGCTCACATCTCACTTCTGCCTCTGCATTTATGAGAGTGTGCGTGCAGGGGAAAAAAGCTACTCCAAATCCCCCATTTGTTTCCGTGCCATTGCAAAATGTAGCACAAAAGCAATCTTTTTTTTCTCTCGATGTCTTCAAACAACTTTTATACACATAAGTGTTTTCAGTGATGATGCATGGTGTCTTTAGCTCTTGACTTCCTTGAAGCACATTCTAAAATGCCACCTGGTCTTTTCCACTTGCCTTTTTTCTCCTGCAGCTTCCATCTTCAAACCACTAATGCTTGTCAACTTCCTGAGCATTCTCATTAGGAGGTGTCACTTTCATCACTTCTTTAAGTAAATGATTACTAGTCCTGTTATTACTGCAAGGTTAGACGCTTTATTGCATTGGTGGATTGAATTTGTAATATTTTTTGTTCAGCAGAAATGGTTTTGGTTATCTGATGTCACTGAAATATTGTCCTGTTCTGAGAGCACTGACCTACGTAGGATTCCCTTTTTTTTGTCTCACCGTCTTCCTCGGTCCTGGGTTTTCCTTGATCTAATTAGAATCTGGCTGATCTTAACTTTTGATAATTGAAGAAATTAAAACATTTGATTTTGCCATTGAATTGAGACAAACAGACTTTCAACCCTGGTTCTCCTTGCATGGTCTGAGCTGAGCCTTCATCAACCCCAAACCTTCAGGGCAAAAGGTTGGGACTTACTTTCTCTTTTATTAAGTCTACTGTTACAGTAAGAAGTTTCCTATGAAGGACATAAGAAAACACAGAAAATGAAAATTCTTAGCTTGATTGGAGACTTTCCCTAAACACTTGCAGCTTCTACCACTTGATACCATTTACAATTTTATCTTGGTTTTTAGACTTATAGTCCAAGTTTTATAGTGACAGAATCACAATAAAGTATTATACTGGGAGTGTGTGAAATAAAATGAAAGTTCTGAGTCCACATAGAGGCACCAACATTCTCCACCTTCTCAGTGGCCTAGAGGTAGAGTGTCCGCCCTGGGATTGGAAGATTAGGTTCAAATCCCAGTTGGGTCATACCAAAGACTTTGAAAATGGGGCCCAGTGCCCCCCTGCTTGACACTCACTTTTAAGGATTGGATTGGGGGATTAAACCAAAAGATAGTTCCTGCTGCAGCTCATCTCTACGGAGATAGGTCAAATGCAGAGATGTATTCACCAATGTGTGAAGATGACCAGTGGGACGTTAACTTTGGAAAACAGGTTTTAAACGTTTTTTTTTTCTCCCTGAGGAAAATCTGTTTTTGTGAGAAAAAAAATGTGCAAATTCAGCAGTTGGATATAATTTTGACTTTTAAACCACACCTAAAAGCGGTGGGACGTTGAAGCAGATGACCAGATAGAAACATAGCAAACGCTAACGCCAGTCTACATGTTTGTGTTTCTACTTTTTAGCTGGCTCTGCGTTCCCGGCTGTGTGACCAGACACGAATCGGAGAGTACCACCCCGGGCCGGTGCGCTACACACATGCGGACCTGTTCGACCCGAGCGATGACGACGACGACGACACCAATGTCCTCTTCTACTCTCCTGACATGACCCTGAAAGACAGAGGTCCTTGAGAGAGGGAGTGGGTGAAAGAGAGAGAGGAAGACAAAAGATCTGGAGGGAAGAAGCACAAAGGAGGGTCACGGCAAGCGAGAAACGCAGCGGATTAGAAACCGAGAGGGAGAAAAAAGAGGTAGGGAGGGGATGGAAGGGAAGATTGTGGGGACAGTCAGGCAGATAGAAGCCGGAGATGAGCTGTCAGGTTCCATTATTAATCCCCATCCTTTACTATTTAATATCCTTAAGACACCCACTGCACATACAGAGCAGAGATCCAGCTTTCTGCAACACTACCATCAGAGAGCTGTAATGTTAGGTCTGCAAACGGGTTGCCTCTCCGCACTAACCGCTTTCTTCTGCATTTAGCAAGCTAGGGAGAAAACAAACATTAGTTACAACTGAAAGGCAATCATAACAAGGCGTTTCACTCACTGCAATCACCTTTTCACTCTTCTGTAGGAGACGGGTTGAAAGGTTAAAAGTCACCAGCATGTAGGTCTACCATTAGATTGATCCCGGTGCTACATAATTTTCCAGCCAGCAGGGGGGAAGTTGTTTTATAGTAGAGGAGAAAACCAAAAAGTGGGTGAAACACTCAAAATAAGTTGGTATAGTGAACAAATCTTAGAGTGCAGGACACTGTTAGCATTCTGGCTGCCTTTTGCTTAATCTTGCAACATTTTATCATTTTTATTGCGATTTTTGTCTTTGCTTTTTTTAATAAAATGACCATTTTTGTGATATTGTATTTATAGACTCATTGACTGTATTTATTTAAATAATTTACACTCTGACTTTATATGTTCCTTTTGACTGAACTGTAAAGAACATGCCTCTCTTGGCTCACACTCATTCTTCTCACACAATACTGTAACTAATTATTCCCCGTACACACACCTGCTTGTTTCTAATCCCACCTGGTAACAGAATCATCCTGCTGCCTTTGTCAAATAAGCTGACACTTTTGACTTTTGACGCCGATTGCATAAGTTTACAGCTACATCTGACCAGATCAAGCTTTTCTTATATAATTAAAAACAGGATGTGAGATGGTTCTCCACCATTTTTCTTTTTTCTGTGTCTAAATTAGTGTCCTGTGCCAAACTATTGTTTTAATTATGCTCCAGTGGATTTTCTATCACCTGCTCCTACACCTGCACAATCCTCCAATATTTGCATCCAACCCTGCCTACACTTCCAGACCCATCAATTTTTTATGGGCTCTATGATCAAATATTCTTATGCAAGGCTCTATTCTAAATGCCTTAAAATGCAATCAGATCATGTTAAATATAAATATTCACATTTGAATAGCCTGCACAAAGGTCAAAACACAAATGTTTAGCCAACATTCAAATGGACTGTCCTGAAAATGGAAGAATCCTACCAAAATAAAAGCAGACCGAATAGGTCCTAACATTTCAGTTAGTTTATAAATGATTAAACTGGCTCACAATCTCACCAGAGATAATAGATAGGGGATCTCTTCACCATTCTTCTATTGTAGTAGGATACCTCTGTTTTTTAGAAATATGAATTTTCATGTTGGGTAAATATTTAGTGTAAAATCATCTCATTTATACTCAGATTCTAATTATTAGCTGTTACTTTATGTAGATTTTACTTTAACCCTTCCACTGTCCTAAAGGGTGACCCCGTGAGGAAAGTTGACCATTGAGCAGGGTTGATGGTTTGTCCCTTGAGGTCCATCTGGCAGGGGTGAGGAGTGAGCACCACCTCACCCCTGCCACGTCACACCCATTAGGACAGTGGGAGGGTTAAACATGGCTTTACCTTCTCAGTGGTCCACCCTGGGACTGGAAGATCAGGGTTCAAATCCTGTCACGGTCGGGTCATACCAAAGATCTTAAAAATGGGACCCACTGCTTGACACTCGGTTTAAGGGGTTTGATTAGGGGGTTAAACCGAGCGCAGCCACTACCAGCTCACTGCTCCCCGCGAGGATGGGTTAAAGATGTAATTCCACAAGTGTGTGATGACTAATGGGACTTTTACTTTGAAGCTGGTAAAAAGCCTTTTTGAAAATGTATTACTTTACAATCTGTAAGAGCTCAGGTGTGATTGGCAGGATGCTTTTTATTTAACCACAGACCAACATCTGGATATCTGTGTGGTAAAATAACAAATGTGAATTTTTGAGCTTTTGTGCCATGGCCAGTGTTATTTTGTTTTTGCAGAGTCCCAACCTCTGTTACGCGCCTCTCTTTGACACTGTTGATGTTTTTTTTTCTATTATTGTTATTAAAATGTATTTATTTTATTTGACTGCCAGAATCAATCAAATAAATAAGCAGAAGAGGCCTTTTTCATAAGATAGCTGAGGCTGGGTGTGTTTATTTCGTTTCCACATTGATTCCATCCCTCACTTGTGTGCATTTGTGAGAGACAGTCTCCAGCCGGACTGGCTGCTTAAATAATGGACATTAATTATGAGTGGGACAGGTCTGGCCCTAGCTTGCTTCCCTATGAGGCTAACAGGATTTTGATTAATGGAATATCTGTCCTCCAGGAAAAAAAGGAAAACGTTGTTACCTCCACGCAGCTCTCCCCTCAGACTCCTGAACATTTCCTTGCGTCCCTCTCTATCTAACGGTGCCGTGAAATAAGCGAAATCTCCCTGTCACGCATAAGGAATTATTGCTCCCCTCCTCATAACGTCGCATGTGCCATAATTGGATACAATTTAACACCCGCGGCCCACGGGCATGTCGGCAGTCGCTCTGCCTGCTATTAGCTTGCCTCGCCTCGCCACCCTATCATTAGTCAGATCTGTGTTTGTGCGCTCCTGGTGCCGGGGCTTTTATGTGTGTGGGCGCGTGTCTGCGCGCGCGCGCGCGGCTCGAGAAACCGGAGCCATTGTTGGAGTCCGGCCATGACCTCGCTGTGACGCACAGAGACAGGGAGGAGAGGAGAGCAGGCGACAGCAGCAGTCCAGCGATCCGCTGAAAAACAAGCCGTATAGCTCACTCACCTCGGAGCGTGGAGGGGGGAGGCATGCCTGAGGGGGAGTCTGGTTCCTCTGCGCTCACAGACCCGGCCGGGGTGTGTGTGGGGGAGGGTGTAACCTCCGCTAAACCCGGCTCACCCACTGTGTGGAGAGGGGAGAGCCTGGAGACCGTTAATGGAAAAATTACAACCCAAGTATTCATAATTGAGTCTTAAGTTGTTAAATGTTTTAATTAACTAGCTTTGCTTTTGGCTACAAGTTTAGCAGAAAAAATGGAAAACGCTTCGGATTTATTACGCAACATGATCCGCACCGAACAGATTTTACGCAAATCATATATTCCTCTGATTTAGTTTTCACTTTTTACTCTGACTTGCCTTTTATGCATGTATGTGCACATAGGCAGCACGAAACAGATTAATAACAAATCACGCAACATATTTTATAGCTGCTCAGCATCAGATTTGCATTCACATAAATATGGAACCACATAATGATAAATTTAAATTAGTTTTGCCTAAACTTTAAAGTACCAATCACCATGCTAACCCTACTGCTCTGACCTTGAGTCTGCGTGTTCTGCAGCTCTTGGACGATGCATCATTTTAATTATGTAAAATAACAGAAAAAGATCATGCAGCGTATACCAAGTGTTCATATGTGACCACTTCCCAAAAAAAGACACGTGTGAAAAACAATATGCAGATTTTTGGATGATAATTTATGAGTGTTGTTAGAGTTTGTAAAATGCTAGTGCCATATCTGGTTATGCAGACACACTCAGAACAACGTGTCACTCAGGCTTTTATAAATGCTGTGCAAATGTTTGGTCCTTGCTTTGCAGATGATGTCATTTCCATCCGTTTGGGGTGGTGGTCATAGTATGAAGATCTCCCCAGAATGAATAACTGCAATGCTTCATCATAAACCAAATAATGTTAAAGATCTATAACAGAAGTCCTAAAAAACGTTGCAGTTAATGCTACATTAATGAAATTGTCATTGTACCTGTTTTATAATTTGACCAAATAATATTTTTCTTTGCACTCAGATGTCACAATTTTCCAGATAAATCACATTTTGGCCCTCTGCCAATCATTTAATCTCAAATGAGACCCTCACGTAATGTGTTTACAGGTATTTTCCTAAAAAATATTCAGATCAGCTGCGGAAGCCCGCATGCACATCTGCGCGTGTCTAATGCTCCAAATGTCTAGAAACATCGCCGTCGGGAGCAGCGTGACTCTGCCTGTATATATTCTTCCTGCTTCGGGGATCGCGTGTGTAATGTGGCTGTTTCCTCGCGCGCGGGCTGATAACAGCTCGGTTGTTATGCCTGCTCAGAGCGCTGCGCAGCAGAGCGGCTCTTTGAGCGCTTCGATCCCACCCCGACAGGGTTAAATTAATCTCCCCTCTCTCTCTCTCTCGCTCTCTCTCAACCGCTCTCAACACACACACACACACACACACACACACACACACACACACACACACACACACACACACACACACACACACACACACACACACACACACACACACGCAGGCTGCCACCGCCCCAGATAACAGAGGGGCGCCTCTCCCCAGCCAGCCAGCCTCCGCTAATCGCAGTGGCAGGAGGGGGGAGTGGAGTGCCGGCGGCCTCTCACAGCGCTGGGCTTTTATTGACGCTGCCTGCCTCGCGCGCGCTTGTGTGTGTGTGTGCGTCGGAGCTATAAAGATCCGTGTGTTTATGTGTGTTTGTGCGCGCGCTAGTGCACGCTCCCCGCCAGCAGCGGAAAGCAGGGAGAGGCGGGGAACTGGGAGGGTGGGTGGCGAGGTTATGAGCGGAGCTCGACAGAGGCCGACAGAGGAAGAGAGGAGGAGGGGAGGATGAGGGAGGGAGGGAAGGGAGGGGGGGGGCAGTCTTTCTTGTGCTGCGCTGAGAGCTGCCACCGCTTCTCCTTCCTCTCAGATAAGCTTCGTTTGAAGGTTTTCATCTCTATCCTCTAATGAAAACCGATGCCGCTGTTCGGTGTCGCTGTCCGCGCATTTCGAGAACGGTGACTAGGCGGGGGGTAATGTCGTTTATACCCCCTCCCTCCCCTACCCCCCTTCTCTCTCCAAGGTCGGAATAAGACAAGTATGACTGATCGCTTTGGTTATTTTATGTCCCGGGTCCTCTGATTGATCGCATCGATGAATTTAGCAGCCTTATTGATTCGGGCTTGATCTGTAGGTCCGCGCCTCTCAGCGCTCCAATTATCGGAGGCTCTCCGTCTCTCTGCCGAGCAGCAGCAGCAGTAGTCTTTGGCTTGGAGCCACGCTCGCCCTGCCGCGCCAGGCTTTAATTATCCCCGGTGAGGCCTCGCTAACGCAGCGTGGCGCGCCTGTGGGGAACCACCCTGCAACACCGGTGGGGGCGTGTTTGCACGCGCGTGCGTGTGTGTCACTGCAGCCCTAGTATGATTAAAAATGCTATAAACTATAAATCCAGCGCATTTCACGAGCGACAATCAGACAGTCAGCGACTTTTTCAAGATGTGTTTTGCAACTAGATCAATTGATTTGCGCACGTGCCCGCGCCTGCCCGTGAGTGTTTAGGCAAGTCTCTTTCCTCCTCTGTGTGTGTGTGTGTGTGTGTGTGTGTGTGTGTGTGTGTGTGTGTGTGTGTGTGTGTGTGTGTGTGTGTGTGTGCAGTAAGCGATCCATAACGATCTGCAGGTGGATTGTGCTGATTAGTACCGGCTGCTGTGGACTGAGCTGCGTGCAAAGAGCTTCCTGCAATCTGAGCTCGCCGACAGAGTGTGTGCGTGCGCGCACGATGTTGAGTGTTGGCAGGCAGTCCTTTTCGAAATGTGAGTCAGAGTTGTGTGGCGTTGTCTCTGTTCTAGGCATAGCTGAGAAAACGCGCATTAGAGGTGTGTGCGCACATGTGAACTCGCCGTGCAGAGCGCGTGTTTGCCAGACTTCTGCTCCAGAGTCTGATTGCAACAGCAGATGGCTGGATCACTGTGACACGTGTGTGTGTGTGTGTGTGTGTGTGTGTGTGTGTGTGTGTGTGTGTGTGTGTGTGTGTGTGTGTGTGTGTGTGTGTGTGTGTGTGTGTGTGTGTGTGTGTGTGTGTGCGTGTGCGTGCGTGCGTGCGTGCGCGCGCCTTAACTCTGCTTTATTGTTTACAAGACACACTTTTACGCACAGATCCATGATAATAGGCTAATGACAGCGAAGGGGATGTTTTTCAGTCCCTGCCAGGGAAAGACTTAACACCTTAAAACCGACTTCTTCAACCACAAAGTTCACGCACGGCCATAAAAGCGCCGCAGCAGCCACCAAAGTAAAAGCTCTGAACTAGCTCTCCAGACTCGCTTTTCCGACTCTCGGAGGTCTTTTTTCCTCTGAAGCTACAGCTGTGTGCTTTTCTTTTGCGCGGCAGAAATTTGGTTTGCCCTGCGGTTTCTCGGAGCAATATTCATCTTAATCCAGTTTTCCGTGAGTGATGGAAAGAGCTGCTGCGTCTCAGAGCCGTTCAAGTCAAGGAAAGGAGGGGCAATGCGAAGGGACCTGGTGTGTGCTGTGATTTCTTTCTCCAGCCACCTTCCTGACCTTTCAGTGTGACATTAGCATGATTTTGTTTGAGCTGCTTAGGGCCATTTCCAGTATTTCACTGGGGAGAGCCTTTGCAGTGGACTTTGTAAATTTTTTCCCCTGGACATTTAGGGGAGAGAAATCTGATTTGGACCATTCAAAATCTCACCGCTGACAGCTCTAAAACAGCAGCTCTTCACAACCCTGCACTAACATAAAGTGCTTGTTTGGCTGCTGCAACTGCTCAGACTTAAAAAACATACAAATATTTAGTGATTAAGCTGACTTTGCTCCTTTTAGATGCATTAACATGTTAATCGTGATCCTGATTTAAGTTTCTGGAGTTAGACTAAACACTCCTCTCTTGGAAACGTCAGCCACATGTTACAAGTTTTTCAATAACCAAATCCAAACAGATTCATTATGCATGGAGCAAAACCCTAAACATGTAATGTACTTTCAAACGCAACATAATCTCATTTTGATTAGTGTGAGATCTTAATATTTCTGTTTTTTGCCAGCTTGTCTGGGCTCCAGACGGGTCCTAATGTAACGCATGGTTTGGTATTGTTTAATTAAGAATACATTTTGCTGTGTAATAATGCTGTGCGAATAAATCTTAGAATAAAGAAAGTCTGGCCTCTTTCGGTTTGAATAAACGATCCAATCTAACCTAAAACCAAAGCAAATATTGAATCAAATCATTGTTTTTAAACATAAAAGACACTTAACCCGCCTAGCCTGCTGGTGGTGGTCGGAGGGACCGGTGATGCCAGTGCTCGGCAGCCTCGCCTCTATCAGTGGGTAGTTGTGGCTACATTGTAGCTCATCATCACCAGCGTGTGAATGTGTGCATGAATGACTGACTGTGTTGTGAAGTGCCTTGGGGGGTTGTAGAACCCTAAGAAGGCGCTATGCAAATACAAGCTTTTTACCATTTACCATAGGAAACCCGTCCATCCCGGCTGCTTCCACAGGAAGTACATCTCACCATCCGATCACCAATGAAAGCTGGAACCTTGCTGCTAGGCCAAAAAGGAATCTTACAACAACTGTCCATCAGTTTGGAAAAGGTCAAAGGTCATTTACAAACAAAAATTATTCTACAGATTATTCATATTTTAAAAATACTTTTTGACAGTTGCCGTCTTCCCCAAGGGTGAGCATCCCAGCAGGTTTATCCCGGCGCCCGTTCAAATCCATCTATGACTCTAAGGGACTTGGTTTGAAAAAATGATAAATGACCAGTGCTTGTAGCGCCTTTCTGAGTCAGAGGTCTCTAAAGCGCTTTATACTAGAGCGACTCACTGTGTGTGTTACATGTGCATCAGCAAACCGAACTATTGCCTTAAATAGACTGACATCATTAAAAAAAATCCATGTAAACACATTAGTCTGGCTGAAGTTAAACTGGTTGTAACTGAGCTACAACGCGGTAGGAAAACGTGTGCATCTGCATGTAAACGAATCGGCTGAGTGGAAATTGGGCCCTTAAGCTGTGCTGCTGCGTTGTTTTGGGGCACATCCTGTTTTAACTCCATCTGCCTCACTCCTGCCAGTATTTGATTATCTTCTGTGTGATGCTAACCAAAAGAATGCTGACATGAGGGCGGATGTCATCACCTATCGTAGCGGAATAGAACGCTCTTCATTCGAGAGTTCGGTTTTCTAACGACATGTAAACTATAATAACGACTCCCAGTTTATTGGCGTAGATCGACTTAGAGGAGCATGCATACGCACCGACTCATCCATTCACACACTGGTGGTGATGAGCTACTCTGTAGCCACAGCTGCCCTGGGTCCCACTGACAGAAGCTAGGTAGCTGTGCACAGGCACACCAGTTCCCTCCAACCACCAGGCAAAAGGGTGAAGTATCTTGCTCAAAGTCACAACAACTGGCACTGATGGAGTCTGGATTTGAACTGGCAACCCCTCCGGTTACAGGGCAAAGTTCTAACCTATAAACCACCGTCGACTTGCCCCCCTTTGCTGTTGAAAGGTTAATAGTCAGGAAAACACGATCAGTAAAAGACAAAACTATCAAGTCTTGTTTTTTTGAGTTTGATGCATCTGAATGAAAGACGAGACTTCTGGAACATGGTCCTTTCAACAGGTTAGAGCAAAGAAGAGATGTTTACCCATAATGCACTGCTTCATGTTAAGCCCAGGCCACACTGTGCGTTTTTCAGCCATCCTAGGCAAATTTCCTGTTGTGAACAGGATTGTGACGAAAAACGGTGAGCACGATTTGTAGCTCTGGGACCAAGCAGTAATGTGATAAGCCCAGCAACAGCTTGCATTCACAACCAAAATCAGCCTCCAGCAGCCGTCAAGCAGTGACAGAAACCTACGACTTTGGTCTGCAGTCGACCAATGAAAATACACCTAGGGTGTGACACGAACTAGTGACAAGAGTACGATGCAAAAGTAGCATTAGCAATATTGGAGGCTACACATAAGAACATGTGGACCACTCCTTTTTGGAGTTCGATTCAGAGTCTAACAAAACAAGTGTTGAGGGTGGTGCTTCTTAGTATCTCTTCATTGTTGTTTTGATTATCTGTCGACTTTTAATGACATGCGCTTTTCAGCACGTATGCTTTTGACGGTAGCGTGTCCTACTAGAGCGAGGCGTCATGCAGTTTGCCGCATTGTAATCTTGGCCTGTGCAGTGTGCCGCCTCAGTGTTACAGGAAGTAGTCCTTTGTAACAGCTGAAACACAAAGTGTGTACAGGGCTCTAGTCAAAAACCAAACAATACATCAGAGCACACATTCGTTCACACTAAGTGCATTAGTGGTGGAGGGCTCATGATTTGGGCTCATGTTGCCATACCATGAGCTCCTCTGTACCAAAATAGAGTTAAATATGAGATCATCTGACAACGGAAGCTTGTACCAAACTAGATCATAAAACAAATGTTCATTATTAGAAATAATTAAAGCAACATTCGTGATTCTGTTTAGCGTTTCTCTTACATTAGTGGTGAGCTTAAACTTCTGTTTTAGGATGCGGTGATAAACTTTGACTGACAGGAGTTCCATCATTATTTATGGGTTGACAGTGATCCTTTCCTACATAATCTGTCTAGTTTTAATTCCCGATTGCCAGGGAGACTGAGGAAACAAAGAAAAGAAAGGAAAAGGTGGATCGGGGCCATTCTGTGTTGTTTTTACGACCTTGTCTTGTGTACAGATATTTCTCATCAATCTAATCACTGCTGATATTCTACTGTTGGTAGTTTTCCCCTTAGCTAATATAAATAAATAGCACTATTTGTGCATGTTTTCACTTCTGGTGCTCTTTCTGTTAAGCAGCTCAGCTGATTTTTGGACACCATGCAGGCTTTTTTCTCCAACCTAATCCAACTGTAGACAATTGGAGAGTGATGCTAGATAGCAAATATACCATCTTTCTTTCTCCATGAACATGTCCCCGGGTGCAGAGAGGTGGAAGCGTGGAACTGGACACCATTGGACCTTATTCTCATGTGCAGACGGTGCTCTGTTTTAGTTGTTTTCCCCCTGAGCCATCAACAAAACCCCCGCTGTGTCAACAGACTACTGCTTTCATGTTATTTTCTGCTTTTTGGTAATTTATTCTGAAAGCTACCTGCCATACCAATGTGAGAAGTCAATCTGCCAATTTAGGATTTTTCCTGCTCTCTGAAATACAAATGCATGAAAACAGATAATAGTCGGCCGTTTTTAAACATCAGAAAAGCCTGCTGCATGACAGTTATACCCACAAAAGCTTTTTTCCAATGCATTAACCATTTAACTGCATATTGCTTATATTAATTTTTGTGCAAACACTTCCTTTTATAGATCGAGTTGCAGTGTGAACCCCCTTCCTGTGGTTTAGCAGCTGTGGTCAAACTGCTACTCTCACTTATGAAAGGTGAAGAAAAGGTGGAGGAGCTGAGCAAACATGCCCGACAATTCACCCTGGATTTGTTTTAAGACTTTTTTTGATGCTTGACTCAGTTACTCAGACACACAACGAGGATGTTAATCTGTTTTTGAGGAGAAAACTGCAGCTTTTCTCATCCTGCTTTCATTTCACACACACAGGAAGCTATTCTCTTGGTTCTTCTGGCCTTTCAGACCAAACGTGTGGACATTTTTGGCCTTGGAGATGAGCTGGGAGCTTTAAACGCATCCATATGTGAGCGCGCTGTGAGCTTTGTGTTTATTTGTCTGGTTCAACTCCCACTTTGAACAGCTGCAGCGAATACAGCCAAACCTTCCATGTCCTATACTCCTACCCTGCTTCTGTCTGCTGGCCTTTCTCTCTTTTTTTGTCTGTTCCTCATTTCTTACACACACACACACACACACACACACACACACACACACACACACACACACACACACGCACGCGTGTGCGCATGCAGGCACATGATGCACACACCTCAGGCTTGATATTCATAGCCTCCTCCTCCTTTACTTGACATGGGAGCCTTAACAGATGTGCCCCGGCCTTGAGCTGCCTCCCCCAGCTCCATCCCCCACTCTCAGCGTGTGTGTGCGTGTGTGTGTGTGTGTGTGTGTGAGAGAGAGAGAGAGAGAGAGAGAGAGAGAGAGAGAGAGAGAGAGAGAGAGAGAGAGAGAGAGAGTGCGCGTGTGCCTGTGTTTAAAAGAATCTTATCTTTAGGACTGGAGTAAAAAATTATAATTTAAAAACAAAGAGATGTGATAACTTCCACGTTGTTTTTGGGTTTACGCAGATAAAAAAATAGTCTTTAGTTGAGTGATTAACATGAAAATAATCTAAATCCACCTTTTTTCTATCACATCATCTGACTTTTTGCTCATGTTTTCATTATGATTAGATTCACAAGCCGTTTGCGTTGTTTTCTGCTCAATTTCAACGTGAAAATCCCTCTTCTATTCCTCTTTTGGAGTTTGAGCGGAGCTCGTGTGTGTGTGTGTGTGTGTGTGTGTGTGTGTGTGTGTGTGTGTGTGTGTGTGTGTGTGTGTGTGTGTGTGTGTGTGTGTGTGTGTGTGTGTGTGTGTGTGGTGCGTGCGCGCGCAGCCGTGCGCTGGAGGCTTATGGTAATTGCGGTCTCCCGACTGGCCTTCTGGGTAGAGTCTGCGCGAGTGGAAGTGGAGCGAGTCGCTCGGTCTCGGCAGCCGACATCCATTCTGTGCGGCACTCCCGTGCAGCAGGTTCGCGCGGTGCTTACCGAGGGCTCCCCGGTTTATTGGATCCTTCCTGTTGTTTCCGTGCGAGTCTGTAAGCGAAAAGCGGGACGAAGGAGGAGAAGAAGCTGACACGGATTAAAAAAAAAACCTCCAGACGAACGGATTCCTCCGTCGGAGAGAACGCGGAGACTAGGGGCTTTTTTCCGAGGACGGCGTGCTCCGTTGAAACCCAATATGGCGCTGCTGCGAGGTACGGCCGAGCTGAATTAATTTCTCCGCGAATCCGCCGACCTCCCCACCTGTGTTGTTCCGAGCCCGGACCGAGCGGCGCCTTGACGGAATTTCTTTTTCTTTCTTTTTTTTCTTTTTTTGTGGATCTTGTATTTTCCGCTCTCCCTTTCTCTCCTCAGCGCAGGATCGTTTTTGTTGCTCTGGAAGCTCAAATGCCATATTTGGCTTAAGAAAAGTCCGTTTTTAATGTACTATAATCATGGATTTGAGTAGAAAATAGACAACGAAATCAAATCCGAGAGGTTTATAAGCAGCATTTGTTTGGTGACAAGTGGATAACCTGTTAGACACTTTTAGTTGTTTTTTTTTTTTTTTTCTTGGACGGGATCGTCTGTCTCCAGCGGACAGGACCGGAGCCGGGCACACACAAAAAAAGCAAGCGGAGGCGTGAACGGGACCAGAACTTCACACGATTAATCAGGTGAGAACAGTTTAGATGAATCAGTTTTGTTTTCCTAAACGTGTTTGTTTGGTCATGAGAAATCCCCTGCTCGGGGACAGAAAACGTGCCCTGCTCGGTCCGTTAAATGGTTTCCTAAAGCGGGTTGGAATGACCCGGTTCGGTGTGTCCTTGGTGTGTGATCTGATCCGGAAACGGAGCGTCATGTGAAGCTGAATCTGGTGCGCAGAGACCCGGAGCGGATCGGCCACTTCTAAGAATAGCGCATAGGGTGGTCTTTGTGCGTTTCGGCGGGGCAGCGGCATGTGGCTGATAAACACGCACGCACGCGCACTTACACGCACTGTGAGTTTTTAGCTGTTTTAACTGTCTCTTGTTCACCGGACGGAGGTGAGGAGGACGTCCTGGAGATGAGCGAACTTGAAAGTGGCGCTTGGTGGTTGCACGGGCTTTTGGCACCCCGTTTCAAGGGTGTGTGTGTGTGTGTGTGTGTACGCGCGTGTGCGTGCGCGCACACGGTGCTTCTGCGCTAAACGAGGTTAGAGAATCCAGCCTCGCCCTGTGGGCTACCAGAGGCGGGCGAAGCGAGCGCTGACACTCAGCGGTTCGGTTCAGTTAGAGGGCATCCCCGCGGGGTATGCGTGCGTGCTGCTGGGAAAGCGCCGTGTGTGTGTGCGCGCGCGCGCGTGTGTGTGTTAGAACAGGGTGGACGTTGATCAGTCTTATCAGACCCAGAGGTGACCGTGAAGGGGGGTGGGGGGGGGGGCGCTCACACCTTCCTGTCTGGTTGATGGAACTGGCACCGTGCCACCTCCTCCTGCATGTCTAGCAGGTGTTCTCAGGTTTTCTGTGCCAGTCTTTGATTGGGGGGGGGGGGGGGGGGGGGTAGGTCTCGCGCTCCAGTCAGTTCCGACGATCTTTTTCTCTCTCCTGAACACTCCAGAGCATCAGGACTTTTCTAACCCAATTTCTATGATGTCACCTATCTTCTGGATTCCCCCGCTGTGGCTGGCAGCGGTCACATTCTGTAGAGTTGCTGTTTAATTGCCGCGAGGCATGTTGGATGCGTTCCAAATCACTCTTGAAACAATCGGAGGCTACACGGATTTTCTGACAAAGCAGCGAAAATTCATAGAAGTTATTTGTTTATTTGTATACTAAGTTTTCACGCGCAGGTCAGCTCCTCTCCGCGGAGTTTCCCCTCAATAGCTGCGCGTTTCGGAGCCTCGCGGGCACTAATTAGGGGACGCTCTACTCTGGACGATCGATGTGCCTCATATTGGCCGGCTTCAGCTCATTGACGAGCTTATAGCGGGGGAAGCAGCTACTAAAACACCGGTCCAGCTCAGCACCCCCCCCCCCCCCCCCCCCGGCAGCCGTCAGTCCGCGCAGATTAGGCTGCAAATGTACAAGATCGCTCATAACGTCTCCTCGGCTGAGTGCGCGGATAGATTGGAGGAGCAGGACCTTGGAAAGGAGCGCGGGGGGGGGGGGGGGGGACTGTAGTGGGCTTTGAGGCGGAATGAGACCTTTTGTTGCGTTTGGATTAAACCTGGGGTTTAATTGGCACGGTGAGGTGAAGGACACCTGGAAAGCATCTGTCGTAGATTTTGTTTATAATTTTATAACACAAACGTTACGATTTTGAAATTTAAACTTTAAAACAACATTTGCTTCTTAACAAACCGAAAGTCTGTTAATTTAGTTGATTTAATGATATTTTGCGCCTTTTCTAGATATAATCTCACGTTTTGTTTCAAGATAAAGACTCACTAACAGCCTATTTTCCCCATGTGGTGCACGCTAAAGCCTAAAGCATACTTCACATTTTGTGTGGGCCGAGTTTATTTTTAGTGCGCCCCGTCGGACTGCTTTGCGCATCATTTTTCCACTGCGCGCTGTGGAGTCTGATCTGTTTTCCAGGTGTTTGCGCGCAGACGGGGGATGGCTGCTCAAAAAGGCTGTCTTTTTACATTTGAATACCTCTTCTATAATTAACCACACCAATTGCGACTCGTTTAACTGTAACACGTTTTATCTTGACTTTTAAAAGCAGCTGTTTTTAACAGTTCAGATATTTGGAGCTTTAATGGCACAATTTACAGTCTGGGGAGGTTGTTAAGGATGCGTTCATGCTAATGGGCAGGAATCAGCTCAAGGCAGCTCCAGCTCAGGGCCCGCTGAGGGCTTATTGTCATGTTGAGTGATGTGTGACAGTGGTTGTGTCAGCGTGGTGCTCCGTTGGGCGGCTCGAGGACCCGCTGCGTTCAGAAAAAAACTGGAACAACCACTCCGCCTCCATTTTAAGCCCATTAGCCTCCAGTTTACGCCCCCCCCCCTTTTTTTTGTTTTGTTTTGTTACTAATCTGGGATCAATAGGGACCACGCGGAGAAAATTACGCACGGAGAGGGAAGGAGAGAACGTCAATACAATCACCGGACGACTTTTGCTTATCAGCTCTTAATGTGTTGAGAATGGAAATAAGTGAGGGGATGGGTGGAATTAGTCGAAGGAAATGCCGGTGTTCTGTTTTATATGCAGAATGAGTCAGGATGTCTTTTTTAATATGATTCTCACTCGCTTGGAAATAAAACAACAGCCTGTGATCGCTGCCGGCGCTGCTCTCGCTGTGCTAAAGCGAGATGCGTGTGAACAAAAGCTGAGGCGCGACAGAAAGCCGCAGAGAGATCGGTTTTCCAGGCGCTGCGCTGCTCCCGGAGGAGACGTCACGGTTTGATTGAAGCTGTGCTCCGCGCTTGGCCTCCTGGGACTTCACGATGAAACTGGAGAGCCGCCCCCCCCCCCCCCCCCTTCATCTCTCTTCCTCTCTCCTGTCCCTCAGCGCTTCACAGAGCTTTTTGTTTCGAGGAGGTCTAGAGCGCACGGGTCACTTCCCCACAGAGATGGGTCGGGCCTCTGCGCCGTTTCACCAGCGCGCAGAGACGCATCCTGACACCATAAACCCGAAGTTCCCGCTCATGTCATAGCTTATGTCAGAATAGTAGTAGTCTTACTGTCGAATGACCTCTACTAGATTAGAATCCATAAAATATAACTTAAACCTCTCCCAAGATCAGATTCTTGACCCCTCCGTGGCCTATATCGGAAGATTGATTGAGCAGCAGAGCGCTGATGACACATCACCTCCCTCTTGTGCGTCTGTGCACGCACGGTCTTGATCAAGGCTCTCCGGTTGTTTTTAGACGTCGGCGCCTCGGGCATCTCTGATGAAACCCCACTGATTTTTTTGGCGGCGCAGCAGGAGAGGCAGCGAGAGGTTTATTGCGCCGCTGGCCTTCAAAGCTGGAATGCGTTTATCTGCTGTTTGGATAGAGCTCATGTTGGCCACAAAGCTTCTGAGCTGCATGGCGTTCTCCACCAGCTCCAGACTGGACTTTATTATCAATAATGTAAAGAGTTTGCGCGTAAACGTCAGATCTTAAACGTTTCTTGGAGTGTTTTCAGATTAAAAAAAAAGGCTCCCAAACAATTTTCAAAATAGATCACATGAAAGCCGCGACAGCATTTCTGAAACCAAATCCGGTCAACTTCTCTTTTACAATCGGGTGCTTTGGTGGCATAAAGAGCCATTTAGTCCTCATTTGGCCCGGGATGAATGGAGTCAGTTCAGCGTTCGCCACCCGGGCCCCAATGACAGCACAAGGGTGATGGCGTGGGGGTGGGAGTTGGGGGTGGTGGGGAGAGCACAATGTCCCCGTTGTTGGTGACCGTGCTGCCGGAGGGGGGATTAAACCGTGCACCGACTTGCATGCGGCTGTGGAGCGGCCGGGAGGACGCAGGGGCCCCCTGTTTACAACTCGGTTGCTAATAATGTGACAGCTGAAGAGACGCCGCCATCTCCCTCCAGCTCTGCGCGCGCTCAGTGTGCGTGTATGCGGCGCCTCTCCCTCTCTGTTAAATCTAAAAATGAGAAACAGCTTGTCAACTTTTCACAAGGTCCTCGTTGTGATGATCAGTTGGACCATTTGGCACGCGTCCGCCTGATAATCGATAACAATTAAAATTGAGCTAGCGTTCCCCCACCCCCTCATTATGATGCTGGTTGTTGATGCTGCTGGTGACTGGCCTGAGGCGGAATAGATTGCAGCCATGAACGCTCATCTGCTCCTCTTGATTTCCGTTTTGTTCACCTGCAGCGTGCGTAAAAACGCCTTTTCCATATTTGTTGTGGAAGGAGGAGGACGCTTGCTTGGTGGTGGTGTGTGTGGTGTGTGTGTGTGTGTGTGTGTGTGTGTGTGTGTGTGTGTGTGTGTGTGTGTGTGTGTGTGTGTGTGTGTGTGTGTTTAATCCGTGTTTATCCTCACCCCACCCTCGTCTCTGCGGAGATTATCCTGCGTCACAGTGCATTTTTTAGAGCTGATCGGCGCTCTGCGCTTCAGAGAGCCTGGCAAAGCTCCAAGGACAAAGAGCAAGGGCTCATGGTTAGACCGTAGACCTACATAAGACCCGCACAGCGACTCTGGCCAACTTTAATAACGGCAAAAAAACGAAACCGTTTCTTTTACTCTGAAGTTTGTCATTTTGGTCAAAAATCCGCTTGTGAATATAAGTGGATCTTTAAATGGTGACATCGGGCCACGCAGAACCTGCACAGGGAGTAGAGGGGCCTCCGCCGGGGAGGAGATGATAAGCTGTGTTTGTTTTTGTTTCCTCACCGCGGGTCAAGAAGAGTTCAAGTCTTTGTCACTAGAAACGTGAAACAACAAAAACCACGGAGACGGTCTGTTTTTTGTCTCGTTTCTCCTTCTTTAACCAGTCACCACGTTGTCCTCGTTTACACATCATCCCTTATGAGAAACAATGCAGTAATAAAGCCCGGTTCCGCCAACCAGCCCGTGGTTTTCTGTTTAATTGTGCGAATCGGAGCCGCGCTCAGTGGTCTAAATTCTTTAACGCAGCAGAGACCGCTGCAGCCCCTCTTCCTCCCCAGCCTCCTCTTTCCTCTCCTGCTGCTGCTGCTGCCGACCAGTGTGACGGATTGGTTGGCCCTCGGGAGTTGTTTGTTGCCCAAACTATTCTTAGCTGCAGGGATGGGCGTGGACACGCTGCATTTTCCTCCACTCCTATCGGTCTCTCTTCCTCTGTCCTTCCACTGGTGGTGTGATATTATGTTCGGATTTCGGCAGCAAATCCTCAGACAGCAGACTTACTGGCTTCCAACTTTGGACATTTGACACCCCAAAGGCTCCTGTCTCACTGCATATAGGCTCCACATTATTGATGTTAGATAGTCGATATTTCCAAAACACTCACATACAACATCAAAGTTATACAATATATTGCAAAAACTTAAACGTAATCATCCTAATATACTATTAGGATGACATTTCAGTTTATGAAATAGTATATGAGCCTGGAAGAGAAAACTACATTTGATTTATTTCCTGCAGACCATGCAGCTGTTATTAGGTCCTCTCACCTGGCCTTTGACCTCGGCACCTTGCCTGTTTGTGTTTATGTCAAGATTTTTGTCACTTTTTATGCATTAGAGCTTAAAAAACATGTGTAAATAAATCATGCAGAATTTCAGACGGCTAACAATTTCCTGGCTGACATGGGGGGTCGGGGTTAGTAGCCCTAACCCTAGGCAAAATAATGGTCTAGATTCTATTTTGGTAAAACAAGGAAGAAAATGTAGTAGCATTAGGTTTTTCACATGGTCACATTGAAATATTTATCTTTTCTATGGCATTTTACATCATAATTAAGCATTTTTATCCTATTTTGCCCACTGTCCCTCTCTCACTGTTTTCTCCCAAATCCTTTCAGGAAGCAGAGTGCACTGTTGAACATCTATACACTTCAGCTCTAGCTTACATCAAACTGAAAGTATAGGGTCTGTTTACCATTACATTTATTGAAATAACATAAAAATAATACTGAGCATGGTTGCCGTGGGAACCCTAATGAGCCACAAACTGCAGTCTTAACATTTTTGATGTTTGCTCTCTTTATTTGTATTCTCAAAATGTAGCCTGCGTGTTCATATTTAGATTTTTTTTCTGGCTTATTTTTATTAAGCTGCGTCCAAATTAAGTTTACAAAAAGAACAAATGACGGGTGCGTTAGGCGCCAGTGTTTGTTGTAATTCTGGAAGGTGACGGTCTATAAAGGTTATTATGAAGTGCGCTCGCTGCAGTACAGGAAACATGACAGATGGGATTTCTGAACAACGTCTGCGCTGATGCGAAACGCACACGTGGGCCGATCGTGCGCGCGCTTGTCGCGCCTTCACCCACACGCACCGTTTCAGTTCCGTCGGATGTTGTTGCAGCAGTACTGGACACGGAGAGCTGCGGGCTCTGTGGAGGAGACGGGGGAGGATGGAAATGCTAAGACGGGGGGGGGGGGGGGGGGGGGGCGGTGTGTGTCTCAGCAGGCTGATTAATGTGCCCCGGGTCACCGCAATAAAAAGTGGCATGCCAGCGGCGCAGCGGCGAGGTGTTTTGCTGCAATGATGGAGGAGTTTCTTCTCTGCTGCTCTGAGCACCGAGGAGCACCACAAAGCTTCTATTTTTCTCTTTAAAGCCGTTTGAATTCGTCTGCTTTCCACTTCCTCCCTGCTGCTCCAAAGCTGCCTTTTAGGAATGTCCAAACTAAAGCGTGACCAAGTCAAGTTTGAGTTATTCTGTTTGGACAGAAACTGCTAAGAGGGAGATTTCCCCACATTTCTCTCGTTTTGGTGGTTTTCTGAAATTAGACGAAATCACACGGACAGTGTAGTGGTTGTGTCACTTCAGACTGATGAAAACCAAATTTATCACCCTTCCTTTTTTATCCATATAACTAAAGTTCCGCTTAAGTCGGTTTTTCTTATTTGACCAGCTTCAAACATTTTTCACCTTTATTCCTCTAATATTCACCTTTTCATTTAAATTGTGCATTAAAAGCGGAGTTTCTCTGTTCCATGCAGTCTCTCATCTCCTGCATGTTCTGCTTTTTGAACGTGAGTTCTGGTGTGAGGGTATTGTTGATCTGTGGCTCCGTGTTGGCGGGTGGTAAATGGTCCCCCACCGAAGTGGTCTGCGATGCATAATTTTCCCCGCGCTTCGCTGGCAGAGGCAGCCGAGAGAGTAGGTCAAAGAGGGCACAGAGGAACCAGTGTGCGAGGAACGTGACTGAATAGATGCGGCCCCACCGTGCTTGTGTAGCAGATTGGGGGGTGGGGGGAGGGGGTGTTGACGGATGGGAGCCCACGGTGCTACAGCAAACGGCGCCATTGTGTTTGCCTCCTTCTTTTACTTTCAGCACACGGTCTCAGTATTTTGTTTCTAAAATGTGCAAACCTTTTTAAAAGTGACAATTCTAAGTTTTTGCTAACTGCAGCATATCTGTACTGTGTGTAGTTGAGAGCCAAGCCACTGACTGTTAACTGTTTGCTCATCTCCACAGGGCAAACATCTGTTCGTGATGTTGATGCTGAGGCACAAACCAACCTGGAACTAAGACAAGGAAACCACATCACACAAAACATGGCAAGTTCCTGTGTTCCTTCCTGTGATTATACTCATTTGTCACATGAGTCACCCTAGTTTTGAAGGGAAAAAAAGTTGGCATGCTTCTGTTGCATGCACACATAAATGTGTCTCCGGCTGATGGATTTCTGTGCTAATAAAAACATTCTTGCTCTTTGCTGCAGGTGGATGCACGGTTAACCCCCTTGGCAGCGATGGGGCTGGACCGAAGCACTCTGATTCACGATGGCCTTCGTCTCCACAGTGGGGTTGTGTACCCAGGGATCAGAGCTCTGCCAGGGGAAAAGAGTCGCGAGACCCCCACTCTCCCGCTGAGTTACAATAGGGACGGCCTTGCAGAACTAATTTATAAGCCTGATGCTTCCCTGGACAGTCGCAAGCCCTCAAACGGGTACCTGGGCCTGTACAAGGGAACCCATCCAAGTCTTCACAAGTCTATGCTGGTTCCTGGAGCTGAGAGTCTAGGTATGGAGCGCAGAGTTGGGCCTGGAGAAAAGACATCAGAGCTGGGTTTGGCTGGCGCTGGTGGGAGCTATCTCCGTATGCCATGGCTCAACCCCTACCCTGAAGCAAACATGTTCCCCTTTATGGACACGTCCAAGTATGCAGCTCTAAACATGTACAAAGCTTCGTTGCTTAGCCAGCCCAGCCCCTATCTCCCACAGCACCTGCCCTACCCACCTTTTTGTGCAGCCCAGGGGGCCAACGTCACCTCTGCTGCAGCTGTTTCTGCTGCCGAGAGGCTCTATTATATGCCTCCCTATCCGCCCGCTCCTATTTCTTCTTCCCTGGTGGCTCCTCCTATGAGGATTCCTACAGTCACTGTGGCCCCCACGTCACTGGTACACTGTCAAGACAAAGGGCTTAGTGTTGCACCTCCATTTGCACAGCAGCTTCACCAACCTCATCCTCAGCACCATCAGGCAGCTATGGACAGAGAACGATCTCCAAACAGGAGCAGCAGGCCAAGCAGACCTCCCTCTAGGAAGAGCACAAACAACAACACCAATGCCAGTGGCGCCACCACTAGTGGCACCAGTGCTGAGAATAATAACAGTCTGCCTGCTGATTCTTCTAACATTACTGCTTGCCTCCCTCAGCCTCCTCCTATGCCGGCTCGCCTTGACAAAGCACTGGATTTACAAAGACCAGTCGCTAGGATAGGACAACCGCCCGCCTCTTCCACATCTTCGGTATCTGCATCATCTTCCTCCACGCAGCCCATTCCCCATCACTTCTCGGTCAGCAGCATAGCATCTGATCAGCCCTCCCCGGCCCGACCAAGCACCCACAAACCCAGGCAAAGAGATGGGTCCTCCGATCAAAGAACTGCAGGGGAAAAAGTTCGCAGCAGGTCTCCTTCCAAAGCGAATTTTGAGAGGCCAGCTCATCAACCCCAAGCAACCAAAGAATCAGCAGAGAAACCTCTAGATTTGTCTGGACGAATGATGGACTTTGGGCTACCTGCCAATGGTTTCCCAGTTAAAATGGACACAATGGCATCAAGTGCACGTTATGGACTTCCCTCTAGCAGAGAGCTTCTAAAAGATAATGTGTCCCTCTCTCCGTCCTCGCATTCTCATCCTGTCGTCAGCAGCACTTCCTCAAAGGTCTCAGAGAGACCAGAGATGATCAGCACTTTACATTCATCCTGGATTGTACCGAGCCAGTCTTCTTCCCACACACAGCACACTCCAGGTTTGCCACCTTCTCCGAGGTCCAATGTGGAGCTGGGTCTTACACAAGCTAAAGGCTCTTCACCCTCCATCAAAAACAAGGGCCTGGAGATGGTTCTCCCTCAGCAAAGAAGCTCATCCTGTCCAAGGATTGGAGAGTCCAACCACAATGTTTCAACTTCTCAACCCTCTGGCTCCTCTTTGATAAGCTCCAGGCCTTTTTCTCCCAAACCTACACCAGAGTGGGACAGCCCCAGTCAGACGGAGCATCACAGAGAGGGAACAGAGAAGTCCTCTCAGGTCACTAAGAGAGGTGAACCAACTCCAGATGTGTCTTCTTACAAGAGGCCATGTTTAGACAATGGTCATCCTGCCCATCTTTATCTCCCTCAAAGTGAATCTTATCTGAACCACAATTTGGCTTATGCCAACAGATTTCTGCAGTACCCTATCCCAGATGGCATGGCTCTACACTCTGTGCCTCTATCGGGGAAAGGCCCTGTTTACCCCCCTTCAGTGCTGCTGGGTAACAACAGCATTTATCCAGCTCACTTGGCAGCAAAACACCCATTATCATACCATAACCTCCCAGCTGGTCCAGGAGGGGAATACCTCTCTTATAACTCGCAAAAAATGGCCCATCCGTTAATGCAGATGCACCCTGACAACAAGATACCAGAAAGGGCCGATGCAACACTGAAAACCAGAGGACAGGAGAAGTCCCGGGGGACTGTGGATGAATGTGGTGAAGGTAACCAAATGAGGGAAGGATTGCAAGGACAAGGTGGAAGTCAAAGCAAAAATGTCTCCTCATCCACTGCGTCAAGAGAAAAGATTGTTTGCATTGACCTTGTACACTCAGACACAGACATTGAGTCTACCCCACCAGTACACAAACAGCCTCCTGCTGACGTTTGCAACAAGGGTAACCAAAATGAATGTCATTCTAACCAAAATATGACAAAAACTGATTGCGAACCAAAAAACCAACCATATCCAATTCACTCGGAGCGCAACTCCAACCTAAAGCTGAACCACACCGATGGACCCCAGCAACCCCCCACTGGGAAAGCAAAGGTTCTCCAGGACACTGTAGCGAGCTCATCCCAGCCTTGTTTAGGGGAGGTCTCTCAAGCGGAGGACAGCTCAGAAGAGCGCAGTCTCAGCCCAGATCCTGAAGACCAGGACCAGAGTACCTTGCGCTGTGCTCGTACCTCAGGAGAGCGCAGCTCTGGTAAAGACAAAAGAGACCAGGACAGTGATGGTCTTCATTTCACACAGCACAGCGCAAGGGTGCTGAAGGAGTCTCTTCTGGAGGGAGTGTGCGAGGCTGAAAAAGAGGACAGTATTGTTGATTTAGGGGAGTCGCACGGAGAGGGGGATGACGAAGAGGAAGAGGGTAGCCATTCTTCATCTAAAAACTCTCGTAGATCCAGCCTTGCCAAGAGGATTGCCAACTCTTCTGGCTACGTTGGCGACCGTTTTAAATGTGTCACAACAGAGCTGTATGCCGACTCCAGCAAGCTGAGTCGTGAGCAGAGAGCATTACAGGTAAGTCCAGAAACATTCAACCTACATCTTTACTTCTCTGTAATGCGGCTGGGTAAATCTGGTAGCGGACGTTGGAGCACCAAATCTTTTACTAGCAGACATCAGAATAATCCAAGACTTTACCCCACATGGCTAAACCTCTTTTGGGCTACTTTTTAATTCCTGTTGGTGCTGTAATCAGATCCATCTGTGGAGATTGCATGAAATCTTTGCATTTACATCACAGTAAAGAATCTGTGCTGTCACGCTGCTGTCCTGGCTCTAGGTTTGTCCCTTTAGTTTATCATTGTCTTGATTTTTAGACCCCCATTCCTGAATGGCTGGTTCAAAGGTTAAACAGGACTGCCATCTCTGTATGTTGATTAGTGTGCAGCCATCGTAAAGGTCATTCTGTGTGTTTGTGTGTCTGTACGTGCTCGTCCTTGTGTGACTGCCTTCAGGCTGAAGCATGTGTTCGTGCTGACTGTGCTATGAAAACATATACAGTGGCTTCGGAGCATGACTGTGGCACCCTCACAGATCAGGTCGCCTTTGGCTATGCTTAACCCCAAGGTTAGGGGCATTTGGGTCCTTGCAGGGAGCTTAACAACCAACAGCTGCCATTTTGGGGGTTCCTCTTAGGCTTTCTGCGTGTGTACCAGTAACTCTTCCCCCCCTTAACCCTCCTCCCTCAGACGGCCCTGCCTGGTTGCTTTCCAAGGTCATTGTGCTCACCCTGTTGGCTAAAGGACCTTGTCTCCTAACACACATCACATGATCTTTATAAGCTAAAACTGACACGCTCCTCCACTGTCATTCATTCACACAGACTGAGTCGCTCATTTTAGTTATCAGCCGTTATCTCCGGGGTTCCGTATGTTCAGCGCTCCAAACCACAAAGGGACTCTGTGCTTTATTACCTGCTGGCTCTGAGGCAGATCTCCTAATAGGTTGCTCATGTCTGTCTACGTTGTGAATGCATTTGAGAAACTGTGGTTTGTGTCATGCATTTCACCTCGCAGCTGCAACAAAGCTATCAAACTTGCATTTCTGTGACTGTTAAAAAAATCAAACGAGGCTTGTTTACACACACACACACACACACACACACACACACACACACACACACACACACACACACACACACACACACACACACACACACACACACACACGCACACACACGCATGCACGCGCGCGCACACACACACACACACACGCATGCACGCACGCACACACACACACACACACACACACACAGCAAAAGTGTCTTTACACAGTTGGCAGGTCTCATTATTTCACATTTCAAAATTTTTCAGGAACGACTTTGAAAGGTTTGATGCAGTTTTTGTTCACCTGTTTATTTTTGATTGTGTCATTTTTATTTTTGTGGGACTGGCTGCTTTTTGTGTGTGAAGAAAAATGTGGAGAAATACGTTTATTTACTTTAAATTAAAAAAATGAAATGCTGGACAGATATATTGAGCCCCCCTCGTTCTAATTGCTTAGATGGAAGTCTTATCACGAGAGGGGAGTAATATAAGCCAACCTGCAGCTAACTGGGAGGTCAGTTCTTTACATTTCTTATCACAAATGTCTCTGATAGGCTCTGTCTCCTTTATGTATTCTGTATCGCTGCACACTCCTTCTCTTGCCTCCCTTTCCCCCCATCTTTTCCTCCTCTCTCTGCCTCAGGGCTTAGATGTATATGTTTCCTAGCCATGTTTATGTTCCAGGAAGGGAGATGCCAGGACTTGAGCCCCAGAGCGCATGGACTCACAAGTGGCTGCACTAGTCTAACCTGTGTCTTGATGCCATGCTTGTGATTTACCTGTCCTCCTTTTTGTCCTGTCTGTGTTTACATGGGTTTGATTTCTTTTGACATTTTATTTTCTTTCACATTAAGACAATGCAATTTCAACTTTGTAGCTGTTGAGGCCAGATTGAGGCTGAGAGAGGTGTGTGTGTGTGTGTGGTGTGGGTAGATGAGTGGTTTTCATGGGTTCCTTTCTGCGTTTTTCTTTTTCTTGTGCGTGTGTGTTTGTGCAGCGGGCAATGATGCGGTTCTCCGAGCTGGAGCTGAAGGAGAAGGAGGGTGGCGGCGGAGTGTGTGTCTCTGCCTCGGCAGCAGGACGGGAGCTGGCAGACGGCCAGCGCAGACAGCGAATGCTGGAACACTGCCAGCACACCACCAGGCAGGCAGAGAGGGAGGGTGAGTCACACACACACACACACACACACACACACACACACACACACACACACACACACACACACACACACACACACACACACACGCCACACACACACGCCACACACACACACACAGACAAACAATAGGTGCGCGTACACACTTGTTCACGTGCACTTGCAGCAAACGCTGAGGCAACACCGGGGTCACTCTAAAAAAAGACACTCCTCTACACAAACACAACTCTTCTTACACAAGCCGAGTCGGCCGATGAGCGCGCTGAGGGAGACGGCGAGGGGGAGTTTTGTTTTCAAGAAGCCTTTTGTGCTTATCTGCGCTGAGGGACGATGGGGAGGGAGGGTGAGGAGGAGGAGGAGGAGGGGCAGAGATTGCGTGAGTGAAAGCAGAAGGATGGAGGGGGGGGGGGTAGCGGATGGGAGAGCGCAACGGAAAGAGGAGGCAAAGCGGAGAAGGAGGAGGGGAGGTGGTTACATTGGCTGGGAGCCCAGCTGTGTGTTGGAGCGAGGCCGCGGCTGACGTGTGAGCCTAATTATGGCGTGGAGAGACACAGGGAGAGGGAGTCAGGAGAGACACGGGGGAGGAGGGGGGATAGAGTCACGCTCTGTGTGAGAAGGGCGTGGCTCGGTCATGCCGTGGGGGAGGACAGAAAGGGAGAGGGAGAGACTGGCGCTGCTTCTGCTGGAAGTGTGCGAACCACCAGGCCGCTGGCTCAGCTCACATCAGATTAAAAACTCTTTACCCCATCAAAGTTTTACTGCCTGCCTTTAAAGAAGAATAAAAGCAGGCTGCTGTTTAACTGGCGCTCTCCTTCTCCGTCAACCCCCCTAACCTCACGCCCCTTCTCCCCGTCTGTCTGGTTTGTGGTCTGTCTGCATTCCCTCCTTTCATCTCCCTTGGCTCACCCCCCTCTCCCTTCTTGCCCTTGTGTTTTGCTCAGGTGTCCGTCCAGCGTACACAAACAACCGAGTCCCAGTGCTCCAGAGGTGTGGGGGCCAGAGGGAGCCTTTGTCCCCGGCTCACGAGGCCCAAGATGGAGCCAGGAAGGCGATGAGAGAGTCTGAGGAAGGTCTTTGTATGCCACCCACTCTGACACTGTCCAAAGGATTCCTGGAGGAAAAGGTCAGCCCCGGCTTCGGACCCACCAGGAAACGCCCACTCATCGTCAAGGCGGAGCAGGAAGAGTCTCAGGATGGAGATCGGCAATCCCACCCAGAGAAGAGGGCTAAGCTGTCTGCGGGTTGGTGCTTCTGTCATTGTGTGATGTTGTGCCCTGTTTCATCCCTCGTTTCGTAAAAACACCATCCCTCCATCCTAATCAATCCCACCTTAATCCTGCTCCATCGCAGCCCTTCCCTTTCTCTGTCCTGCTTCTCTCTGTGTGGCAGCCAGCTCGGAGAAGTGTTTAATCCTGCCTTTGAGCGGAGCACGCTGGAGGAACGAGGAAGAGAGGGACATCCATTCTTTCTCTCTCTTTCAGCTCTGCTGCGCTTACCCGCCCTCTTCAAAGCCACTGTCTTTTTTCCCCTTCTTTCATCTTTTTTCCCCTCATCTGTTTGGGTTTCCCTTTTTTTTTTCTTAGTCTGGCATGCAGTGTCGTGCTTGCTCTCCACACTGGCAGACAAGTCAAACATCCATCCCCTGTGAATTTCAGGGGGGGCAGAAGGCTGCCTCCGGTCTTTATTGCTTTGTTTCTCTGCTCGTTTCTGAACTTCCCTCCCTTTTCACTCCTCATTATTCTTTTTAAACCGCTGCCTCTTTTGCTCGAACGTATGGCATATGGATCAGGTCATTAATGGATAATTGAAACTTGAGTTTTCTTCCAATTGTTGCATCGAGATAAATGCAAGTTTGTGTTTTAAAACCTAGAACTCTGTAATATGTTTGATTTGCGTTCAGCTGAGGGTCCAAATTAGTTTAAAACTTCTGCAAAAACCAAACTAAGTGATTCAATGCCGTTAAATGTCCACAATATCAGCTCATTGAAAGGAAACCTGCTTTTTCTTAGTACTTTTTTCAGAATTGCAGCTGTAAATGAGAAGAAACCCGATTCTGATTATATCCCTTCATCCCCAGGTGAGCACGAGCAGGCCAGCCCCAGTGAGGATGACGATGAGGAGGTGCGAAAGCTGAAGGTCTGCATCGAGCTCAAGGGACTTCGACTGAGCAAGCCCGCTGTGGGAGCTGCTACTTCACCTGACGGGTCACAGGTCAAACTAGAAAGGGCATGGTCCCAGCCCCGAGTGTTGAACCCGGCCCAGGGTCAACGGGAACGCAAGATCCGTCCGTCCGACGCAGAGGAGCGAACGGCCGCACACAGGAACGACATCAACAGGAAATGGTGCTGTGAGAAGCTACTTAATGGTGAGACTCAACCACCAGCCGCGCAACCTGCTGCTTGTGTGCTCCTGAGTTCAGCTGGGGTAACGGAAATCTATCTTTGGCTCACGTTTCACTTACTTGTTGAGCAGACGCTTTAGGGGGATTTCCCGAGAGCAGTCGGAAAGAGACGAGGGGGAGCAGAGGAAATGAGTTCGGGGACTCTTCCTCCTGCTAGAGGAAAGAATGAGAGGTTAGCTTAAACTCGAGCTGTACCCTCTACACCAACTGCTGTTTTTTAAATTTATTTAATTTTTTATTACTGTTCAGCTCGACTATTTAAGGAAAATGAGAGGAAGTGATTAGTGGAGAGTCGTGCAAGTAGGTGACGTCTTTCATCCCCGCTCGGTCCCTACAGCGGGAATGTTTTGTTTTTGCTCCAACTTCCTGGTTAGATTCAGTCTCTGTTCACTGTGACGTAATAATTCAGTAGCCCAGAAAAGCCCTCTCTATCTTGAAAATCGTCCTATAGCTTTTTTACTCAGTAGTGACACCTACTGTTAGAACAGAGAAACTTCATTTTTCGGCCAAAGAAGAACAGCGTCAGAGTTGTTGGTGATGATCTCAGCATCCCGCAGATGACAGAATATTTTATCCAATCACAAACTAGATGCTCATTCTCTCTCCTTTAAGCGGTTTATTACATTAGGGAATAAAAGTTTTAATACGATGTAGAAACTAGATCACACACCTTAGACTACATCCTTCAGAACATAGGACATATTTAAAAGGTCATGAGTCATAAATGTCTGGATTTATTAGTTATTATTATTTTTAAATAAATGTGAAGAGCAGTTTAAAATAACCCCCTAACATGTCTTTTCTCTGAATCAGAGCATGTACGCTGCTACAGGAGCGTGCGTGAGCCTACACTGTTCATGCTAATTCTATTTATTTTATTTGACGTTTTCCCCGCCGCTGGGCGAGCAGGCACGTGCTTCCAGACAGCTCTCTGTGCTCATTAATAAACCAACAGAGTGTCAGCGATGGCCTTGCAGTACCTTCCTGTCGTCCTCTTCCACTGAGCGCCCTCTCTCTCTTCCTTTTTCCATCCTCCCCTGTTCCAGGAGTAGCTGCTCCTGCCCTTCCCCCCGGCCAGATGAAGGACAGAGTGCACCAGCCAAACCTCTTCTCAGGTGACCATGGCTTGAAGGAGCCCAGGAGGGGCCCTCCCTCCCCGGCCCCAGAGATGTGCGTGGGAGGCACTCCTCCCCTTAAGCCTCGTCGCCATAGTGACGCGGACAAACCCAAGGGCAAGCGGCCGTGCAAGACCAAACACACCAGCCAGAGAGAGAGAGAGCAGGAGAAGAGGAAGGAGGCCGCGAGGCCGAGCAGCACGGGCCAACTCGCTGTGGCTGATCTGGGAGCAGCAGAGGATGACGAGGTGAGTCCTGGCCACGGTGCAGGCATCTGGATGTTTGCAGCAGCTTAGTTTGTTTCAGCGTGCCTGTCGGCGCCTCTGATTATGCAGCTGGGAAAGGGAGGGAGGGGAGGGAGGGAGGAACAGAGGAAGGAAGTATGTTTACAATGTTCAGAGGGCTGCTGGAGCTTTGACCTCCCCCTGCCCTCAGCGGCTCCCTGTAGAGCGCGTGCGTGCGTGCGTGCGTGCGTGTGTGTGTGAGACTTAAATTGTCAAACTTGTTTCATTCGTGCAAGTTTAGCGTGTGTGAGAAAGTCTGTGCGTTGGTGAGCATTCCTGACAATGAAAGAGCCCAAAACCATCACCCATCGGTCTGGAGTGAGCCGGAGGAATGCGGCAGCTGAAGTGGAGCACGTGAAGTTCAAAAGGAAAGAAAAGGAGGGAAGAAAAAGGAGTAAAGTCGTTTTCCGCTGCGCTTCTTCCGTCCCCTGCTCAGCCTGACAGCTGCTTCGACGCGGAATTCCGTGGAGAGGATGCGCGCCGCTCGCGCGAGCTCACACAGTCTGTAGACGGGCGACTCCCGCTTTGGTGTGACGCACTCGGAGGGCTCTGTTGGTTCAGTGATTAATGAAAAGCAGCGAGCCAGCCTGCAGCGTTAGGGTGTGAATGTTTGGTGTGGAAGTTCTTCCTTTTGTTGATGCATGATGCATCCTTCAAACGGCGAGTCGCCGAGCTGAATGCTGGCTGGGAAAAGTTATAACAATCAGATTAAAAACATAAAACGTGTCTCATGTCTCAAACTCAAACCAGGTGTGTGTGTCCCGTCTGCTACGTGGCAGCAGCTCTCACACTCCTCTCCCTGTCTCTCCCACTCTCTCCTCAGCTGACTGAGCAGCGCAGCGCTCCGAGGAAGAGAGCCGCCTCTCCTAATCATTATCCCAGCTCTCCGCTCAAGCCCTGCTCACCCACTGCACTCTGTCCGCCCCCCTTGCAGCTCCAGGCCAACGGCAGAGCTCCACCAGAGGCAGCGGGGCTGCACAGGAGTCCCCCTCCCGAGCCCTCACTCGTGCGACCGATCCCGCCGGAGGCTCGGAGGCTGATAGTGAACAAGAATGCCGGGGAGACCCTGCTGCAGCGAGCTGCGCGGCTCGGCTACGAGGTAATGGGCTTCACTCAAACTCATCCTCCCTCCTTATCTCGCTCTCATTCTCTCCCCCTTCTGCTCCATCTCCTCCAAATCTTTACTCTCTTTTCTTAAATTGAACTCATTTTCTTCCCGTATTTTGTTCCTGTCTGCGATTCAGGCAGACGATGCGTGGCTTTTTTATTTTGGAGGATTCTTCAGATTTTCTCTCTTGCATCTTTCGTATTCTTGCTCCTTTTTTGCTTTTTTATATCATTTTCTTCTATCTCACAATTTCTTCTCATGTTCCATCCTATTACTCTTCTCGCTAGTGTCTCTCTCTCTCTCAGGTTTCCACCGTCTACCCTCGTCTTTCCTCCCGGCGCTCTCCCTCTTCCTCTCTTTGTGACTCAGATTGTCGTTGGCACCCCCCTCTCCTCCTCCGTCCTCCTCCTCCTCCTCACATGTGCGCTCGCTTGCTTGCACACACACACACACACACACACACCACGCTGCCTCTCCTCTCCTCCCCTCCCCTCCCCTCCTCTTGCCTCGCACCGCTCTCACATCTCATTACTTCTCTGCAAAGCGAAGTGTGACACACATGCAGGCACACACAAACGTGCGCAGGCAGCATGAGGGATCGCTGAGATCGTTAGATGGAGACGGATGCTCGCTTGCCTCTCGCCGGCATTAGGGGCTTTCTTTTTTTTTTTTTTAATCTCTGCCTTTCTTTGAGTAGCTGCCGATCATTCGCTCCTCAACCAGATACGCTTCTTCTCTGCACATAAGAAAAACACAAAAAGGAGCAGAGTTTGTGTTCTCAATCGCTCTGCTCCCATCACTCTGAAGGCTTTTAATTAAACTTGGATGGCCTGCTGTCTTGTTCTCCCTTGTGCCCTAAACGTTTCCCACCTCAGTGTTGACAGATTTTGCAAATTGATTTATTGATCTCACCAGTTTCAGCGCCACGTCGAGCTGCAGCTTGTGTCGTGTCCACTCCGTGTGTGTTAGTGGCGTTCTTCATGCCGGGGTTTCAGCCACTTCTCGTTCTTAAGTTGCTTTATAGTTGCGTGTGTCTGTTGGACACATTTATGATGATGAGGGGAGTGTGCGTTGGTGATTATGCATGCGAGGCTGAATGGGAGAGAGCAGGAGTGTGAATGAGAGGTAAGCACTGGGAGTATAATCGCGTTCTAATGGCCCTCTAATGTGCCGTGGTGACTGTGGTTAGCAGCAGCAGCAGCGGCGGCTGTTTTTCTCTCTGCCACACACACACACACACACACACACACACACACACACACACACACACACACACACACACACACACACACACACACACACACACACACACACACACACGGGTTGCAGCGCAGCAGCAGCAGGGTTCAGTCAGCCGTGCTCCAGAGGAGCAGGCTCGTCTCTCTGATTTATGCGTCTCTCTCGAATGTTTTTTTCCTCCAGCTCTCCCTCCCTCTCCTTTTTTGTTCCCCCCCCCCCCCTTGCCTGCCTGCTCCCCCCCCCTCCCCCCTTCATTGGAGAGGCAAAGAGGGGAGGAGGGAGGAGAAAACCTGAGACTACACAAACAAGGCGCTGACCGCTGCGCAAACAACACCACCACCCCTCCCTCCCTCCCTCCACCTCTTTTTTTTCCCTCCCACCCTTTCTTTCTCTCCCTCTCTCTTGCTCAGGAAGCTCGTCTCTCACTGCCTGTGTGCGATAAGCCCGGGGCAGGCCCCTGGGGCTCCCACACACACACACACACACACACACACAGATACACACATACGCACAAGGACGCATACACAAGGACGTGCACACACACACACTACTTTATGCATGTTCTCTCTGCCTCTCTCTGTCTCTCTGTCTGTCTCTCTCTGTGTCTGTCTCTCTCTGTGTCTGTCTCTCTCTCTGTCTCTCTCTCTGTCTGTCTCTCTCTCTCTCTCTGTCTGTCTCTCTCTCTCTCTCTCTCTCTCTGTCTCTCTCTCTCTCTCTCTCTCTCTCTCTCTCTCTCTCTCTCTCTCTCTCTCTCTCTGTCTCTCTCTCTGTCTCTTTCTCTCTGTCTCTCTCTCTGCTCTCTCTCTCTCTCTCTCTCTCTCTGTCTCTCTCTCTCTCTGTCTCTCTCTCTCTCTCTCTCTGTCTCTCTCTCTCTCTCTCTGTCTCTCTCTCTCTCTTTCTCTGTCTCTCTCTCTCTCTCTCTCTCTCTCTCTCTCTCTCTCTCTCTGTCTCTCTCTCATCTCTCTGTCACACACATACACAAGCCTGTTGCTGCACAGAGAGCTCATCTCACGCTGGTGTTTCAGCGCCGCAAGCTTCGGGCTTATCACACACGCAGGCAGCAAGATATGAGGGCCTGTGAGACACACACACACACGCACGCATGCACGCACGCTGATTATGAGCATGCAAGGAAATATGCACAGGAGAAAAACACACCCGCTTTGACCCAATAAGCACATGCACAGACATCCCTGACGTGCTCTCCATATGCTGCACAGAGCCGACTCTTCACTCGCTGCTGCTGTCGCCGCTGTCACACCCCCACACGGAGCTGAAATTCACAATCGCTTCATGCACACATGCAGACAAGCGCTGGTGGTTTTGCACGCACGCACACACTGTTCTGTGGTGTTCCCGAGGCCCCGGCCAGTGCCGTGCATATTTCATGTTCATTTAGTTTTGCAATCCGTGCCTCTGCACATGAAAGCCCACTCTCTCCATCTTCCTCCCTCCCTCCCTCCCCTTTTATTCTCCCGCGCTCCCTCGTCTGCCTCGCTCGCTGAGCATTTGAAATGGTAATGAGGAGAGATGCTGCCGATGTCTTCATCCCTCTCGTGCCGGTGATCGGGGCCCCTTAGCTGTGTGCGTTGAAAGCTCAGATAAAGGTGCAGTATGTCATTTATTCTCCTCCCGTGATTCACATGCGAGCCTCCTCCTTCAGATCGATGCGAGATCCACGTGGAGACAAAAGTTGGGTTTCATTAGAAGCACTCTGTTGGATCAGGATCTATGATGGCAGAACTCAGAAGGGAAACGGCTTTTATCACTGGATTTGTTTAATATGGAAAAATCACACCGACTTTAAAGATCCACTGATGGCAAACAGTCTCCAGCTACTGGACGTGTTAGGTTTGTGGCCTGGTGAGACTTTGTAGGCATAAGGTGGACTGCTCTACCCATGCATGGACCACAATTAGCTTTTTCACGCGGATGCGTCGCAGACAAATATTGTTTGCTTAAATTGTCAAACCAAAAGCCTCTGCCTTTGAGGGTCTAAGCATATTTATCCATGTGCACATGCAGCATCTGTTGGGCATTCTTGTGTTGATGCTGTTTCTGTGCCTGTGCCTGACTCAGAGGTCTGCAGTTTAACACTAAAAGACCCACAATAATCCATCAAGCTGTCAGCTGTTTGAGGGCCACGATCCTGCATCATTTAGGTGTTCCTCTGGTCCCGCAGCACACCTGTTTTAAATCAAGCTTCTGCACAACAGTAATTGAAACTTTTAATTCAGGAGCAGGGAAGCATGTAGTGGCCCTACAGGACCAGGATTGGACAATGCTGGTGTGCAAAAGAAGAGAAAAGGGAAATTGGCCTGGTGAACCTTAAACGGGTACAGAGGTCAACATTTTGTGACACAACGTCTTTAATGGAGCAGACAAGGAAGTGTGCATTTTGTCTTGATCGTAGAAGTGAGTAATTAACGAAGAGTAATCGGCTCAGTTTATATGTGGATCCTTGCAGATCTTGTGGTTTTATGTGGGTTTTAAGGCATTTGTCAGTGTTTTCCCTTTTTGCTGTATTTCCTTCTGAGTTAATTAACAGAATGAGTTCCTTGGAGTTGGATGAATGAACTTAGAGATCATCGGTGTCTGCAGCTTATTCAGCCAGATGCAGCATCCTCGGTCCTCCACGTTTCACTTTTTAGAACGTGCAGCAACTTTTCTTAGCCTGTGAACTCCACACATGCATCATCTCAACATGTGACGCACACTCATAAACGTGTGTTTGTGTCTGTGTGTGTACGTGTGTGTGTACTCAGAAGGCGAGCGCTGGAAGGAGTTAAATGTCTGAGTGAAGCATTGATTGCAGGGGAGCGCAGGGAAGCGTTCTAGAGAGGGAGATTAGAGGACGGAGCGAAGGAGAGGAGGAGGGGGAGGGTTGTCTCATTTTACTGCGGAGGAGCTGTGTGTGTGCGTGTGTGTGTGTGTGTGCGTCTGGCGGGAAGCCGGGGCTCTCGTGCTAAGCTCCTTGCACTCTCCCAGCGATATTAAACACGGCTCTGGAGGTTTAGCGCTGCACCTCCTCCACAGCCAAACACACACACACACACACACACACACACACACACACACACACACACACACGGTCGTCAATGCCGCAAGAATACATCTCAGTGCGCACACACAGACACACTCGGACTCTGGCAAGCTGCATATCAACACACCTAGGCCGTCAGTGTCTAACACTTGCTCTCTGTCTCTCTCTCTCTCCCTCTCTCTTGCACACACACTGAGTGAGTGAGTGAGTGGAATCCCCCAGAGGGGAGCTTCAGCACAGCGCTCCTGAATCTCTCTCCAGCAGGCAAACAGTGTTGGCAGCAAGAGAAAACCAGTTGGAGCCTCCTCTAACTCCTCCACCCTCCTCTCTCATTTCTACTTTTACTTGCTCATACTTGTTCACGATTTTCCTGATTTCTCCCTCTTTTTCCTCATCTCCGTTCTTTCCTTCTCTGCTCCAGTCCTTCACAGGATCTCTGTCACTTCACCCCCACTTTTCACACGACCGCCCACACACCCCACCCTTTCGTCTCTTGTTATTATCAGCCGTGGCCCGGAGGACAGCCCCGGCAGATTTCATCCGCAGATTCATTTATCTGTCATCTGTCGGGGTGTTGCCTCTCGTCTCTCCCGTTCCCTCTGTCGTCTGCCTCTCTCTCTTTTCCCATCCCTCTGTCCTCTCCGTGCTGACGGGAAGAGTGGGAACGAGATAAACACGGGCTAGATGGCAGCCCGGAATTAGCATAGAAATGGAAGTTTGGAGTCGTTTCCCAGGTTCAGATGAGCAGCTCCGCTCCCCTCGGCACAGGACGGAGTAAGAGTGTCTCTGGCCAAACGCGTCTCACATTCACACACATGTACAAATATAGAATAAAAGCCCAAAACGTTGTGTTTTGTTGGTTTCTTTGAGGGTGTTCTGAATCCTACAATTAGCTGTGTGCCCACACTGTTCTGTCTGACCTCCGTCCCATCAGGCAGCGCTCCGTCTCTGGATCTTCTCTGTTTAATAACAGCAGACGCTGTCCAGGTCCGATACAAAACAGTCTGACTGCATAGAGCTGCACGCCCAACTGTCAAAGCCTCAGACCAGAGAAAGCACTTCCAGCTCTTCAGCGCCTCTATCAAATCTCTTTGTTCCGCCTCCATTATGCTGTGTTCAGGGCCCAGCCATTGTAACTGGCTGCCACAGTGGCGTCCAGGCTGCGTGCGCACACACACACACACACACACACACACACACACACACACGCACACGGACACGAACACTATCTGGCAGGCAAAGCACGGTTGAGTCACTCTCGGTCTCCTCGATGTGTTTGGCGCCAGCTCCAGGATTATAGAGCATGTGTGTGTGTGTGTGTGTGTGTGTGTGTGTGTGTGTGTGTGTGTGTGTGTGTGTGTGTGTGTGTGTGTGTGTGTGTGTGTGTGTGTGTGCGTGCGTGCGTGCGTGCGTGCGTGTGTGTCCGTCCAGCACAGGAACACACCCGGTTCTTGTGTTCCTTCATTCTCCTCCCAAAGGAGTCGTAAGGAGGAAGGACTGTTTCTTTGTGTGTGTGTGTGTGTGTGTGTGTGTGTGTGTGTGTGTGTGTGTGTGTGTGTGTGTGTGTGTGTGTGTGTGTGTGTGTGTGTGCGTGCGTGCGTGCGTGCGTGCGTGTGTGTGTCCGTCCAGCACAGGAACACACCCGGTTCTTGCGTTCCTTCATTCTCCTCCCAAAGGAGTCGTAAGGAGGAAGGACTGTTTCTTTGTGTGTGTGTGTGTGTGTGTGTGTGTGTGTGTTGCCCTTCTGTGTTTGGTTCTCCATCCTAAGACAACCCAGCACACTAAACCCGGCTCTCTCTCTCCTGCAGGAGGTGGTGCTGTACTGTCTGGAGAACAGAGTGTGTGAGGTGAACCACAGAGACTACGCCGGCTACTGCGCTCTACACGAGGCGTGCGCTCGGGGCTGGCTCAGCATCGTCCAGCACCTGCTGGATTACGGAGCTGACATTAACTGCAGCGCGCAGGATGGGACCAGGTAAACAAGCGAAACTCAGAATTGACATAAACCTCTGCACGGTGCGAACGTGACGGCATTTATTTTGCTTCGAGCCAAAGCGGCGCAGCTGGGATTTGTTAGGAGTTTGCAGATTAGGTGTAGCTTTAAAAGGGGAAGGGTGAATTTGTTCTTAAAATGCCCAGCTCTGGAACAGAGCACCGAGTTTGGCTGCATTTCTAACACAGATGAGAATCAGGAGCGAGAGAACCTGGATCTTTTCTGAAAACAAGGAAAGACTTTTGTTAGTGATGAGAATAAAACTGTTGTGCACCTTTAACCTGTTCTCTCTGCGTTTAGACCGATTCACGACGCTGTGGAGAACGATCACCTGGACGTGGTACGAGTGCTTCTCTCCTATGGCGCTGACCCCACTCTGGCTACCTATTCCGGCCGCAGCCTCCTCAAAATGACCCACAGCGACGGCATGGAGCGCTTCCTCACCGGTACGACCAGAGTTCTGTGTTTGATGTCGAAGCAAAGCTCCAGATTTAGTTATTAATAAATGAGGATTAAAAATGTGCCACATGAAGGGGACGGCACACCGTGCAGATATTTTATTATTATTTTACAAATTGGCCTAATTGTGTTGAGTTTGACAAACGGCTCATAAACAACAGGCCCACAGAGAGTTGCACTTCCTGTGCACGAGTTTAATTTCTAACTAAAATATGTAAAGCGTAAAATCTCCAGGGAGGGAATGGCTCATGTTAGAATCCATGAGTCGGGAACAGTTTTTGTAACAGACTATTGATAGGAGTTATGTCGTTATGACGACAAATGAGGAAAAATGAGTTGAAGGCTGACGAGGCGTATGAATGACGGTTAGGGTGGTGGTGGGGTCATCTTGGCTCGTTTAGTTTGCTCCTCTTTCGACGGCCTGACCTCTGCTCAGCCTCCCGGCAGGAATCCCTCTCTGTGAATCCTCGTCTTCCAGCTCGATGTGTCTGTCTCTGTCATCCGCACCCCTCCTCCCTCTGCCACCTGTTAGAGAGGGATTCTCGGCTCGCCGGGGTGCATGCTGCTGCCTCCGAGCTCCTCTATCCGGTTACTTAGCAACGGTGACTGTTTGATCAGCGTACGTGTGGAAACGGGCTTCGCTCCGGCTAGAGAGACTGCTTTCGAGCGCCTGCCACTTCACACGGCAGCCTTGCTGGAGTCTGACGTGTGTGTGTGTGTGTGTGTGTGTGTGTGTGTGTGTGTGTGTGTGTGTGTGTGTGTGTGTGTGTGTGTGTGTGTGTGTGTGTGTGTGTGTACTGGGAGGGCTTGCCCGGATGTTTGTATTTAAGTCGAGGGAACACGAGTGTGTGTACAGGAGGAGAGGGAAATGAAAGCGTACTCGGGCTCACACTTCCTCTGTAGCCAGCTGCCTCGCATTGCCTGAACAATTAACCGGTTAAGACTCGTTGCGTGAGAGAACGGTGGTGAAGGCTAACAGGTGGCGGAGGGATGGAGGTTTACGTGCAGACGGCCTGGGGAGACGGTGTTGAATTTTGACATGGATGGACGGATCGATGTCGGCGGGGAGAGATGGAGGGAGCGCTGGAGGAATATGAGCGAGCGATTGCTGCCCTCCCTCCACCTGGTCCCACTCATCTGGAGGCCGTTAATCCCTCCAAACACTCGCTAGACGCCCCACGCCTCAGCGCTGGCACAAAGCCCGGCTCTCGCTCTGCAAATGTGTGTGTGTGTGTGTGCGTGTATGTGTGTGCACGCGGGCTGAACACACACAGAGCTCTTGCTGTGTGTGCTTATCCAGCTCCCTCCGCCTGTTTGTTTCCAGCCCTCGCTTTGCATTGTGTGCCTGTGTGTGTGCGTGCGTGTGTGCATGTGTGCATGTGTGTGCGTGTGTGTGTGTGTGTGTGTGTGAGAGAGCACTCAGCGACTGTGTGTGGTTCCTGTTTGATTCCTGGCAGCCGTCTGTGGCCCCGCTCTGAACCGAGCCAGCGGAGACTGTCACTCTCCTCCCCCGCGGTACAGCCACTGGCCTCTGACCATCACCCCTCCCCTCCTCACCCTCTAAAGCATTTCTCTGTTTTTTCCTCCCCTCCTCCTCAGTTTTACCGTACTCTTTATCCATTTTTGTGCTGTAGTCTCTTGGGCAATTGCATTTTCCTCATTGCCTGTCCCCAGGGCCCCGTCTCTTGAATAACAGCCCTCTCTCCTCCCTCCCTCCCTCTCTCTCTCTCTCTCTCTCTCTCTCTCTCTCTCTCTCTCTCTCTCTCTCTCTCTCTCTCTCCACAGATTATTTTGCTGACCTTCAGGGCCGCTCGGATGACGACCCGGGCCTTTATTGGGAGTTCTACGGCAGCGCTGTGTGCGGTGAGTGCCGCTCGGCCCTCCGTGTTTGTCCTTCTGTCTCGATTTTCAAGTGCTCCCCCTCTGAGTCCTTTTTGTTGCTTTTTTTAATTTGGTGTCTCAGAGTCTCGAGAAGAGGGCGGCATTTATGACATCCTGGCAGACCCCCCAGGCCCAGATGATGACAGCGAGGACGACAAGAGGGAGGTGTTTGAGTTTGAGTTCTCCGATCGCCCCTTGCTGCCTTGCTACAACATCCAGGTGTCCCTCTCTCAGGGGTGAGCTTTGATCTCTGCAGCAGACCCTTTTATTTGACTTCTCCTCCGCCCGTGCTCATTACTGGAACCTTCTTCCCCCTCCAGACCCAGAAACTGGCTGCTGCTGTCTGATGTGCTGCGGCGGCTGCGGATGTCTGCGCGCGCGTTCCGGCAGGCCTTCCCCCACATGGAGGTGGTGACGGTGGCGGAGGCGGAGTTTTACCGCCAGGCGTCTCTGTCGCAACTCTTCTCCTGCCCGGAGGAGCTGGAGGGCTTCCACCCGGACAGCAAGGAGCTGCTGGACCTGGTGGAGGACAGCGCGGAGCTGGCCGCTCTGCTGGGCTCAACACTGGAGTGTTTGGACGACCGCTGGGACCACCCAGGGGACAAACTTAAAGACAAGATGAAAGCGGCTGGCAGGCTGGGCTCATTCTAACGCCTTTGAGCTGTTGCTTTAGAACCGATGAAAGGTTACGACGACATGCCTTAGCTTGACCCGGACGAACCCACCTACTGCCCGATGGGCTGCTGAATCATTTCCCTCCATAAGGATCAACACGTTTGTGACTCAAGATACTTCATAGTGATCTTATTTTTATAAATTAATATATGTACAAATAAATATATACAGTATATAAAATGAGGTTTTTTTGAGATGGTGTAAGATTTTGTAAGAGTGCAGTTGCTCTCTCAGCCGCAGACCTGAGTGCACAGCACACGGTGCGTGCAGTTGTACAGAACGGTAACGTTGGCTCTGGTTTTTGTGTTTATAGGAAGCACAGGATGTCTCTTTGTTCCTCTCCTCAAACTTTAGCGCTCGCTTGAGCCTCAGGGGCTTTTCTGTTGTATTTCTTCTGTTCCGGCTGTTATTTAACAAGCGAAACTGCAACGTTTTTTTTTTTTTGTAAAGTTTTAAGATGATGTTGATAACCCCCCCCTCCCCTGCGGCACAGAGCTTGTATATAACTGGGAGGCTACTGCAGTAACGTAATTTTTTGGTGTGTTCATATTTTCTCTTTGTTTTAACTTTGTAATTAAAATATCCCGTAATTTGTATTTATATTTTACAGAAGAAGTTGCTTTAAAATAAATATACAAACTGCAAGATGAACTAGGCTCCGCTCCTGACTCATTAATTAATTAGTCTGGGATCCTTCATAACCAGGCTTGTCGCCTCATTACTCGTCTTGGGATCGGGGTGACAACACAATCCGACATTGCCATCTTTTGGAAAATGTCAGACATTTATTGCTGCAGCCTTGAGGATGCTCGCGGCCATCTGCTTCTGAAAGCTGTTGGCCTAAAGCGCCCTCTAGTGGACAACGCTGCAAAAAACATTCAGTCTGACTTCTTTGCTGTTGCTGGTCAGAATAAAACTATTGAGTAATTAAACCCAAAGTTTCAGTTGAAGATAAAAATGTTTGTGTTTGAGAGGATATCTCCTGACCTGCTGGGTGGATTTTAATGACATTTTGGAGTCGGTCCCATTCAAGATGGACCCAACTACACAAGAATAGCCAAATCTGTTACTTTTAAAAACACTGCTGTTGAAGCTGGGGGTGATTCTCAACACACACTGGACAGGTGTCAGTTATTTATTGCAGTATCACAATTTGTAAATGGTCTGTATTTGTATAACACCTTCTTAGGTTTCTACAACCCCCCAAGACACTTCACAACAGTCATTCACCCATTCACACACTGGTGGGGATGAGCTACGATGCAGCCTCAGCTGCCCTGGGGTGCACTGACTGAGGCGAGGCTGCTGAGCGCAGGCGCCACCGGTCCCTCTGACCGCCACCACCAGCAGGCAAGGTGGGCTGTCTTGCCCAAGGACACAACAGCGGCATTCTTTGGTTGGAGCCGGGATAGAACCTGCAACCTTCCGATTACTGGACAACCCGCTCTACCTCCTGAGCTACAGCTGCCCCAAAAGGAAGCAACCCAGATCTTTTGAAGTAATTTTTTATAATTTGCACAAAACCCCATAATGTTTCTGCAGTTGAAAACACAAGAATACCCACTGTCCCTCAGCACCGTGTGTCTATGCATGCTGGTGTGATGTCATTACACCTGCACTTGCATCTGTTTTGGGACTGAAAGTCATAGTAAGACAATCCAGAGAGCATTGAGGGGATTTATATCATTCAAGCTCATATTACAGTGGGGCAAAAAAGTATTTAGTCAGCCACCGATTGTGCAAGTCCTCCCACTTAAAATGATGACAGAGGTCAGTAATTTTCATCATAGGTACACTTCAACTGTGAGAGACAGAATGTGAAAATAAAATCCATGAATTCACATGGCAGGATTTTTAAAGAATGTATTTGTAAATCAGGGTGGAAAATAAGTATTTGGTCACTTCAAACAAGGAAAATCTCTGGCTCTCACAGACCTGTAACGTCTTCTTTAAGAAGCTTTTCTGTCCTCCACTCGTTACCTGTATTAATGGCACCTGTATGAACTCATTATCTGTATAAAAGACACCTGTCCACAGCCTCAAACAGTCAGACTCCAAACTCCACTATGGCCAATACCAAAGAGCGTTCGAAGGACACCAGGAAAAGAATTGTAGACCTGCACCAGACTGGGAAGAGTGAATCTACAATAGGCAAGCAGCTTGGTGTGAAAAAATCAACTGTGGGAGCAATTATCAGAAAATGGAAGACATACAAGACCACTGATAATCTCCCTCGATCTGGGGCTCCATGCAAGATCTCATCCCGTGGGGTCAAAATGATCATGAGAACGGTGAGCAAGAATCCCAGAACCACACGGGGGGACCTGGTGAATGACCTGCAGAGAGCTGGGACCACAGTAACAAAGGTCGCCATCAGTAACACACTACAACGGCAGGGAATCAAATCCTGCAGTGCCAGATGTGTTCCGCTGCTGAAGCCAGTGCATGTCCAGGCCCGTCTGAAGTTTGCCAGAGAGCACATGGATGATACAGCAGAGGACTGGGAGAATGTCATGTGGTCAGATGAAACCAAAGTAGAACTTTCTGGTATAAACTCAACTCGTCGTGTTTGGAGGAAGAAGAATGAGTTGCATCCCAAGAACACCATACGTGAAGCATGGGGGTGGGAACATCATGCTTTGGGGCTGTTTTTCTGCTAAGGGGACAGGACGACTGATCCGTGTTAAGGACAGAATGAATGGGGCTATGTATCGTGAAATTCTGAGTCAAAACCTCCTTCCATCAGTGAGAGTTTTGAAGATGAAACGTGGCTGGGTCTTCCAACACGACCATGATCCCAAACACACCGCCCGGGCAACAAAGGAGTGGCTCCGTAAGAAGCATTTGAAAGTCCTGGAGTGGCCTAGCCAGTCTCCAGCCCTCAACCTCATAGAAAATCTGTGGAGGGAGTTGAAAGTCCGTGTTGCTCGGCGACAGCCCCAAAACATCACTGCTCTCGAGAAGATCTGCATGGAGGAATGGGCCAAAATACCAGCTACTGTGTGTGCAAACCTGGTAAAGACCTATAGTAATCGTTTGACCTCTGTTATTGCCAACGAAGGTTATGTTACAAAGTATTGAGTTGAATTTTTGTTATTGACCAAATACTTATTTTCCACCCTGATTTACAAATAAATTCTTTAAAAATCCTGCCATGTGAATTCATGGATTTTTTTTTTTCACATTCTGTTTTCCACAGTTGAAGTGTACCTATGATGTAAATTACTGACCTCTGTCATCATTTTAAGTGGGAGAACTTGCACAATCTGTGGCTGACTAAATACTTTTTTGCTCCACAATATTTGTAAAACAATTTATTCCTTGACCGTTCTGCATGAATTTACATAATAATAAACAGTATCTTCTTCTTTATTAAAGTCAGTCAAATGTGCCTGATTTATTTGTAATAACAAAAATAAAACTTTTCAAACTAACACTTTTAAACACACACATGAGCAATGGTTTGAGGCCTTTTTTCCGTCTTGCAGAGATTCTCGTGCCTTCCTAAACAGCTTTTTGTAAAGCATGACCTGTGTGAACTCTTCATGGTGGGCACTTGGAGTTGACTAGATGCATGTAATGAGCTTTGATTGGGCTCACAGGACTCACCCAACAATGATTGGCTGCACAGCTCGAGCATTCTTTCCTCCTCTCTCATGAAAGTCTGCATTCAGTCAGTGAATATTTGGATAAAAAAGCTACAGCAGACGAGAGTCGATCTGTGTCACAGAAATAAAGCACATGGAGGCTAAACCATAGTCACATCTGCTCTGTGTTAGCAGGATTAGCTGCCAATGTCAAAATTTCAGATCCAGATAAACAGGCCATGGCTAAATTCAGGACAAATATTTACTTTTATGTTGAAGAGCTAAATAATTTCAAATGCAATTGCTTATTTTTAAGCAGCAGAGATGCTGTTGTAAAGGAAGATTTAAATATTGTAATTTCGAAATGAAGCTGGTTTAGGGGAAAAGAAATACAATGCTGACATCTTGTGGCAAACCTGTGACATTACAACAACACCAATCCACAGTCAAACCCAATTCAATTAAATTAAATTCATAAATAAAATTATATTACCATGACAATAAGAAACATCTCATGATTTTCTGCAGTTAAATCAAACGAAATATACTTTAAATTACTTTGGTTTTACAAACAGAGTTATTTTGGACCAAGATAGTACAGAAGGAACCACACAAATCAAATCACAAAGCTAATGTAAATTTCACTGGGAAGAAAAAGTTGCAATATTAACATAATAAATTTCTGCCTTAAAACAAAACACTCTTCCACTTAATTTTTTAATAAATGTGTGTTTGATACAGTCTGTATTGCACTCACATGAGAGCATCATGTGATCCAAAGAATAGGGTGTGTGTGTGTGTGTGTGTGTGTGTGTGTGTGTGTGTGTGTGTGTGGCAGATTCAGGCTGGTGATGGGACTCTGTTACCAAACTGGGGTTTGTTGTCTTTGCATGTAGAACAGATGAACAGGGTTTATCAGTTGAGCAGCAGCTTTGCTACAGTTGTGTGCTACCAAGAGGTTAAAGCCTTGAAAAAGAAGGCCGCTGATGAGGACACAGACAAGAGACGACAGACGGTGAACTATCTTGAGATTATTTGATCTTTGGTTTCTGTTGTGGTCAGATCTGCCGCCCTTTTGTGGTGATGTAGTGACATTACAAATAAAAAACCCACTGCACCTTCAAGGAAAATCGCGAATAAATAATGTCTTAAACGTCTAAAACCTAACACAGTTAATTTAAAGAAATATAGTCATAAATCTCTTTTTTTTAGCTTTTATCGAACATTAACAAGCGGTTTGTCCACTATGTAGCGGTAAGCTTAGCTACTCTGTCACAAACTCCCACAATGCTTTGCTGCACATAGCGTCAGCTGACCGACATACAAGGAGAAAGATGTCGCTGAAGAACTGCCGAAGGATGGAGGCTACATTTAACTCTATGGTTTTAGTCCTTTGTGTCCTCACCGGTAGGAACTGCACGACAACTAAAACTCTTATTAACATTTGTGTACTCTATTATAACTAACCCTTTTGTCGTCGCTTCCTTTAGGAGTTTAATCATTCAATGACCAAATACAGTCCAGTTAGCGTTGTTAGCATTCATTTACTCTGACATTTTGTCTGCCTGTGTGTTTTAGTGTTGCGTAGATATAACTATGAATGTTTTAAAGATAATAATAAACAAAAAGGGTCGTAGTGCCGGATCGCTGAGAATAATAACAGCTTTGCTCATAATAGCAGTGCTAACAGCTGGAGATTAGCTTGCAGCTAACTTTAGAACCAACAGTGAATGTGTATTTGTTTTTTCTCACAAATTGTCAAGCGACATTTAAAGTAATCTAAATCGCCAAAAAATAATTGTAATTTCTTCGTACATAGCGAAATGTTCAGCTTTGTCACGTGACTAGTTAGTTCCTCTTTATTGACTCGCATCCCTGTTGTCTCTAGTCACGAGTGGATTCTTCCATACGGGCTGGTCATGATTAAGCTCTATTTTTGTCATACATATTACTAGGACGCTTGTTATAACCTTTTTAAGGTCACAATACTCGGAAAATATACTAAAAATATGTAATTTGAGGTTATACTCATTCGCTTGACTTTCTAAAATATGATCCACCTCATTTAAGATACTTTTCATGAACAAATGTGATCTAATACACAATTGGTTAGGAGATAATATAACAGTCTAAGGATCAAGTCTGTCCCTGTGGGAAAATTGTAGTTATTTTTGCTTTTGTCCCGCAGGTGTCCTTGGAGACAGCCTTACGGTGTTGCAAGCACCAGAGTTTGTGTCTTTCCAGAAAGGGGACTGGCCGGTATCTGGGACGAAGATCCCCGACCTGGTGGCTCTTACCATGGGCTTCTCTATTCAAGAGGTGCTTTATTTACCATCTCATGTGTGTGTCATTTCTGTCCAGTTTTATTTAGGGCTCGTGGTTATTTATTTTTTTATTATTCACACAGGATTTGACTTGGCCCGGCCTTCAGGCTGGTCCTTTATTCCAGCGACCTCGAGCTAACGTGCTTGTGGTAGTGAGAGGAGTCGACAGCTTGTCCTTTCCTCAGAGCGTTGCCTCGTACCCCCTGGAGAACGTAAGTCAGACCAACACCAGAAATGTGAAATTCTAGCTTAATATTGAGTTTAGAGTTATCTTCTCTCTTCCAGCCGGTACCCTTTACCCTGGACAGTGTTGCAGAGACTGTTCACTCTTTGTTTGCTGAGTACACCCCTGTCGTGCTGCAGCTGGCTCCCAGCGAGGAGGTAAAAACAAATCCAGTGTACAACAGGAAACTACAAATTTCTGGGGCAATACTGTAAAGGCAAATGTTTCTCATATTCCTAAGCTTTTGTTTTCCCTTTCAGCGACTTTACATGCTCGGCAAGGCCAATGCCGTGTTTGAGGACCTGCCGGTCACCCTGCAGCAGATCCGTGCTCGGCTGTCGCAGGACAGCTCCGTGCTGACCTCGCTTCCACTCAATTCTCTCAGCAGGAATTCAGAAGTTAGTCGATGACTGCCGTGACGCCAAATCTAACATTTTGAGATGCATCCCTCTCCTAACAGCAGAATTTTGTTTTGTTTGTTTTTGTAATCAACACTCATTTTGTTTTCAGGCTGATCTGCTCTTCCTGTCTGAGGTTCAAGTACTGCATGACATCACCGCTCTGGTAAGTCATCATTCATGGCTGAAACTTTTATTTTTGTCTTGATAAAAACTCCCCCCCCCCCCCCCCCCCCCCCCCTTCTGTAGCTACAGAGACACAAACATCTGGCCAAGGACATCTCCCCTGACCTCTACTCCTTGGAGCTTTCTGGTTTGGAGGAGTTGAGTCGGCTTTATGGCACAGATTCTCCTCAGTACCGCGATGCCACCTCCATCATAGCCTCTGTCCTTCAGAAAGTAAGGACTCTGAAGCTGATGCTGCCTAACTGTTTACTTTAACCTGATATAAACCACATTTTTTTTATTACAGTTTGGGGAGGATATGTATCGTCTCTATGGCAACGGTGCCGTGGTGGAGGTTGTCACAGTGAAGACCTTTGAGGCTCCTTTGATCAGGAAGTCCCGTTCAATCCTGGAATCTAAGCAGATTGTAAGTCGACTTTAAAATTCTGCACTGGTTCAGTAAAATGGTAAAAAAAAACAAAAATCTAATTATGCCTAAAATAGTCGCTCTAATTCATTAAAATATTTAACGTGGTACTCCTGGATTTCTGAATGTCTTTGACAGCATTTTATTTCTTCATTAATAATTGTCTGTGTCGTGTTTGCATGTGAGATAAAGCATGGGGGCAAGTAGATGTGGTTGTTTGGACTTGTTGGGCTAAGTGGGATTCATATGGGACTTCCTATAGGTGACACTTTGACTTGTTGAATGTTTCCAGAGCAACCCAGGCCGCCCTTACAACCTGGCCCACAAGTACGGCTTTCAGTACGCTGTCATCTTCAACATTGTGCTGTGGCTGATGATCGCTCTGGCCCTCGCCGTCATCGCCATCGCTTACAATCTGTGGAACATGGACCCTGGATATGACAGCATCATCTACAGGATGACTAATCAGAAGATCAGGATGGACTGAGTCCTGACCGCCAACACTCCCGGTGTCTCCTTGAAGCTCCTATGTGAATGTTTGTGTTTTGTGTGTTTGAGGTCTTCTGCAGTGAAAACGTGTGACGGTTGGATGGGACGAAGAGCATGATGAATACTTTCACCTTCCTTCTTAACGTGCTGAGCTGATGATATGAACACATTTTTTTTTAACATCAGAGTAGTGGTCCTGAAACGTATCTACAGCGATGTTATCTGTCCCGAGTTTAGAACAGACTTCCTCTCCTCAGCTTCACAGCTCTCATCATTCCTCCTCGCTAACTTGGTTTCTTTAGCGACTGCATCTATTTTCCCTCATGAAGATAAAATATGTCCTAATGTTGTGAAAGAGTGATATTTGTTTTCATTGTGGTGTTGATTTGTTATGTTTAAATTAAATTAAATCTATCTGTATATATTGAAAACACACGTTTGCAGAACTGCTGTGCTTTTATTGTGAAATATTGTGTTCAGGTGTGTTTGTGCTTCTAATTAAAACAAATATTTGTTGGATCACAGAAAAGGTTGATCATACATGATGTGTTAGTAACACTGTATAAGGACAGCTCTATAAATGCTTTAAAATAAAGTATTACATTGACCTCCCTGATGTTTACTCATTATAGAAGATATGCTTTTTTGATTTCTGATTTTTGAGTAAATTATGTACTCCGATATGTAATTGTTATACGGGACTGTAGGGTAGGATGAAACTCCAAAAATAAAACTGCATAAATAAGATTTATTCAAAGAAAACCACTTCAAATTCACACGATTCTAGATACACAGAAAAACATGTAAAAGAAAAATAAAATAATTAAATTGTGGCAAATCAATCACAGATTTTTGCTGAGTCATCCTAGTACACCCACGATCAGATCATCAACGACGTTGGGCGGGATTGTATCACATGTACTGCAACCTCTTAGCCAATCAGAATTCCGACAGATAAGATAAGCCCCGCCCTAACTTAATTTACTGCATGTAATTGGTTGTTTCTCTTTCCGTGTCCCCGGGTGTTTATAGTTACGTCCGGTGTCGGTACAGGATCTGCTCGGGTGCAGACCAGACACCGGAGCTCTGTAGGCTGAAACAGAAAGCAGGTAGGTAGATAGCTGGTTTAGAGAGAAGATCAGGCTAATTTTCACTGAAAGGATAATAGAAAGGACACCGAAAAACCCAACAAACCATGGTGTGACTTATCATAAAAGGTAAGATTTTATAATTAGATATTCATGACCACACCCGTTAGACCAGAAAAACAGCTTCCCTTCTTCACAGAAGAAGAAATGTATTTTTGAATAACTGTTGTGGTACGAAAAACAAAGTACAGTTACAGAGTTAATTACACAAATAAAACGGGTTTTAAAAAAATCTTTGAAGTGGAGTTGAGCGTTTCCGATAAACAGGGAGTGGTTTCAGAAAGCCTTCAAAATAAAACATGCTATTTTACACATGCTAACATTTATTCCTACTACTTTAGTCTGGAATTTAAACCTGATTTGTTGAATTTCAGAAATGTCCCCACTATAAAGGTGCTGTACAAACAAAGTAACATGGACATTTTGGTCTTAAACTCCTGGAAAGTGGCAATTTATCAATAATAATAATAATATCTAAAATTCAGTATAGAGGCTGTGGAAAAATATTAATTGAAAAGTAAATGTTGAATTTCAGTATGGGATTTTTATTTTCTTTTGCTCATAGAACAAAGACAAATCTAAAAATGATTAATTTGTACAAGGATAGGGAAAAATCCAAGAAAATGTCTCTAAACTTAAAGTTTAAATACTCTTAAAATACTCGCAAAATAATACATACATTTTTTCATTATTTAATTTAGCTTGCAGCTACGTGGTCAGGAAGATCCGGGCGTCTGCCACTGATGGGGAGCGACAGGAAGAGCCCAGCCACATGCCATGTAGTCTAAAAGGTAAGATAATGAGAAATCTTTCTCTAAAGTTAAATTTTTAGTTGTGTGGTGGCAATTACAGGAACTGTTGAATATAACTCATGTGTTTTCCTCGTAGCTCAGAAGAAAGAGGAGCAAAGGACAGTGGGATCGTCCTCGGCTACTGTTGCACTGATCCCAGGATCGGGTGAAGTGGATGGAGCAGCGGCCTCAGGGAGGACTCTGGAGACCTCGGTGCAGCCGTACGGCTCCTGACGTTAACATCTGGCTGGATACTTGAACTGTAGTCAACTGAATTTTTAATCTTTTACTTTTCAGGATCAAAGTTGCACACAGTTAAAATGTCAAGCCCAGAGTGACACTCGATGGGCCGATTCACAGCAAACATTCTGATGCTGCAGAAAAAAGTGCAATTAATAATAATGGCAATTAGAGTTTGTCGCTTCTTGTAATGTAAGGAAAGCTTGAAGTTATTTCTTCCTGTCTGTGGTTGTCATTTTGTTTCCTGTGAATGGCCTGTATTCATGTACTGCAGCGTTTGATGGCAGACTCACCAACCTCTGTGCCCAGAGGCTGAGTAGGCCTGATGTTTCTGCTGTGACATCAATTCAAATGGTTTTAATATTTGCTACTATTTAACATCTGCATAGCTTTAGATATGAGATCGACTCTAACTTTGCAAATAAAGCCTTTCAAACTGCTTTTCTTCAGCGAAATTCTTGTGAATCTTAAACGTGATTTTAATCTTGTGTGAAAAAGAGAAGGTGTTTATTTGTGGAAAACCTGTATAGGTCACATCAAAGCCACATCCAATTTAGGAGATGAGCAAAAACAAGGGCAACCACATTCCTATATAAATGTTTTTGTAAAAGTCTCAGCATTGTTTCTGGTTTGTTTATATTTGACTGATCTCTTTCATTTTAAAGCTTAAGAGCACATTTTCGACTTTGCATTTAACTTTACAGGTTGGCTGCTGAGTGTGATATGATGTTTTTCTCCAATTTTGAGTTTTTGCGTTTGCAAACTTTCATCACTGTACACTTTTTTTAAAAGAGCTGTTTTGATTCATTTTTCATTGCAGGTATGGGAGGCTGTGTAAGAAACATCAAGGAAGAAAATGTAAAAAAAGAAAAATGCAGGTTTACATGTTAAATTATGCACATGCGCTCATATCCTGTTAAATTCATAGTAATTCAATTAGACACACTCAAAAAATGGGGAAAAAATTCTGAAAGAAAAATTACTTATCGATCAAAATTTAACTGTAAAAAATAACCCACTTGTTGGTTGCCATCATTACATTTTGAAATCAAACAGGTCCAAGTGTCAATTACAAATATCAAACTTAAACAAAAATTAAAACCACAAAAAGTTTCAATAGACAGTATGCTTTTGCTCTTTCCTTCGGAATGGTGTCACATTTGACAAGTTATTAAAACTTAAAATTAAAAACATTGAGACTCTAGAATATTTTATCAGAAACAAGTCCAACACCAGCCAAGTTTTACTACAAATTCATTCGTTCATTAATTAATTTATTCATTGTTCTCTAACTGCGACTTTAGAACCACAGACCCAAATCTTTTCAACACTGCCAAGACAGAATGTTTTTGTTCTCTGGGGATTGTAATTCTGACGGAACTTCCGCTTTTTACCGGATGTTCCCGAGCATAATACAAGCATCTGTTGGGTGCAGATCTGGGAATGTGTTTCGCCTGTATTACAAGGTACATGGTGAAACGCTGTTGTGGAGAAACTTTTTCATTAGGTTTACATATTTAGTTTGAGAATATAAAGAAAATAATGTTCTCGGGTGAGTTTTGCGTCTGTAGCGTTTAGCATCGTGGACAAAATGTAGCGTAAATGTTGCTAGCTGTATGAGCTAGTCAGTTAAACAGGAATTTTCAATGATTTTGCTACAAAAAAATTCGATTTAAAGTCAATTATGTTGTTGCAGGGAAGATGCCCATTAGCTTAAAACAATATGCATGAGTTTAATAAGAAGCATCACACGTGTTGACTCGCATTACAGACTTAGCCTCACAGATAAAAGGAACATTCGAGTAGCCGGATAAATTTGTGATAATTTTGATCATCTTATTTTTCAGACACACCAAGAGTCATGCTTGTATACACATATTTTGCGAGCATGCCTGGGCGTTTTTTTTCTTTCACATTTTCACATAACCACTTTAATGTTTTTAAAGGGACTGTTCATTTGAACCAGAAGGTAAAAACAGCAACACGTTCTTGTTTTTCTAAAACCACGCGCCAGGTCTCCGGCAGTCACCTAAGTAACGCAGAGGTCAGTAAATACATCATTGCAGGTCATGTGTGTGACCAGTTAATTTACAATTAGTATTATTATTATTATTGTTTTTAGGGAATCTTTTGTTTGTAGTCAATCCAAGCAAGAAACAAACCTTAAACAAAAATGTAAATGAAGACAACTTGAACAGTTTAGGGGTGTAACGGTACGCTAACATCGTATTCGGTTCGGTTCAGTGTTTTAAAGAGTTCGGTTCGATAAATTTTCGGTATAATATTATTATTATATTATTTATTTAATAATATCTAAAGCGGCTCCTGTAGTGAGCAGAACCAGTTGTCATTGCAGGCTGCTGATTTAGCATGATGCCTTTATTTTGTATGACCTTCTTCACCACTCTCTCTTTATTCTGCTCTCCCCACCTATTCCACCTTCCTCAGGATCCACTGATTTCCCTCTTTCCTAGTCACTCTCTCTCTTTCTTAACATTTTGTTAATCACAATCGTCTATTTTTTGCTCATTTTAAATATATTTTTAACCATTTTCTAAATTATTTTTTATATTTTTACATTTTTTGTTTTTGTGAAGCGCCTCGTGATTTTTGTCTTGAGAGGCGCTATAGAAATGATATTGTCTTCTTCTTTAGTTATTTCACAGGGTATTTGCGCAGCTGTGAGTGTCACGTTTGTACAGACAAGTGTTGTGCTTGACTGTTGATGCTCCGCATTTTTATTTCTGCAGCGAGCCTTAAAAACTCACCTCACACCGCCCAGAGTTTCTTCTTTAAAACTCGTATTAAATAACGAGCTTCCTCAGCGCCGTACTTTTTGTTGTAGGATGAAAACTTGTCACGGGGAAATTTCAGCAGACATGTTTGTTTAAATTTTTGCCGCTGCGTGCCTGTAGTGTGAGAGAAGGGAGGGAGGGGCGACGCTCCGTTCAGCGTCTCTACAGGCTCCAGTAGCAGTGACAGCCAATTGGTTTGATCCACTTTAAAAGGCGCTGATCAGAATTTGCAGATCACATTTTTTAAACAGAGATCAGGCGCGTGCAGCCATCATACGTCACTCAATACAGCTTTCGTTCAGAAACTCACCTAGGAACTTTTATCTGCTGCTCTTAAATCATGCAAATAAAATTCATTATTTAACAGAAAATGAACCGAAATGGTACACAAGTGGACCGAACCGAAACGGTTCAACACCCCTCCGTGAACCGTGACACCCCTAGAACAGTTCATAAATATTTGTCAAGTTGTGAAATTCAGTAGCTTTTAAAAAGATAATTTATACCCCAGCAGTTATTTAGAATGTTTATTCTCAATCATTTGATCTTTCTTTGAGCTTCTCTGTGTGTTTCTTGCAGAGCTGTTGCTGTGCCTTCTGACATCTTGAGTTATGATGGAGCGAAGAAGAGTCTTAACTATTCCTTTTACCTCTAAAAAAGACCACCTGGTAAATCTGATGTAATATCCAGTGTATTCACATAGACATTTCTTTAAATGTTTGCACCATTCATTCAGGCATTTCAAGAGTTTATGGAGATTGCATGTTGGGTTGATTTCAAGCTAATCCCCTAGAATTGATGTTTGTCACAGGCCTGGTGCCAAGTTTAATGAGGGCTGTTTCTTTTGTCTAGGGATGTCCCGATACGACTTTTTCTCTTCCGATATGATACCGATATTGCAGCCTTCATTTTGACTGATAATGATATCAATCTGATACTATATCAGCACAAATCACACATACTTTTACCTATTTTTTAGTGTGGAATGTAAGAAAGGCCTGATCAAGTGATATTTCTCAAACAGAGAACAAAAGCCAGCAACAGTAAGTATGAAAAAACCGACCAGTTTTTTAAAAATTAACCACTGGTTGCATAAATGTAAGCTTTAGACATAATGTATCACAAATGAATAAAATAATAAATAATAAAACACTCTAAAAACATTTTAAGTAAATAAATAAATTAAAATATACCTTTTTAAAGGGCAAATTACTAATTCAAGGTCACTTCAGTTTTGTGTTGCTGTCAGCAAATGGTAGTAATGGCTGAGGACAGGGACATATGAAAAAAACCACCACTATTGTTCATTGACCAACTGCTGCAAGTTGAGTGTACTAAGTTTCTATTTCACACTGCAACAATCCTTACGCAGTGTTTTGTGGTGCTGCTTCAAATGCACGATGAGGTTGGACGTATTAAGCTTTCCCAGGAAACTTGTGCATGGCAAGTATTGCACTGAGCCACAGTGTCTTTTTCAGACTTTAACAAAAAAATCCTGCCACGCGACCGACGTCGCTCATGTTCTTTGCTAGCATGCACGGTTCTGATCACGTGGGCTTTGCCTGCTGGGTCTGGCCACTGCTGGACAGAACTGCTGGAATTAAATTCAAAGCAGAACGGACTGCTTATGTTGGAGATTTTTGATGCAGTCTGATATAATCTGATACAGCGGTTTGGGGCTGATATCGAACCTATTTCTGGTATCAGTATCGGAACAGGGCATTCCTACTTTTGTCATCCGTTAATCTTTAGACTCGTTGATCTTGTAAAGGAAATGTTTTGTCCTACCTACAGACCGAACCCAGAAATTAGTTTTACTTCAAACGGCAATGCAGCAAATTGTCATTGCAGAAAATCTGAAATCAGAGTTTAAATTTCTAATCCACACTGTTGTAGAAGCCGCTGCAGATTATTTGTCGCTCTTGGTAGTCAGCCAAGTGTACTCATGCGTGACCTATCGTGCCCAACATCATCAGCTTTATCATTCAGGCCAATTAGTTTGTCATCTCCAATGAAGCTGAGGTTATAAAACGTTTACAAGTTGAATAACATGCAGCATGTCTTTTAGATTAAAAATCCTCTCAAAATCCCCATGGCATGCCTTCCACCAGAGTGTGAAAAGTTAGAACAACAGGTACAGCTGAGCCTTTACTGGTTTATTAATTATATTACTTATTTTATTTCTAATTCTAATCATGTTTCCTATTTTTAAAAGGTTCCACGGACTGCGTTTGCAGGCTGCAAATACAAATCTAAAAATTCACAACATAAAAATGGATCTGTGATAGTTGATCGCAGACATGCAGATTTTATATCTCAAGAAATGACTAGGTAAGTGTGTGGCGAAACGGAGCCAGCATGTAGACTTTCACTAGATAGTTTTTGTAGTCATAGTTTTTGCTAGATCTGTCAATTCTGGAACTCCCAATTAATATGAAGTCATCAGTAAGTAATTATAAAGTGCAATAACGCCTTAAAGTAATTCTGACCTAAAAATAAGCATAATCACAAGATGTATACGGTCAGGTTTTCGGTTTATGAAGGACCCATCGTGCAGGTGAGTGATCCAGAACAAAGGCAGGTTAACTGAAATATACTTAAATAAAATAAACTGAGGGCAAGGACTCTTCAGGAACCAACCAGGTAAATACCAGATTTAACAAGAGGATCTAACACGTGGTGCATGAACTGGGGTAAGGGTTTACCAAACAGGGACAAGTCAGCCAAAAGGCAAACAGGTGCATAATCGCTAACTGGGGGAGGCGGAGGGAAAAAATGGAACGACCAAACCAAAGGCACACTGATTTATGACATATACTAGTGTATGTTGTTTTTAAACATTTAAAATGACTTGTAGAATTAAACGTTCAAATGTGACGTTTGCACATCATTACTCCAATGTTGAGCTTATCACGACCGTGCATGTGGCTTATCTGGAGCACTCTGCTCCTCCGTGTTGATCAGCAAGTCTTATCTGCTTTGAAAAGGGAGCTCAAAGTTAGGAAACCTTGATGAACCACGGAGTTGCTGTTGAAAATGAACAATTCTCTGTTTTCTCGTTTAGGAGGAAACCATGTCTCATCTTAACGGATGTCCTGAAAACAAAAATGGGAAAGGATTTTAAAAGAAGGGTAAGAATGAGTAGTTTAACTAGAAAAAGAGGACGACAGAGGAAGAACGGTGAGGAAAGCAACAAAGAAGCACTGATCAGCAGGAACACTCGGTCTGTTCAGAAAGAAGCAGCAAATAATACCAGAAGCAAGAGTTTACCTCTAGAGAGCAGCTTGAAGATCACCACCCCCTCTTCTCAAAGGTAGGAAATTATTATCAATGTCAACGTTTTGGAACGTGATTTTAATAGAAAGTTTTATCCATATCGCTCCCAAACATTTACAGTTGAATCAGCCATTTTTCTTTTTTGTCTTTAGAAAAGGAGCCAAGAAAAGACAAAAAAAGTCTCAGGAGGACAAAGCAGAAAGCCTAGAAGCTGAAGAGGGGATGGTAGATGGTGATGGTGGTGAAGAAGCAGAAGAAACGATTGCTGAAGTGTTAGGTGGGTCAGCTTTTGTTAATGGTGACTTAAAATAAGTTATTTATAACATTCAGAGAAAAGGCTTTCATTCAGGATGATGTAGAAAAAAATGCATATTGATCATTATCAGTAATTATATAAAAAAAAACTGTAGAAAATGTATTTGAAGTGCGGCCCTGGCAATCTTATGCTATTCCTTAATTAAGTAATTTTAATGAAGAGCAGACACAAATGGACGCGTGGTGGCGGGGAGGATCAGCTAACTGGACCGGCCATCCTTTGGTGAATGTGAACCGTTGAAAATATTCCAGCTGAAATCTTAAGTGGAAGTATTTCTGTGTGTTTGTGTATTTTTGCCTTTTATATACATCCATCGCAGATATATTTGGCCTGTAAACAATGAGGAGGATGTGATTATTTATACAGTTTAAACAGGGAGCCAACAAATCTTTTGCTGCACGTTGTGCAACCTGTGCTGTTGCAGCTGAGGGAGAAGCAGACAGGGAGGGCGACTGGCTAGCAGACCTGCCCAAAAGAAGAGGGTCCATGTGTCAGACGTTTTTGCCTGAATATCAAGAACAGTGGCCCTCTAAGCTCCCTCACCATGCCTTTTGCACAATCTGCAGTTATGATGTGGACATAAGCCACCAGGAAGCTGCAGGTAAATTAGCCCCGGTGATGTGTGCGTATATGGTTTAAGCTACGGATGTCCCGATCAGGTATTTTGCCCTCGAGTCCGAGTCATTTTATTTTGAGAATCGGCCGATACCGAGTCCTGATCCGAAACTTTTGATACATAAAAAAATAAGAAAAGGAAGAAACAGTTCCAGAATGTTCCTTATTTTTTATTTAATTACCTTTTTATTAAAATTTTTAACAACATATCACTTCTGTGAGGTAGCTTGAACAATCAAGTAATAAATAACATAAATTCTTCACTTTAGGACTTTATTGCAAATATAAAAAGTCTAATATAAAAACAGATAGCACTTCAACTTAAACTGACTATATGGAAGTTTGACAGCCAAAACATGTGTAGAAATAATAAATTTCTTCTTCATACATTCTCCTGCAATGCCCTGGTCCTGTAGAATGAGCCCTGGCGTTTTTACTGTGATTGCCTATTTTTCTGTAAAATCACAGAAAAAGAGAGCTGCTCGGGTCGAGCAGGCTGCTTCATGCGCGTTCACGCTCAGGCATAGCCCGTAGCATTTGCTATCCGTAGCTTTAGCAGTAGAGAGAGAGGTAGTGCCAACTCAGCAATTTTATCGCTGTTCCTAACGCCTAGTGATGAACCTAGCTACATTTCTGAGGACCCTTAGCTACTTTCTGTAGAACTTTCTTCTAGATTTTTCCTGCAAATTAGCAACAAAATAGCCATTTTCGCTCCGAACTGTTCTTCGGATTGACGTTGTTTCAGGTGTCATCAAGGATATAAAAGTTACAGATACGAAGAATGTCACTGGCGCTTTAGCTCACTTAGTAAGATGTCTGACTCTCATGTAGGGGACCTGGGTTCGATTCCAGGTGTGAGTAGTTTATTTGGAGTTTCTTTTTTACATTAATGATAATTTTTTTACAGTTAGACGCCCAAATTTTTATTTGAGACGCGCCGAACGGCATTGAATTCACGGATTAAAAAGATGTGGGTTCAACTTTCATTTTGGAACAATTTTTCAAGCAAGGGAAGGGAATGATCTGAGCATGCAGGAGGACTGACCCATCATAAACCTTTGTTGGCTGTGCTGAAGAGAAACGTACAGAACCAAATTATTTAATTAAGTAGCTGCACGTTCTCCTGTCCTCTGTCCTCCGGGCCACACACACACACACACACGCACACGCACACACGCACGCACACGGGACTGTCTCAGCTGTTATTTTCATTAAGGAGTGTCCTCTGTCCTCCAGGCCACAAACAAACACACACACACTAGAGCCCTGCACGGAAGCCCTAGGCCCTCCGGTCGGGTCGGCCCGACGTCCCTCGGGCCGGGCTTCGGGCCAACGACTGTGTAATTACCTCGGACACAGGCTGGGCCAGGCGCCTTTATTTTTAATCGAATTCATTAAAAAAATTGAAACACAAACGCAGCAGTAGAGCCCTGCGCGGGACTGTTTCTTCATCCCGCTTCTGCCCGCTCCCGCTGAATTTCTGACCATTACCACCTGCAACTGCAACGTGTGTGTTACACTCCCGCCCGCACCCGTAGCGTGCATGTCTACTCCCGTCCGCAACCGCAAAACTCGGAGAAATTATTACCTCACAATAAAAGAGATGTATCGAGTTTGCGTCCTCTCTGGTCCTGGAGAAAACATGTCACAACCCGCGACTCTTCCATCCATCTGATGTGGCTCTCTGTGCTTGTAAAATAACGAAAGGATATTTAAATAAAATGCTTTATATTTTACTGAATTAATTTTATATCTGTAAGTCAATTCTATGTAAAGATTGTCTGCGTAAACCTGAACAGGTCCAACCCAGTCTTACTGTGAGTTCGGGTTAACGGGTCACGCTTCCTGAGCTGAAGAGATTCTGGGATTCTCCTCAGACGGCTCCTGGATGTGTCGCCACATTGGAGACAGGAACAAGCGCTATTCAGCCAAAGTTTCATAATCAGGGAACATTTTCTAAGTGACAAGTCTCTCTGAGCGACAGGGTTTGGAAAACACTCGCTTCAGTGGGAGGAACCTTCCCGCATGCGCTCTGGTTCTGCAACGCGCTCCAAGCCAATCTCCACAACTTCAGCCGAGCAGCTCAGATGTTCAGATGGGAATCTTTTCTTGGGTGATTTAGCTACATCTGCGATGTGTGTAACGAATAAAATGTCAGTTCGTCTGCATGCGTCGGGGTAATTCTTTCTATTCTTTCTCCGTCAAATACGGGAACTATCCGGTCAACACAACACAAGCCCTGCTTTTAACTGTTTTTCCGTGACTGTAAATGAGGGAAAAACAAATTGATCGGATCCTGCACGTCTTTTAACACATTGGTCAGGATTGACGCACTTTGTTTTCATTTAGTTTTTAACCCTTTAACGCCGATGCGTCACCAGGATCACCGGTGACGCATCGGCGCATGTGATTTCAAATAACTCCTCGCTACTTAAACTATAAAATTCTTAAAAAATACATAAAGGAGCAAATGTGTGGTGCTTAAAGGGGTAATGAAATCAAGGCCGTTTCATATTCTATTCTCCTCTGTAATCAGGCAGTGATCGAGGTTGCTTTTCTAAGAGAGACCTGATCGGAGAAACTCCTCCAAATGTCTGACTTGCCTTGCTTTGGTTTTTGTGTCATAAAGGCCTTGTTTCAGCTTCTTTTCAACATCAGTTGCCGACTCCATAATACTCATCCCGATCCCTGCGCTGTGCGCGAGCATAAAAATTCAAAAGTCCCTTTAAAATACCTGGCAGGGGTCTATTTTGCCTCGGCCCCCAAAATGCTTAGATACGTCCCTGGGCATGGGACAGAGTTTTGAAGATGATCTGAATTGTATCAACTATGTGAATACTACATGCTGATAAATTATTGCTTTATACAGGTACAAACGTGTAGTGGGATAAATCTACCTACATTTTATTTTTTTAAGAACTTTGTTTTGTTTTCTTGGTTTTTATTTTCCTATCTTCCTGCATCTCCCAGTCCTCCAGAAAAACTCCTGCCTGCTTACTTCTTTTTCACATCACAAGTAACTTTTTAACTAGCAGATCAAATTGATCTATTGACCGCAAAAAAAGTGGAGTGTGCCCTGCGCTGCCCGGCTGAGCCAGTGACGAGCGCTGCAGCGCGAGCGCGTCCACACGTCATGCTCAAATACAGACAGAACTTACCAGAGAGAAAATGAACAGACAGGAATGACTGACTGTGTGTTAATTATATATTTTTTGGTGACGCCACTTAGAAACTTAGAAAATGTTACTGTGGCCGTGTGCAGAACGCAGCTGGAGTTCATGAATAATCAGCGGTCTGCCTGCCGCTCTCCCATCTCTGCTCAAAAGAATCCCCGCTACTGTGAGTCCATGTAAATAATGTAATATAGGTAGAAACTGGATCTCTTTTGTGCTCCTTCTGGGTGTGTAAGTTAAGGGCATCAGGGGAGCCTGACAATCTTTAAGGAGAACCAAGTTGCTCTCCTGTAATTTGAACCCAGAATTCAACTCCGGATTGGGGCTTGGATCGGGAAGTAAAGCCAGAGTCCCGATCAGTCTGAAACCACGTGATCGGGGCCGATTTCCGATCATGTGATCGGATCGGGACATCCCTAGTTTAAGCTATTTTTTAATATTACATTCTTGAAAACAGAGACACCAAAAATAAATCATTACTATTAAATACGTATTAAAATATATGTTATTAACTTTAAATGTTGAAATAATTCAATGCAAGTCATTTGTGGCTATTAGTTTGTATAAGCACACATATTAACTTTTGAGTTTTACTGTTTAATATTAAAATTCATGATATTTTGGAGTCAGGTCAAACTGTAAAAACATCTTACTAGTCAAAATAAGAACTACGAACAAGTGTGTGTGTGTGTGTGTGTGTGTGTTTTGCAGACTGTTGGCGCCATGTAGAGGCCATAAAACATTTAAAGATTGTGGCCAGTACAGATGCTGTCCCTCATTTTTGTCATCAAGCGAGCGATTTCAGACCAATTTAGACAGAAACGATGTTTACCACATTCATTGTAGAACGTAACTTGCCATTATCTGCCACAGACCATGCAAAAAGATGTTTATGGACAGTGGAATAGCCAAACAAGATGACTTTATATATATATATGTATATATATATATATAATTTATTTCCAGCTAGTGAAATTACAGCATGGAAAGCAATGGATTTGCAAAAGTCTGCAGAAAAACGCAGCAGAAATGGCACTCAAAATATATTGACAAGGTTGGCAGGTCTGAAACGTCTATGTTACTAGGACTGAACAATTTCAGGAAAAGAATGAACTGTCAGTTTTTCTAGCAGAATTTAAGATTTCAGTTCAATTCATAATTTTCTTCAAATCAAGGTTCAGCTGCAGCAGATTATTTACAACCATGAGAGGAAATGACATCATGTTTTCACTCTTTTCCTCACTTTTCTGTAGCACTGTTTGTTTGTTCCTCCTCTTTTAGAGATTTGATCTCACCAATGTTCACAGGTTCCTTCACGTTAATGTAATAATTGCTCCTGGCGTTCTGCGCACGCGCCACCTCCGCCGCACGGCGATCGGAGCCACGCCGTCTTTGTGTGTGTGTGTGTGTGTGTGTGTGTGTGTGTGTGTGTGTGTGTGTGTGGCTCACTTTGGCTCCTCCAACTGTGGGTCACATGTTTGGCTTTCCACATGTTCACACACACTTCTCGGGAAGGCAGAAATCTCCGAGCATGTGGGCGGGGAAAAGATGTGCGGAGAAGTCCGTGCTGTCCTCTTGTCCCATTTTTTTCCTATTGCACTACATATCTATCGATAGATGTATACCATTATAGAATTACTGTCCAGCCCTAGCCCTAAATGTCCACAAATATTTTTTAAAACATAAAAAAATTATTTTTGATCAGATATTTGAGAGTAGACAGAAGGAAAGAAACTAGCCATAGAAATGGGCTGATCCTAGGCAGAATGCAAATATTTGCAAATGATTTGTGTGTTTTTATACTGGGAACATCCTACACACAATGTAAATAATATATGTTCCAGATCTGTTCTTGTTATAACTGGAAATTGTCTGCATGAGCCCAAAGGGAAAAAAAGATAAACTGATTATGTCACAGATTGCGTCATTGCTTGTTGCACAGACAACTGTTATATTTGTAGCTTTATGTTGTTCCTTTGTCCCTGTCCCATGCAGATTGTGTGTTGTCTTCAAAGCCTGCTGGAGACACAACAAGCTGTGACGAGTTGTCCTCAGACAGCGTCGAAGACAGGCCCACAGCCACAGTAAAAACCAAGCAGCAGTTGGTGGGTACTCGTCATGTTGAGCTCTGATTAAACCAGTTACACTACAACATAGAAGCTCATGCTGCAAAGACGTTTTAGGGACTGTAGACTTTGTAGGGATGTGAATCTTAGAGCAACTCACAATTTGATTCGATTCCGATTCTCTGGGTGTCGATTCGATTCAGAATCGATTCTCAATTTAAATCAATTCACAATCAGTGTTAACAAAGAGTGTCAGTTCTAGGATTAACTACTTTTTTGTACAAGTTAGTTAAAGCTATGGGACACTTTTATTTTACTTTAAACTGGTCATGCTCAAAAAATGCAAATTTACAAGGTAAACTAAAGTGATTCTAAAACTGTAAACAGAAGCAATCTTTTGACCAAAAGGCAACATTTATTTTTGCTTACCTTATAAAATATAACAAATCTTTATGTTACTGTCGTAACCCCGGTTTTCTGAGTAACATGAGTGAGATGTCTCACTATGGGATACGCCCCTCCGCGGATTCCTCAGAAGCACTTATCTCATTACGCCAATTGACCCCACACCCAGAATTGTGTGAGTCATTGCAGGGACCAAAACGTCAAGCTTATAGAAGCATGCAAATGCAAGTGGAGAAGCCCAACTTGCTGCAGCACAATTCTCCTGGATGGACAGCCCCCGAAAAAGGGCCCAAGAAGCAGACAGGCCCCTAGTAGAATGGGCCCTGAGCCCTACAGGTGCCTGAATGCCCTGACAAGAGTAAGCCAGAGAAATAGCCTCCACAATTCAGTGGGAAAGCCGCTGCTTTGTGACGGGTTTCCCCTTACAAGGTCCACCCCATGACACAAAAAGCTGATCCCCCCCGCGATGGTTCCCTGTCCGATTAACATACTCCGTGAGCGCGTGAATCGGACACAGCTTGTGCAACCGCTCCTCCTCAGTAGAGGAGAAGGGCGGTGGGTAGAAAGCTGTGAGGAGAATAGGAGAAAAGGAGTCCACTACCTTAGGCATAAAGGCAGGGTTGGGCTTCAGGGACACCTTCATGTCACCTGGTGCGAACTGGGTGCAGGATGGGCGCACAGAGAGAGCCTTTAAGTCACTAACTCGCTTTGCAGATACCAAAGCCAGGAGTAGCACCACCTTAAGAGACAGGATCTTAAGGTCCAGGCCGTCCATAGGCTCAAATGGAGGCCCGTAGAGGGCCGACAGCACCAAGGACAGATCCCATGAGGGCACCAGGGGTCGAGACACAGGGAGAAGCCTGCGCGTACCCCTCATGAAGCTACACACCAGGGGGTGTTGACCTGCCAATTTCTTCCCAAAACCCAAGTGTCGGGAGGAAATAGCTGCTAGGTACACTTTAATGGTGGAGAAAGCCTTCTTCCCATCCAACAAGTCTTGCAGGAAAGACAGAATGACGTTCACCGAGCATTGGAAGGGTGAGACCTCCCTGCCCTGACACCAGGCTTCAAACACCCTCCATTTACAGTCATATAGGGACCTAGTGGAGGGGGCCCTGGCATTCTGAATGGTTCAAATGACTGCCTGGGGCAGCTCTGCTGACCCTAACCCGCACCCCTCAGGGGCCGTGCCCACAGGGCTAGTTGTTCTGGATGAGGATGGAAGATTGAGCCTCCAGCTTGGGACACTAGGTCCCTGCAAAGCGGCAATTTCGAAGGTTGGCCCTCCAGGAGCTGGAAAATGTCCGCCACACATTGCATGGCTGGCCAGTATGGGGCCACCAGAATGAGTGTGGGGCCGAGTTTGTACCCTCAGCAAGGTGGGTGGTATCAGGGCCACTGGGGGGAAAGCATAAAGCAGTTCCCGTGGCCAGTCATGCGCCAGCGTGTCCACGCCGAGTGGAGCGTCTCAGTCACGCGGGGAGAAAAACAGTGGACACTGAGCATTCTCCTTGGAGGCAAAAAGATCCACTACGGCTCTGCCGAACCGGATCCAAATCTATTCCAACACTGCTGGATGCAGGCTCCAATCCCCGTACAGGGGAGTCCCTTTGGACAACAGATCCGCCCCCCCCCGATTCAGAACACCCGGTATGTGGGTGGCTCTGATTTAGAGGAGATGTCTGCTGCACCATAGGACCAGTCTGCGTGCCAGCGTGTGTAACCGCATGGAGAGCGCAGCCCCCCTCTGGTGGTTTACATAAGCCACAGTCGTGATGTTGTCTGTTCTCACTAGGACATGATGGCCGGAGAGAAAAGGCAGGAAGCGCCTCAGGGCTAGAAAGACCGCGAGGAGTTCCAGATAATTTATGTGTGTCCCCCAGAGCTCTCTGCCCACACACCCCTGACAGAGTGACCTTCCAGGAGGCCCCCCAACCTGACAGGCTCGCATCTGTCCTGACCACTTTGCTCATGAGAACCAACCCCAAAGTCATCCCCTGTGCCAAGAGGGAGGGGTGACGCCAACAGCGGCGCGCCGCGACACACGCTGCAGAGACCGTCACCCTGCGCGCTCTGTGGCGCACTGGAGAGAGTCCCAGTGAAGCCACCCAGCGTTGAAAATCTCTCATGTGTAGACGGCCGAGTGGTACCACTGAAATAGCCGATGCCATGAGACCCAAAAGCCTGAGGCACAACGCAAACCGCACCGAACTGTGTAGGCGGAAGCGCGCCAGGCAGAACGAGAGTGTGTTCACGCGCAGTGCCGAGAGACGGGTCTTGAACGCCCCTGAGTCCAGATTCAGACCTAGAAAGGTTATTTTCTGGGAGGGGAGTAAAACGCTTTTCTGCCAGTTTATTCTGAAACCCAGACCACACAAGTGATGGATCACAACCAGCGTGTTTGACGTTGCCTCCTCTCTGTACCGTGCCAGCAGGAGCCAGTCATCTAAGTACGTGGCCAGCCGAAAGCCCCTCTCTCTCAGAGAGGCGATCGCCACCTCCGTACACCTGACAAACACCCTCGGGCTCAGGGAGAGGGTGAAAGGGAGCACGGTGTATTCGTAACACACTCCCTGAAAGACAAACTTCAGAAATGTCCTGTGTGGAGGGTACACGGGAATATGAAGGTATGTGTCCCTCAGGTCGATTGAGGTGAACCAGTCGTTCTGGTGAATCAGACGCAAAAGGGATGAGAGCGTGAGCATTTTGAATTTGTACTTTCTGAGGCATCGGTTCAGGGCCCTCAGATCCAGGATCGGGCGAATACCGGTCCCTTCCCGTTTCGGGACCAGGAAGTACCTGGAGTAGAAACCGCTCTGAGACTGATCGGGAGGCACAATGCATATCCCTCCCTTCTCTAGCAGGGAGGAGATTTCTACCTGAAGGATGTGAGCTGATGTCCCCTGGGCGTGGGAGAACACTACACCGGAGAATCAAGGAGGAACTGAAGCGAATTGGAGCCCTGTAACCTCTCGAAATAGTTCTTAGCACCCAATGTGAAGCGGAAACCGCTGTCCATTCCTCTATGTGAGTGGAGAGCGGTGACACAGCCGTGACACACGGAGCAGCAGCTCCCTCCAGAGGCTCTGGGGCAGCAGTGCTTGTGGCAACTACTGCGCATGCGTGGGGACTTTGTGCTTTGGCAGCACTGGCATACTGGAACGACCCTTGGCTGGCGGTAAAATCCGCCAGGGGTCGCCCCAGCCTGGTTTCGCTCATCTGCATCATTTTTATTGATTTTTGCTGCGCCCTTGACATCTTGTCTGGATGCGGCAGCAAACTTTTTAATGCTTCTTGAGTGTGACATGTTTGTGAAAAACAATGTGAGTGCTTGTGACGTGTGTTTTGAGCCGGCACGGCCGGTTGCACGTCCTGGCCCCACCCTGAACCGATCAGGGACTCTGCCGGGAGGGTCACATGGGGGGGGGAGAAAGCACCATGGTAACACCGAACAGGTGGAGCCAGCGAACGGGGAACTGCCAGCTGCAGCGTTGGGAGGGAAAGAACTCCGTCAGGATGCTCTTTTCTTCTTTCTCACCTGCTGACCGCCAGGCCGGGTGGGTTGTCCCGGTGGCGGAGCGGCTTGGTTGCTGGACCTCTGAGGCCAAACTGGTCGAGGCGCTGAGCCCGAAGGAGCTGGTTGGACTGCTTGAGGCTTCGGGCGCTTTGGGATCCGGAACTGAGGCTGGGCTCGGGCAGCTGCCTGAGGAAAAGTCGGCCGAGCCGGCAGAGCAGGTGAAGGCTTACGGGGAAGGCAGAGTTGAAGGGCTTCATCCTCTTTCTTCTTTGCCTCACATCGTTGTTGCATTGATGCCAATGCAGAGCCAAAAATGCCTTCAGGCACAATTGGCATGTCCAAAATGTCCTCCTTCTCTCTATCAGAGAGGTTGATGAGGTTCAGCCATCGTGCACGTTCTTGAAGCACCATCGTGCCCATAGCTTTACCCGTGGCCTGGACCACGCAGCGCTGCACCGCGCAGCGCTGCACCCACAGGCAGATGTCGGTCAGTACGGTGATTTGCTCCCACACCTCCCGGTCCGGTTTTGTATTCATGTCCTCACAGAGCTTAGCTTGGTATGCTGAGAGCATGGAGGAGACATTCAAAGCTCGAACCGAGATGGCGGCAGCCTTGTACATCCTCTCGTTCAGCTCCGACTGAAAGCGGTCCACCTTGCAGGGAGAGCGGGAGGCCTGGAGGAAGTTGCCGAGAGCCGTGGGTGCAGATGGGCTGCAACCAGCGGTTCCATCAGCGGCATGCGAATCATGCCAGCCTTATCCACACCCTTGAAGTCCAGCGAGGAGGCTCTTTGGACAGGAGACCTGGAGCTGAAAGGGTGTTTGTCCCAGGATGATCTAACTTCTTCAAGGAGCTCCGGGAAGGCGGGCAGGAGAGGCTTTGCCGCCCTTGTGGCCTGAGGCAGCTTCTTTCCCTCGTAGCGGGATCTGACAGCTTCAGTGACCACGGTGGGCCAAGGGATGTTGAGCCTGGTCGCAGCGCGTCGGCAGACTGACTGCATGTCCAGGTGGGCGGCCGGAGAAACAGCTCCATCCCTGGGAGAGGACGGAAAGCTAGGCATGGAGGCCTGAGCGAGGGGGAGAAAAACGTTGTCATCCTCGTCCTCCTCTGAAATGAGGAGTTCCGAGGTGTCCTCGTCGTCTCCGTAATTCAACTCCAACATGTCCTCGACGGGGTGGCTCGGAACGGCCAGTTCGAGCTGTGAGCCCCAGCTGTGTTCGTCACACGGTCCCGGCTCCGGGAGGGCATGTTCGTCGGCGTCCCCAGGCGGTGGCCCAGGGGCCAGCAGGCATGGGGCCTTCCCCGACAGGCTAGCTTGGCGCTCTAGCTGCCGGTGAAGGCTCTTCAGGGTGAAGCAAGCACAGCTCTCACATGACCCGAGGACTTCCAATGCTAGCTGGGCGTGTTCCAGCCCGAGCAGACCTAGTGTGGGTCTTTGCTCGAGATTTTGTTCCCGCAGGTACAGAGGCGAGCTCCTGCACCGTCAACTCCTCTGGTGGGAGGAGCAGCTTCCGTGTGGACTAACTGGTGTGGTAGCCGGAGAACGAACAGGTGCACTGGAGTGTGAAACTGCTCGCTATGCCCCGAGCCTATGGTGAAGGTCAGGACAGAAGGACAGTAAGTTAACGTTCGGCGACGAAGAGAGAAAATTAGCTGGCTCCGTCTGTGAACAGTTGAGCTAACTTACCTGTGAGGTAAGCAACCACCGAAGCGAGAAGAGGTGATTGAATGGTGTGTGCGTTGGGATGCTTGCTACTTTTAGTAGCAGGTGACGCGTACGTCACGGTCACTGGCCAATCAGGATTGGCGTATTGAGATAAGTGCTTCTGAGGAATCCGCGGAGGGGCGTATCCCATAGTGAGACATCGAAACAAATGTTAAGAAAGAGAACTTTAGTTACCTAACAGTAGCTTTGAAAGTAAAACGGTCAAATACTTTTCAAGTATGTGTGGAATCAAGTTTAACATTTGAGTCCTCAACCTGTTTAAAAAAAGTGCCTTAGATTTCTTTCAAAGGAAAATGTTTTCTCTCATTTATCAATAACTTAAAACAAATACATGAGTATTCCTGAGCCCTCACTTATCAACTTAGAAAATCAATATGACATTAGCTCAAACGAATGAGTATGGAAAAAATTACATTCAAGTGCCCTCTTATCAGCAGATTCTAAAAGAAATCATCTCAATTTATGGGACCACAAAAGTAAACGGAGTACTTACTCTCCTAACAAAGATAAAAAACACAGACAAAAGTGCATCTCAAACCTGTAACATGCCAAACATTTGAGTTCTTGGGATCGATTCTGAACCTTTGTGAATCGATTCTGAATCTTTATAAATAAGAATCCCGATTCAGACTTGAATCGATTTTTTTCAGCACCTCTAATACTTTGGTAGCATTTTTCCTTTAAATATGCGCCACTTTACAAACTGCTGACTAGATTTAGAAAAGTTACCAAAACATGAATACAATCTATTCTAAAAGGTTTGAAACTGAAAATGTAAATAAAATTCTTATATCTACTTATTTAATGTCATTTTTTTTCCTGATAACACATTTCTGTTTCAATAGAAGCGTAAAAATAAGCCGCTTGGCTTCCAGTTCAACGGCAGAAGCAGCTCTAAACGTCTCTGCAAGAGCGTGCTTCGCTTGTCTGGTGAAGATGGAGGACAGCTTTCTTTCTCTGGTGACGATGGAGTAGAGGCTTCTTTTTCTGGAGAGGATGGGATAGACGGAGGACAAGTTTTTGCTTCTGTTAGCCTGGAGGACAGTGAGGAACATATAAATCTGGAGAACATAGACCACTGCATTCTGCAGTTTACAGTTGGAGGAGACGACGGGACGGAGGCTTTAGTTCCAGTCATAACTCCTAATGTGGAATCCAGGCTTGACGGTACGACGCAGACCAGCCCCTCTGAACCCAGTGAGTACTCCAACACACCGACCTTCTAGCTTCATCATTAAACTCTGTCAGCAAATCAAGCAGCTTAAGACATTTTTACATGATTCTGCAGCTTCTGTTGCGTAAAACAGGATTCCTACTTGTCCTGGAAAACCTGGAAAATGATAGACCAATTTTCCAGTAATGGAAAGCATGTGGAAAATATGTCCTGGGAAAAAACATGTCCTCTCCCTTCTTGGTAATGAACGCAAATGGGTTAAACATTTTACTCTAGGAATGGGCGATATGGCCTAAAATCTATATCACGATACATTTGAAGCACATGCACAATAAATGTTGTCTTTAGTTTATACATGTAAAAATAACAAGTGATTCTAAAAAGTATAGAATAAATTTCATCTCGAATTATTAGTATAAATGGCATTTATTTTTCTAAACTTATTTAAATAAATACATAATATCTAAAATAGTTTTATGCTAATGTTCTTTTTCCAAACAATGCAGCAAAAAATCATCAACTGAAGATAGATGAAGATATTTTAAATAAAATACAAGCTAGATGTGATGAAAACACAAAATTCTAAGTTGTTTGAACTAAAGTGAAAAATGAAAAACACAAATAACATTTCTTTCTGCTTTCCTGATTAATTTCTCATGTTTTTTTGCTCATAGAAGTGAAGTTTTACTTCAGGAGTGAATAACTGCAGGTAAAATGATGCTCTGCTGTGTTTTTTATCAGCATTTTTACAATAAGGTTGGAGGTTTATCTAATTTCTTGCACTTTTGTTGAGCTACACTCAGATCAGCTGACCCAACTTTGTGCGCACCAGCAACACAGAGCCAGACAGAGGGAGGGAGGAGCTGGTTTCAAACTAGAGCTTTTTCATTTAACGGGACAAACAGCTGAAACTGGAAAGGACTGTTAGAGAAAATTGTTGAAACTAAATCACAGGAGATATCCAAAAAGTTAGAAAGCCGAATGGCTGTTAAGTGATTTGGCGTTAACAAGCTGTTAAACGCTGATACATTAGTCTCGCCCAGCGTTTTTTACTGAGGATGTTTTTCTTCTTACCATCCATCTCCAAACCAGGTCCGTGTAACCGATGTAACCTCGTGCCCTTTACAAGGTTGTCTTCATCCACGTGCTCTGCTCTGCAGCAGCAGCTGCTGTGTTTCGTCCAGAGCTGATGCAGATTGACAACATTCATGGAAAAGATGGAGGAGTGTACGCTTAGCCGTGTTGAAGCGCTAAACTGTTGCGCTCCTTGATCTTTGATTTTTTGTTTTACCGTGTATTGCTATTTTACGTATGTGATTCCTATCTTCTTCTTCCTGTGAGATTGGTGGGGCGGCACCAAAGCTCACCCTATGGATGAGCCACTTCTGCTTTGTTGCTAGATTTACCAATTTTTCAGACCAAAGTAAGGATTTATTTCTCCAACGAAGGGCCAAAACTAGTGACTTTCAGTTCGAGTGTTGCTGTATCGCAGTAAATCGAGTTAGAGGTTTTTCTTCTTCTTTCTGTTGAGTGACAGAGGAGCAGCGGAGAGCTGTGGGTATGTCATCACTCATGTCTTTGCGTGAAATATATTTTTAGTTTTAGTGGAGCCGTAGCAAACATGACAACAGCTTCGAGATAGCGATGGACAACAAGTAGTCTTACCACGTTCCACTCAGTATTTCATACTTGTTCTATTGTCCGACAGCAGAAACAAACAAACAAAAAAAAAATCAAGATACTATGTACCGTAAATCCTCGAACACAGGCCCGGGCCTTTATTTACTCAAGCACATCCTGGTTCAGGCCTTTATTGGAAGGAGGCCAGATTTAGAGGCAGGCCTCAATTTCAATTTGAGCAAATTAAGCTACCAGTAGAATGAATAAAACCAGATTTTTTGTCTTATTTGAACCTATAAAACACTAGGTTCGTTTATTGAAAATGTACAATTCACTCTGCTCCTTCTGCATGAAACAGGCTGCAGGAAAACTGGAAATTAACCGAGTTTATCTCCTTGAATACATTTAAAACTAGACTGAGATTACCTGTGTTGTAACTGCCTTCTGTAATTTTTGTACATAACATGTCTGTGTGACTGAAAAATTTGTAACTGTAACTTTTGCTGCCGCTTGGTCGGGACTCCCTTGAAAATGAGGTTTGTAATCTCAATGGGACCTTCTTGGGTAAATAAAGAATAAATAGATAAATAAAAACAGTTAACATATTATCGCTGGAATCAATTATGTGACACACTTTTACTTTCAGTTTCACATCCACCGCGTCTGCTTAGCTTCTTTTACTTTTACATTCCCGATACGTTTGACACTATTGGTGGTGTTTTTACCATCCTTTCTACACCCACCATGACCTGAACATAGTGAAACTGTGTGATCCTCATGAAGCACACAGACTCTGTTGCTGCGTGCAACCCTTTCATTCTCACTGGACGAATGCATGTCTTCATCAGAGGGTAAATTACTCTTCAGAATCGTATTGTTGAGCTTTGTCAACAATGAGCAGACCTGTCAGCATTGTAAGATTTCCTCTAACATTTGCCCTTCGTGCTCCGCGCTCCTCCTCGTCTCCTCTCCTCAGTCTGGAGCCTTCTGATGGTAGGAGACTTTCAAGCTCTATAATCTCCAAAAATTTTAATAGAAACACCCAAAAGTGTAGCTCAGATATAAGTTACACATCTCCACTATCTTCTGGTGTAAAGTAATAACTTTATGAGAGATTATATTTGCAGCTGTGGCTCGTTAAACCCAGTAATGATGCTTTTTGCAATATTGACACTTTGGTGCTTATAGGGTTGATTTTAGTCTTTCTCAGCAGGTCTTTGAGTTATAAGCCTACATTTATAATTTATTACGATAAAATACACAAGGGGTCAAGTGAAGCATTTTATTTTTAATTTTAATTGGTATTGTGCATTGTTGTTATGTCAGTGCAAATTAGATGTATATATATATATTCTTCCGGCTCTTGGAGAGTACAGACACTTTTTTCTCCTCTCCCTCCCTCTTATCCCAAGGCTCTTTGTCCTGTCCGTGCACGGCGCTTCTGCATTTTTTCTGGAAACTGTTAAAAACGGACCTGGTCAGATGGTCTCTCAACGCGATTGACCAAATTTTTTCAACGAAGAGAACGAGAGAAGGAGCTCCCGGATGCCCCTCTGGGACAGAGCCAGCTGGGTATATCATGGACTCCTGGAAAAAGTGGAACCTGATATGCCTCTCTCAACTGTCTGTAGAGGATTCTGAAGATGTTTGGTTATTCGTCGTTTTGGTGTCGGGATTCCTGCTGTTTGGCCTGAGCGGTTACCTGGCTTACCGGAAAATTAACAAGCTTTCGAAAAAAAGGAAACAGTTTGTTCAGATAAAGGACCATAAATCAAAACTATGTGAAATTAATTGTGGAATGCCATAAGGGTCGGTCCTCAGACCAAAACTGTTCATTTTGTTTATTAACGACTTATCTAAGACACTCTGTACCATTCTATTTGCAGATGATACAACACTGTTTTACTCAGGATCAAATATTGAGGAGGTGGCTAAAGTGATAAATGATGAACTGAATCTTAATAAAACAAATTTTATTCTGTTTAATGATAAAAAGAACGGTGATGTGTCATTGGAAATAGATGGGATTGCAATTCAAAGAGTAAAAGAAACTAAATTTCTTGGAGTTCTTATTGATGAAGACTTGTCATGGAAATCCCATATTAGTTACATAAAAGGTAAAATTGCAAAATCCTTAGGAGTATTACATAGACTCAAGTTTTTACTGACTAATTCTGGTTTGTTGGCATTGTACAATTCACTGATTGTTCCATACTTGACTTATTGTGTAGAATTCTGCGGAGCAACATACAAAAACTATACACAACCCTTATTTATTTTACAGAAAAGAGCTCTGAGAATCATCACTTATAGTGGCTGTAGAGATCCATCGAACCCATTGTTTATTAAATATAAATTACTGAAATTTCATGATTTAAAAAACTGGAAAATCATACAAACCATGTATAAAGCCAAATTAGGTACTCTGCCAACAAACATTCAGGGGATATTTGAAAAGAGAACTAGAACATGCTGAAAGAAACTGATGTGTTTACAAAACCTAGATTTAGAGCTAAAATTAAGGAGTGGAATATATCTGTAAATGGTGTTAAATTATGGAATAACCTTAAAAGGGAAATTTAAAAAACTCTGTCATTTAATATATTCAAAAAATGTACCAAATTGAGTGTACTAAATAATTATTAAAATGTAAATTAAATCAGTGATCATGATTGCACTGGAATGTAGAACAGGAAAAAGTTTAAAATGAATCTGTATGTGTGTCTGACAAATGGTAATTATATATAAATTGATTATTTTACTGGAAATGGGGGCAGAAATTATAAGATGTTTTTCTACATTCTGCTCCTTTTCGTTCAAAATTGATTTGTTGTTATGTATTTCTTATTGCTTATATGTTTTATTTGTTTTATTTTGAATGAAATAAACGAAGAAAAAAAAATATATATTTATTGGCTCAATCCCGGAGCTCAGGGATGGAATGCACCGCGCTCTGAACGCACAAACTCGTATAATTGTCGAGATGAGTCGTAAGCTTGGAACTTTGGCTAAGATTCAGGCTCTGGCACAGAAGGAGCAAGTGGACGGATCAACACGAATTGGGATGGATACGCCATTATTGGATCTAGAGGGGTTGAATACCAACTGAACACTAAGGCAGAGAGGAAATTATCTCTGTCTTTCCCCAAAACAATTTTTATCTGAATCTGGTGCCCTTGGAGCCTGTGAGGCTGAAGTGATAACTCCCCCCACTGAAGAAATGTGGAATGCTGCCGTCGCTATGGAAACTCTTTCTCCCTATCCCAGCCTGGGCGGGACTGTGTCCGGTGAAGGCCGTGGAACCGTATCTAGGAGTCACTGTGCCCTCTTACCCATTATCTCCCTCCCCTGTCCACATGGAGGTGATGAGCGCTGCTCCATGCGGCTGCACGCACTGAAGTGAGGAGAGTCCCAACCCTACCTCCCCACCTAGTGGACACTTATGTTGTGCAATGTCTGAAGTCTGTGTGCATATCTGTCTGAGGTGTTTTTTTGCATAGCAAAACTGCCCTCTCTGTGGAGGGTAACTCTGAAGTGCCTTTTCCCCCTCCCCCGACTCTATCCTCATATAAACCCTCTTGTTCTATTACGGTAGCGCGACGGGTTGCGAATGACCACAGTCACCAATTCTTGTCATGTGTCTATGTATGTATGTCTGATCTCAGAATTGTGTGTACTGAAACTCTAATTTCCCTCTGGGATTAATAAAGTATTTTTAAATTGAATTGAATTGAATATGAGTTTGTTATTGATTTATTGCAGTCCTTTGATTTTAGTGAGGTTAGTACACATCATAGCCATATATGCTATGGCCAGCCGAGAGACATAATCCCTCCAGCGTGTCCTGGGTCTTCTTTTAGGTCTCCTCCTGGTTGGATGTCCCCAGAAAACCCCACCGGAGAGTAGGGCTGGGCGATATGGCCTAAAATCAATATCACGATATATTGAGGATTTAACCTCGATAACGATATATGGACGATAACTACAGGTATGCGCAGAGACAAAAGTTGTCCACTAGATGGGGCTGTCACATGCATTACGTTTAGTCAAATCTTTACGTGACTCAAGGTGTACAGCTTCTTAAAGGGACATGAATGTTGCCAACCTACACGCATCTTTTCATTTTTTATTACCAAATTTATTGACATGGGAAAAATCTCGATAAGAGTCACAAATTTCGATAATACATTTTTGATTTATTGCCTTGCCCTGCCAGGGAGGTGTCCAACAGGCATCCTAACTAGATGCCCAAGCCACCTGAATTGGCTCCTCTCAATGTGGAGGAGCAGCGGGTCTACTCTGAGCCCCTCCCAGATGACCGAGCTCACCCTATCTCTAAGGGAGAGAGCCCAGCCACCATGCGGAGGAAACTCATTTCAGCCGCTTGTATCCGCATTCTGAAACATCTTGTTCTGTCAGTCTCTACCCAAAGCTTGTGACCATATGTGAGGGTAGGAACGTAGATCGACCGGTAAATCCACAGCTTCACCTTCCTGCTCTGCTCTCTCTTCACCACAACTGATCAGTACAACGCCCGCATCACTGCAGAGGCAGCACCAATCCGCCTGTCGATCTCCCGATCCAAAATGGAGCATGAGATGGAGCTTTTAATGATTGACAAAATAATTTCTTTTGGTGTTTTGGTTTTCAGTTTTCAGCCAAGAGTTTTTATTTTGGTGCATCCCTGCTCATACACTGAGAAACTCTTCAGAAATCAGCTGGTTTATGAGGGAGTGAGTACTCGAGGACTCATTTAGTTTTCCTTTTTAGAGGATTATTATTTTTCAGAAAATATGAATGAGAACCCCTGACCTCTTGTTCCTTCATAGTTCTTTATTATATCAACTTGAGGGTTAAATGAGGGCATGTGTGCTTAAAGGCATCCTACTTGCTTACTTAACAGGATTATAAGGAAAATGTTCTTTGTGTTTCTGCATTTCAGTTGTGTTGTCCAGTGATGATGAGGAGTCTAATAACAAACCTCAGCGCAGCAGCGAGGTGATCTTTCCGGTGTCTGACACGACCATACAGGAGTCTGTCTCCAAATGGATGGATGCTCCAGACTTACAGGACCAGCAGGTTGGTACAGTGTTGCTCCTAATCTAAAAAAAACATTCCCACACTTCTTCTCCTGCCTTAAATTTTCTGTATAAAGTTGCAGCAGGTTTTAAGGGAGCTAAAGGTAAAGCCCAGATTAACCCGGCAACATTGTTTTAGAGGTATCAGGCTGGGGCCCAGGTTTTACGTCACCCCGGGGTGTCGTCACACTGACGTGAATCAAAGACCTGCTGCGACTCGTGTATCCACCAGCAGGTGGTGCCAAAGTTACGAGACAAGAACACACACAGTGGCTGTAGGTTATTGAACTGATAAAGTTCTCTCCATCTTTTTGTCTCTGCGTTGTTGATGCTGCAGCGAGCTGTGGACGAGTCTCCTTGCTCAGGACCAGCCTCTCCTCTCCCTGAAGATGATTACTCGTGTTTGAGTGTGGCCTTTTGCTCCCTGCGCTGTGGAGGTTACAAAGCAAGAGCCAACGGAAGCTTCGTGGTAACTCCAGTAATATAACACTGATGATTCATCTTTAATGATCAAAATCTAGCTCATCTTTGTTTTTATTATTTTTACAGATAGCCAAACACAAAATCATCATCCCTCTGAAAGGTATTAACTTAATTTATTGACACAGCGTACACATTCCTTAAGAGAGGACAGCATAGTTGGCTTGTTTGATTAGAGTTTGCTCAGATTTTCAACTTTGTTCCTTTTCTCTGACCTTTGGTCCTGTTATAACAACAAAACAACCTCTGTTTTGTTCCACTCATGCTGTCTGCGTACCATCCTTTCTTGGCTTAGTGTTCTATTTTAGCTTGAGTGTGTGTTCTAATGGATTAGAACATCTAGACCCCTTTAGCACGTTCACCCCAGAGCCGATGACTCTCTACCTCCGTCAGCTAAGAAGGTTATTCACTCGGGTTTGATCCTGGATTTATCAGTGTAACAAACGCTTCTGTTAAAGAAAATTCACTACATACAAGAGTCAGTACAGGTATTTCTGCAGAAGCAGTACCCACGTAACACCTAACATGATGTCAGCACTTGCAGACATAAAGCTAATCATACCTCCTGGTGTCCCCAGATACAAGCCAGCAGCAGAATGGGACGGTGAGTTTTGAGCGCAGAGAGCTGAGGAGGTACAGCATTTGGACTCAGCAGGAGATGGAGGTGTGGGAGTTTCACTTTGAAGACGACGGGGAGCCCTTTTTTGGCATCCTGCTGTTATATGTGTCAGAAACAGCTGCAGCGGCTTTACGGGAGGACCTTAGTCAGCTGAGTGTCGAAGACGATGGATTCATAAATACAGGTGGGATAACAGGAACACTAATCTAAACTTTGACTCTTTTGTTGCTCAAAGTGACAAAGCTCTTTATTTGAATAGGGAAAGCCAGCCCTTTTGTCCTGCTCACTCTCAAAGATCCTTTGGAGGGAATGGAAGGAGCTTTGCTGCGTTCTGTGCTGGATCTCGACTGCATCAACAGCATGACAGAAATCCTTCCAGCCCACGGTGACGAGGGACATTTTAGCATGGAGGACCTTGATACTCCGGTCCTTTCTCTGGACAGCAGCATAGAGCTGATTAGGAAGACTGGACTGGACTCACACCTGCTCTCCATGCTGGGCATAAAGGACTCTGAGTGTAAACCGGCGGAGGAGCAGGACAGTTCAGATAACGATGGAAACGAAATCCCCACAGCCCATATCTGGCTGGATACGGACTTCCAGAAGGAGTCAAATCCGGAGAAGGATCCGGACCCAGAAGAAGACACGGAGACACAAGTTGAACCAAATAAGGACCCGGAACAGGAAGTTCAGAAGTCCCCTGATGTAAGTGGATCCAGCAGAAGCAGTCCAGCTGCTTAGAAGATCCAAACGAATGAACACAATAAACAGAAGGTTTTTTATGAAGTCGTTAGATTGTCAAAACATACGTTTACGGATTTATCAGCTTTACCGTCTGCGCTTTAGTTTATTAAAGTTTTACTTTGACAGAACCCAAAGGAGGAGGCCCAGCTCGTCTACGCCGTTTGCCATCGTAGATCAAAAGACTCCTACTCTGTATTTCTGCAGAAACCCGACTCTAACTGGATCAAATTTAAACATCGAGGTCTTGCTCGAAGGCAAGTCACCCATGTCTTCAGACTAAAGATCTGTCAAACATAAATAAAAATATGTCCCTCCTGTTCTTAGGTTGATACAGTTCCCCCCACCCCCGCAGAAAGGAGGAATAACCGTCACCATGGAAGACCTGCGGTGCCTTGACAGTGGGCAGTACCTTAATGATGTCATCATTGATTTTTACCTGAAGTGAGTGCAATCATTTGGTTAGTGAGATGAGTAACTCTTTGTGATGTCGTTTAAGTCCACTGATGTTTCCAATTCAGATTCCTCATCCAGAACGCGTCCGCTGACTTCACTGAGCGCTGCCACATCTTCAGCAGCTTCTTCTTCAAGCAGCTGACGCGCCGGGACAATGCCAGTGAAGGTGTTAAAAATGACTCGTAAGTCACAGTTTTCACTAGTTTAATAATTAATGGGTGTTAGGAGTTATTGTTAATTAAAACAATTCTTTCCGTTAAAATTTAAATTCTCATTTTTAACTTACTAAGGATTTTTAAAAATTGTGTTTCGGGTGTCAAACAAGTTGTCAAAGGCAGAGGCGGCACCAGCGAGTGAAGACGTGGACTCGACACGTGGACATCTTTAAAAAGGACTTTGTGTTTGTGCCTGTCAACCAGGAGTGAGTGAACTAAAAATAAAGAAAATGTTTTTATTCTGTAGATTTTTAAATCTCATGTTTTCTTGTTCAGGTCTCACTGGTATTTAGTTGTGATTTGCTTTCCTGGCCTGGAGGAGTCCAAACTGGAAGACTGGACAGGCGACCTGGACGATCAGAACGAGTCCCCAGAGTCTAACGCAGAAACAGCAACCACGCAAAAATCCAGTGACGGCATGGACTCGGAGACGGGTACGGAGGCGTTTGTCAGGATCATTGTCGTGATGTTGGAAAATAAATCATGTTAATTGTTTGTTTTTTATCTTTTAGAAAAGAATGGAGCAAAATCCACAACAAAGGCGCAACTGTGTCAGATTGTAAGGACTCATCTTCTTGTGCTCAATAGAAACGTAATTTTTCTTCCTATTTTAACCTGTTGGGTCACTTTGTCGTTGCAGAGTTGCACAAAGCTGACATGCCAGAGAAAGACCGTTTGCAAAAGGTGAGTTTGGCCTGTCTCCAAAATTACTTACCTAACGGATATCATGCACTCTACTTCCGCTATTGAAATAAGAAGCTGTGCACATGGTTAAACTACAACAAACCTCTACTGTTTTATGTTCAAAATGTTGTGTTCTGAGTATTTATCTTTATGTGTTTAACAGTCGTAACTTTATTCGGTTCTGTATATCCAGGCAAACCATAGCAGTAGCAAAAAGATCTAGCTCTGCAGGTTGACCTAGCCACGCTCCATTGTAGCCTCAGCAGGCATACCATTGGCCTGAGCAGTTTTGTGTCTGGCCAATCACAGGGCTCTACATTTGTTGAGCTAGAGGTGAGAATAACAGCAAAGATGGAAATGGTGCTTGTTTGAAACAGCGTTTCCATAGATTTTGGACAATTTAGACTTGAGCTCCCCTTTGAGACGTGAGCAGATAAGAGGCAGTTAAAGTGGCAGTGTGTAGTTTCCTGGTGCTAGGGGCAGTACGTGCATACATTTCAGGGTAGTTTTACACCATATCGCCCTGACTGTTTAAAAACATTACGGTAAATGTTGTTACCTATGGAGCAGAAAGCATAAGACCTTGGCGTGACTCCTCAGACGGTGTTCCTTCAGTTAATTCCATTGAGAAAATGCAATGCCGATTGTAGTTTTCTGGTGTTGAAGTTTCTGGTCTGCTTGGAGTCCTGTGCCTGCCAATACTACGGCAATACCGCTAGGCCAAAATATAATGCATCTCTTTTTCAATTCTTTCACATATTATTAAATTTGTGTTTCTTAATGCCTACATGTTTTTGAATGTGGTAACATAACTTCCATAAGTCATACAACCAGCCGATCTCTGTATGATGTCATCGACAGGCGCAGGACCCCGAGCTGGCAAGAAGGAAACATGGCGTCTAATGTGGCGTCCCCCATAGACGCAAGATCCGCGCTCTATTAGACCCAAGTTATATGTTACAAAGCCGCCAATAAGTTTCAACAACTGAACATAATTTTATTAATTTTCAACATTCCGATGGATATTTCCAGAGAATAACGGTAAAAACTGCACATATATATTTGACTCTTCGGCGGTGTATGGGTATGGGGGACTGCCCCACTGATTGACAACCATAGAGGTGATAACATCGTGTTGCCCGTTTGCTCTGATTGGTCCTAACGCTGTTCAGTGGCGTGCAGGAACAGTTTGATGGACAACCGTAGCTTCCACCCTAAAGAGTGAACCGTTTCCGTGATTCGTGGCAAGACTATACATTTACATATACAGGACGGCTTACCGGGCTACAATATTTGTACTTGGACACAGGAAATTGTCCCAAAGCTGACTGAAGTAGGTAGAAAAGTGTAGAAGACGATGCAATTTTACAATCTAAGGACGAATTTGAACCCTGGTTTGATGCGCAGTTGAAATTTCATTTAATGAAAACCAAATGACCAAAATGTGGACATCTGTTTCCCCAGGCCGTGCATTCTCATCATGGATTCCCTCAAGCTGTCTCTTCATGAGCGAGTCTTCAAACTTCTACGAGAGTAAGCGGCGCACGTCGAGTCTGTCTGGATGTTGGTTTTTTGGTGTTTGTTAATGGGAGTCTTGGTTCCTCAGGTACTTGCAGTCAGAGTGGGAGGCTCGTCGTGGATCATCCAGGGATTTTGGTCCTGATCAAATGAAGAGCTCACACTGCAAAGTTCCACTTCAGGACAACAGCACCGACTGTGGCCTTTATCTCCTTCAATACGTCGAGTGTTTTTTAAAGGTATTGTTCATTACTCTAGAGCTCAGATTTGAACATGTTCTGAATAGTTTACTAAGTCAGTGAAATATTAAAACGCCACGTGTTTGTTTAAGCTTTGCTTCTTAAAGTGATTAAATATCTTTGCTCTCAGGACCCTGTGGTGCACTTTGACCTCCCTCTACACCTGCAACAGTGGTTTCCACGGCAGCTGATCCGGAACAAACGTGATAAAATCCGAGACCTGATCTTAAACCTTTATAGACACCAGAACCTGGAAAACAATAAAAAGTAGAGGCTCTCCACGTTCCTGTAGCTGGTTCACATCACTGCTCATACTGAACTCTTCTGTTCCAACTGTTTTATTTTTTATTTTCAGGACTAAGAAAAGGATGGTTAAAACATGTGTACATACAGCCAAAAAGACCAAAAATATGTTGCTACATACTAATGTTTGTACACCCCAAGGTTTTTTATTTTATTTTATTTTTATGCTATTTAGATCTTTTCTAATGCTTTATGTAGCTTTTGTTTCTCTAAGGTCACATCAAATGTTAGTTGAACTTGTGAAATTGTGACAGTGGTAAACGGTAGCCTAATAAACTTTGTTGAGGTTTGTTTAAATTTGAGAATGTTTGACTAGTTTGGTCCAGTTTTCAGCTTTTCGTGTGACTTAGTTATATCTGTTGGATCAAAACCTTTGTGTTTGTTTCAGACAGCACAAAGCGACAACTCTCTAAAGCTACGTGAAACTTTTACAGCTTTAAACTAAATATTCAAGCTAACAGCTATCCACTGTCATCTGAATACATGATATTATTATCATAATTTATATGTTTGACAAGCATCAAGTTTTTAGTTCTAATTTTCTTAATGTACAGGAAAACAAGGAGAAATATTTGGTATTTTTTTACATATGAGATCAAGAAAGATCCAGTTTGCAGAAACCCAACCCATATAACACTTAACACTCTAAATTAATTGCTTTTTTTATTTTGTGTAAATTCATCTTTAGAACTAATGATGTATGAAAATGATAAAAAAAAATGTTTCTTTTAACACGGTAACCTCCCGTTATAGGCTGGTCTTTTGTTTTAGAAAATATGCTGAACGAATGTTGATTTTAGAAACCAATTTAGTTTCAGTTGTGTATTAAAACTCATGCAACAAACTACATTTATCATTTTGACTTTATTTTAAACCTAATTTCCATGAATAGAAATAAGAAATCAGTTTATTGTCAGTGAAGTTTATGTGATTCCAATGTTTCCCATTTTAGTTTACACTCTGTATTTTTGCAAATAATATTAATGTTTATCATAAGTTTACTTTTATAATGCAATATTTTCCTGATTGTATTTTTATTCTGATAAAAAATTTATACATTTACCTCCTGGAAACAGTTCAGATTTTAGGTTTACTTGTTCATAAGAGAAACCTGTTCACCAATGTCCCATATAAGTTCAAACTGCAGCAGCATTTATAGTTCTACCTGGTTATTTTCCTGATTTATTATTGAAAATGGCATCTAAAGGAACACAGCAGTTTTCTACTCATCCGCCCTGCTGGTTGAAAGTGGAATTGCAACTAAAGCAAATAACCCTGCTGCAGTCTTCTGTAGCTAGCGCAAACAATGAGCTAACAGTAACACGAGCCAACTAATACTAAAATAAACCACAAAGTAAAAAATCCAAACAGTTTGACACATTTTTTATAACATATCCAGTAACAACAAAGCCAGGTCATCATCAGTCCACGTTTTTTTAAATTTCATTCAAAATAAAAACTTACGTCCTCGACAGGTGTTAAAATGTGAAGGAGGGGGCAAAATGGTTTTCATTGTTGTAAAAGGTTCTAAAAATGAGCAAACAGATGGTGAGCATTATAAAGATAATGCAAAACAAACAAACTCTCAAAAAGGTTAACATTACACCAATTACCAACGATAAAAACACCTGGTAAAAACATATTAAAGGGAAAAGTGATAAAAATGTTGCAAAAGATCCAAACTTAGCTAACTTATTGTGTTTGACTGCTGCTAGTTCAATCAGTTGTGGAGGTGTTTTCACAACGTCATTTCCTTCATTCTTAGGTTTTCCCTCTTTGCAGCTGCTTAAACCTAAGAAGAGTTAGATTTGCAGGGTTAAAGGTATAATTCTCACTGCTGTTTACGGAGGATTCAGTGATTTCAATGAAGGTGGATGATTTAAATTTAAATATCCGGATCATTTAATTGTTTCTGATAGTCATATGTCTTTAGATTTGTGGATGTGAGATTTGGTTTAAATCTCACATCCACATGGTTTTTAAAATTTCTCACAAAACATGAAAAATTCCAGCAAATCTCCAGATGATGGTCCTCCAAATTACCCCAATGTTTCCTGTTTATTCTGTGTATTCATTACTTTTCCATCTTCATTTCCATCTTGATCGGCATCCTCCCTTCATTCGGTTGCTCTAGTAACTTCTTGGCAGGTTCTTCTGACAGGATTAAAGTAAACGGGATTAAGAGCATTAAAAAATCCCTCTCTCTTCACAAGCCATCTGCCTATCTACCTGAGCCAGGAGCTGTGCTCTCAGCCCTGATTTACAACTGCAGAGGGAAGCAGAAGACGGACTCTATTGTCAGATGATTTTCTCTGCGTTATTAATCACACCTGGAGAACTTTGAACTATGCACTCTTGTAAACTGTGGCTACAAAACTTGAGAGGAAACACATATCTGCTCAATCCCTTTCCACGTCCAAGGATTTAGGCACAATCACGGATTTAACATGAGCAACGTAACTTTGAGAGGTCTTTTCACTGCTCTGTTGACTCTATTGGTCAGCATTTTGGACAAACAGACAGGTATGTTAATAATAAAAATCTTTTCACACTGTTGTGGGATGACTAACTTTTAAATGTTTTTGTTGTGATGTAACAAACTCTGGAAGGCTCCTCTATGGGACACCCCGGACAGCCTGCTGTGTTCCCACACATCACCCGCGTGTCTGACGTGAAGGGGTCCTATGAAAGCCACGTCATTATTTCTAGACAGAAAAGGAACATCTTTTTCCAGAATGGAGTCAGACTGTGTGCACAAGAGACTGCTGATCAAGTGGTGGAACATCATCAGAACTACTTTCACCTGAGAGGTAAAGTTCTGCTCCAACATCAGGAACTGAGGTCACCAGTGGTAAAAATGTCCAATTGAAGGAGACATATGACCTTTGCTTAACTTATAAAAGTTCCACAAAAATTTTCACAAAGTTCTAAATCTCTCTTACACAAAGTGATTTCAGCCGTTTTATTCGTGATAGTTTCAGTACCTTCCAGAATGAGGCGTTTCAGGGCTCTGTCACTTTAGGAAAACAAGCTCTTTTAGCCACGCCCATTGATACCCCAGTAAAGCTGCTATAGAGCTCCGGACGTCACCTGACTATCGGAGCGTAGACGCCATGTTGGCAGGCAACAAAGGTAAACAAAATGGACGGGATCGGTTTGGATTTTACTCCATTGGAGTTTACTTCACACTTTAAAACCGAAAAAATTGTTTTATATAGTCAGAAATTAAATAGATTAAACATCTCCGACCCTTACCGTGCCCCTGGGATACTTTTTAAAAATGCCAGAAGCTGTCGGAGCGGACCTGGCCAGGGAACGCCTTGGGATTTCCCCGGAGGAGCTGGCCCAAGTGGCTGGGGAGAGGGAAGTCTGGGCCTCTCTGCTTAGGCTGCTGCCCCCGTGACCCGACTCCAGATAAGCGGATGAAAATGGATAGATGGATGGACAAATAACATAGATTTACATGTAAGAAGCTTAAATAGAGTGCTGTGCTGTTTGAATGTGCAAACTGAACGCTAAGAGAAATCACTAGTCTGATTTTTTTCCGTGAATAAAATAAATATGTCTGGCAGGAGCGTCTCAGGATCTGTCTCGGTGAGACAGATAATAGCAATCCAAAGTGCTTTTCATGTGTGATCTGACAATCGATCAACCATTGCTTAAAAATGAAATACAGCTTAGCCGGTTAATTGCTGTGATCATAAGACAGGTAACCGGCAGCACACAGAACTCACGAGGCAACGTTTTATGTGATGTTTACTTGTTGCTATGAGTAATAAGACAGAAAAAGCCACGCCAAAATAAGTTTAGGAAGCCCACTAAGAATCGTAATAAAAGCATTTAAAATAAATACCATACACAGTTGAGGAAATGTACCTGAAATGAAGTGGTCGCTGCATAAGCGAAAACCTTTACTCTCGGGATCCCAGTTTCATTTTAGCCCGGTCACTAGCGCGTTTTATTGCAATGATCCAACGTTTGCGGGGTTCTGGATCTGGGGAATCCTGTAGAAGGCTCTTCCCTTATCTTGTCCGCGTCTGTTCTAGCATCCTGGGGCACAACAGGAATCTACCATATTTCCCATTTGATTGAGTTTGCTGACAATAACAAATAGCCCAGCCGCGGGCTTCTGCCTGCCAAGATGGCGCCGTTTCGATTTGAACTGTTGCATGCCGGGAGAAGTGACGTCAATTCCCGGAGCTCTATTGACCCTTGGCACCCACAGACTTCATATAAGTAGACGTGGCCTGGTTCTGCCTATCGGAGCTGTTGTAGTGGCTGGCCGCCACCTTGGATGGGTCTCCATTTGCTCCCAGTGCATTTATTTTCACTGAAGGTGTTTATCAACCAAAAAACACCTTTATTATGCTTTTTCACTTAATCAGATGTGGTATGGCATGAGCGTTAAATATAGATGCAATAAAATAAAATAAATTGAAATAAAAAAAACCAACAGCTAGGCTAGAAAAGTCACTAGTAATTCCAAGTGAACTGTATTCAACACTACGCAAGTTATTGCAACCGTAGGATGCACAAAAATCCGGCATAGCTGCACACTGTGTTGACTCCAGTTGGTTTTGGAGAGTGCGAAACCCATCTAATATGGCGATAATGCTGTGACGCTCTCCGCCCAATGACACGTCTACGTATTCATGTCTATGTTTGCACCTACATCACCTGATCACGTGGACTTGCTTTGATGGACATCAGCAATTAATTAAGGGAGTACTGAACGGAGGGCAAAAGTGATGACTGAGGTTGTTTTTTTGCCAGCTTAGCCTAGTTTTTACTAGTTCAAGCCCAGTTCACTTGTGGGAAGGTTTAGCACACCATGGTGAGGCTCAAAGAGAGCACTATTTACAAAGTTATGCGTTGGCTAGCCTACAAACATTAGCTTACCTTTTCCCTGTTGCTGTTCACCAATGTAAACAAGTTGCCAACTTTGCCAGAATTCACCCCGCTGGATTTCACTTTACACGGGAGCTGATAAAAAAACAAAAAAAGAAAGTCCAGATCAACCAGTTTTTGTCGCTGGCTGGGTCACCGGGATCAGCTCACACCGGGATGGGGGAGATGAAAATCTCATAACGACGAAGGTCATCTTGCTAAATAAATAACAGGACTTTAAGAAACACTGTTCTACACTGGGACAATATTAGTTCTGTCTCCATCCCAGTTATTCGATAAAAAGACAAGTTGAGTTTACGCCCTTCTCTGTTACTGCAGCCAACCATGAAATTGACAATATAAAAGTGATAAAATGCTACAAACTGATTTGTTTTAACTAGCTTCAAAGAAGTTTCAATGTGCGTAAACGATTTTTCTGCTGTCCATCATGGCGAAGGGGGCGCCCTCATGAACGGCGTGGCGTCATGTGGAAATGGTCAATAGGCCGAAAAGCTCTGATATCTACAGTAGGATGAGCTAAGAGTAGAGCCGCTGCTCTCTTACAGCAGTGGGCAGCAGTAGCTCAACAGGTTGAGCGGGTTGTCCAGTAATTGGAAGGTTGCAGGTTCGATCCCGGCTCCAGACAGAGAATTCTGCTGTTGTGTCCTTGGCAAGACACTTAACCCATCTTGCCTACTGGTGGTGGTCAGAGGGACCGGTGGCGCCTGTGCTCGGCAGCCTCGCCTCTGTCAGTGCGCCCCAGGGCAGTTGTGGCTACATTGTAGCTCATCACCATCAGTGTGTGAATGTGTGTGTGAATGGATGAATGATACACTGTAGTGTAAAGCACTTTGGAGTCCTTACTCTGAGAGGCGCTATACAAGTGGGGTTCATTTATCATTTACAAATGATAGGTGGTTTGATTGCACTTTACCCATTTGTGACATCACAAATGGGAAATTTTTGAAACGGCTTGTTTTAGGCACGATTCCTAAAACCAAACACTGACAGAAAAAGGATGGACAGGTTATTTTTCACATTGGCGTATTAATAGAGGCAGTAGAAACTTACAGGGCAGCACAAAAGCATGGAAAAGGAGAATTTGGTCCTTTGATCTGAATTACATCCACAGATTTTTTTCAATTGAGCTTTTCTGAAGCCCCATGATGCTGCTTTAAATATTGACCTTTATTCATTTTTCCTGTCATTTTGAAGTCAGGATTTTCAAGAATCAAATTTTCCTTTTACTTCCATTAGTGATGAGAGCACATATCCTGAAATCTCTGACCTTGTGCAATGGTTCCTTGTAGAACCTGATGCTATTTGAGGACAAAATCTGCCCACATTAAATATTGATTATGTCAGAATTTATACATTTAAAACCCTTTAAAATCATCACCAAAGATGCAAAATCTGCAGGTTTGGTCCTAAAGTTACAAATGCCTCTTTCTGGTCTGATCAGTGTGCCAGGAAACCATTTGGGAAGCTTTCAAGATCTTCTGGGACCGAGTCCCCAAACAGGAAGAGTACCAGAGATGGATGAACCACTGCCAGGAGGGCACACTCACGGCACAAGATATTAGCACCTACTTCAGCCAATCAGAGGAGCACCAGGCTCTGGTTAAACAGGTGAACACAGTGACTCAAACAAAATGAAAATTGGATTGCAAGACATTTCTGTGCGGCGTTTCTGATGCAATACTGTTGTGTGTTTTCAGAGAATGTCACATTCAGGTTCTAAAAGGTAACAGAAACCCTTCACTCATGAAAGGTTTTACAGATCTGTTCATTCTCTCATCACAAAGTCTGTGTTTTGTAAAAATGTATGATTCTTCCCACCGTCTGTAGTGAGCCCAGCAGGCCCCAACAGCATATGTGCAGGTAAGGTTGTTAAAGTCCTTCAACCTTACCTGTTCATATTCCCACTCATCAGTAATCAAACAGATATCTCATCTGTGTTTTATTATTGGATCCGTGTAATCCACTTTATTTGTGTGTGTTAGACATAGATACCAGTTTGTGTTTGAGCTTCCTCTGTAAAGGATAACATTTTGGGTGACATCATTTGTGAAGGAAAATTGGCTCAAATACCCAAAACGAACCAACACAATCAGCAATGGGGGTAGCAGTAACTCAGGAGGTAGAGAAGGTTGTCCAGTAATTGGAAGTTTGTAGGTTTGATCCCAGCTTCCACCAAAGAAAGCTGCTGTTGTGTCCTTAGGCAAGACACCTAACCTGCCTTGCCAGCTGTTGGTGGTCGGAGGGACCGGTGGCGCCATTATCTGGCAGCCTCGCCTCTTTCAGTATGGCCCAGAGCAGCCGTGTCTACATTGTAGCTCATCATCACCAGCGTGTGAATGGGTGAATGACGAATAGTGTTGTGAAGCGCCTTGGGGGGTTCACAACACAAAAACATAAATAAATAAAATGCTTTTAGTGCTTCTACTTGTGGTTTTAAAGACGCCTAAGAAGGTGCTATAAAAATACAGGCCATTCACCATAGTGTTGCTGAATAAAATGTATATATATATATATATATATATATATATATATATATATAAAGAAAAGTAGAATTGGAATGATCTACCTTAAAGATGTAATGCATCAGCATACATCATCTGTAACATAATGCCAAGCAGGTGTGTTTATTATCTAAATAATTTATTTCTAACATTATATGTAAAGTAGTTAGATACATTTTCATTAATTAGGTCAGAAAGTAAAATATTTAAAAGTCATCATACGCTGGTGAAATTCATCTCTGCATTTGATCCATCCCCATGGAGGGGAGCGGTGAGCTGCAGCAGTGGCTGCGCTCGGGAACTATTTGGTGGTTTAACCCCCCAATCCAACCCCTTGAAGCTGAGCATCAAGCAGGGAAGCATTGGGTCATTTTTAAAGTCTTTGGTACGACCCGACCAGGAATCGAACCCCGATCTCCCAGTCCCAGGGAGCACACTCGACCACTAGGCCACTAAGCTGGTTTATTTCAGAGGGTGTTTGAGACAGTTTTTGACAACAGAGACTTTTCTCTGTTTGCCTCTTTATAATACACTGCCCAGACAAAAAAAGTCATCACATGGATTTAACTAAGCAAACAGGCACAAGCCTCCAATTGGATTTTATCTTGAGAGGCGCTATATAAACAATCGTTTTCTTCCTTTTTTCTCTTTAAAGAAGAAATATGTCCAGAAAGAAATATTGAATGATTATGATCAGCGATCACAAATTTTCTGGTGAAATCAAACCAAAGAAAAACAGTAGAACTCAGGGTTATGTTTAATAGTGAACGTAAGAGCAATTTCACACACACACACACACACACGCACGCACGCACGCACGCACACACACACACACACAATCCAAAGGGAACTAAGGGGATTGGGACTGAAAAGCTGGGTAGCTGCTGGAAAACCACTAATCAGTAAGGAAAACTGAAAAAAAAAGGCTTCAATTTGCTTGGGAGCATAAAGATTGTAGCCTGGCCTGCCAGACTCGTCCTCTGTTTAATTCTGCACAGAGAAAGAGTCTGGTAACTCACAGGCAGAGAGGCACTTGAGGGGCGGGACTAGGCAGCTCAAAAATGACCAATAAGAAAAAAGACGGAAATCCTGACTGTACTGCACGACGCTGTAGATTTCTAGTTGTAGTAAAAAAAAAATAGCATCTGCAACGGCGCAAACATCTTTTATTTATTTTATTTTTTTAGAAGAAATGCTTTTAGAATAGAATAGAATAGACTTTATTGTAATTGCTCATGGCAATTAAATTACAGATGGTCCTCCATCAACAGTGCACGAGACAATAAATAACAATAAATGTCAAAACCATAGAGGACTAAAAACAATTTAAAAACATTTAGCAAACACCAAGAAAGTACAACCAGTGATTCAGATCTGCTAAAACAACAATTTAAAAGGATTTAAAACAGATTAGTCCACATTACTGATGGGGATGTGGGGGGTTGAATGGTGCTGTTGTGTTGAATGTTCTGATGGCCCAAGGGAAGAAGCTGTTGGAAAGTCTGGTGGTATATGATTTAACTGACCTGAAGCGGCGCCCTGAGGGCAACAGGTCAAACAGGCAGTGGGCAGGGTGGGTGGGGTCACGGAGGATAGCAGCGGTTCTCTTCAGGCAGCGGGTTCTGGAGATGGCCTCAAGGGATGGCAGGGTGCAGCCAATAATCCTCTGGGCAGTGTTTATTGTCCTCTGATCAGCCTTCCTGTCCTCAGCAGTGGAGCCTGCATACCACACACTCAGAGAGTAGGTGAAGGTGCTCTCCACAGAGCAGTGGTAGAAAGCCAGCAGCAGTTTCTGATGATCCAGGCCACACCTTCTCAAGACCCGGAGAAAGTGCAGCCGCTGCTGAGCCTTTTTAACCAGAGCTCTGGTGTTGGCAGACCAGGACAGGTCAGCAGAGATGATGGTGCCAGGGAACCTGGAGGGGACACAGTCCACATGCTCTCCATTTATGAGGAGAGGGGCGTGTGTGTGACTGTGTCTTGTGAAATCCAGAATGAGCTCTTTTGTTTTTTGTATATTCAGAGTGAGGTTGTTATCTGAGCACCACCTTGACAGATTACTGACCTCTGCCCAGTACGCTGCCTCTTCTCCGTCTGTGATGAAGCCGACCACAGTGGTGTCATCAGCAAACTTAAAGATGGCAGTGGATGGGTGGGATGCGGTACAGTCCGATGTGTACAGAGTGTACAGTAGGGGGCTCAGCACACAGCCCTGAGGAGAGCTAGTACTGAGCAGGATGGAGGAGGAGAGATGGGAGCCAAGTTGAACATGCTGTGGCCGATTTGTGAGAAAGTCTTTTATCCAGTGGCAGGTGGAGGGAGGGATCTGAAGGCTCAGCAGTTTTGAGATAAGAATGTCTGGGATGATGGTATTGAAAGCTGACCTGAAGTCAATAAAGAGCATCCTGACGTAGCTTCCTCTGGTCTCTAGGTGGCTCAGTGTTGTGTGTAGCGTCAGGGCGATGGCATCCTCTGTTGATCTGTTTCCCCAGTAGGCTAACTGAAGGGGGTCGAAGGAGGTGGGGAGACAGGTTCGGATGTGGTTGGAGATAAGTCGCTCCAGACACTTTGTGATTACAGGTGTGAGGGCAACCGGTCGATGATCATTTAAGCTGTCTCTGGAAGATTTTTTGGGGATGGGAATAATTGTTGCAGACTTGAGGCAGCTTGGGACTGAAGCTTGAGACAGGGAGAGGTTAAACAACTTGGTGAGGATACCTGCCAGCTCACTGGCACACTCCTTGACCACGATCCCTAGTATGCCGTCAGCGCTTCTATTTGTGGTTTTGAAGACATTTGAGTCATTTAGAACAGAGGAGGGCTGCGCATTGGTTAGAGCTGTTGCCTTGAAGGTCCTGGGTTCGCTTCCCGGCCTGGGATCTTTCTGCATGAGTTTGCATGTTCTCCCTGTGCATGCGTGGGTTCTCTGCGGGTACTCCGGCTTCCTCCCACAGTCCAAAAAACATGACTGTTAGGTTGATTGGTCTGTCTAAATTGTCCTTAGGTGTGAGTGTGTGTGTGCATGATTGTTTGTCCTGTGTGTCTCTGTGTTGCCCTGCGATGGACTCTCTAATTTCCCTCTGGGATTAATAAAGTATTGATTGATTGATTGACTGGCACTTTGTCCAGGGTGTACCCCGCCTGATTGCCCATTGACCGCTGGAGATAGGCACAGCCCCCCGCGACCCTGCATGGACAAGCGGGTTCAGACAATGGATGGATGGATAGAACAGAGGAAAGAGCCGCAGCAAACTCCGCCGCTGTCTTCACTGTTTATTATGAGAAACTGAGCGTCACTGTGTGTGACGTCCGCGACGCTGTAGCGACAGCGCAAACATTTTTGTTTAGAAGAAAGGCTTTTAGCGCTTCTACTTGTTGTGGTTTTAAAAAAACATGTTCAAATCATTTAGAACAAAAGAACGAGCCGCAGCGAACTCCACTTCAGTCACCATGTTTATGACAAACTCGGCGTTATGGTGTGTGACGTACGCTACTCAGCGCTGATTGGCTCGGTTGGAATTCTCACGGGGTGGGATTATTTGAATAGGAGAGTTCCCAAACTCTTTCTCTGTGCAGAATTAAACAGAGGAGGAGTCTGGCAGGCCAGGCTATAAAGATTGGACTCTGGAGCAATGGAAGAAGGTCATGTGGTCTGATGGGTCAGATGGACCCTGTTCCAGAGTGATGAGTGCATCAGGGTAAGAAGAGAGGCAGATGAAGTGATGCACCCATCATGCCTAGTGCCTACTGTACAAGCCTGTGGGGGAAGTGCTATGATCTGGGGTTGCTGCAGTTGGTCAGGTCTAGGTTCAGCAACATGTGCTCCAAGAATGAGGTCAGCTGACTACCTCAATATACTGAATGACTAGGCTACCCTGATGGCACGGGTGTAATCCAAGATGACAATGCCAGAATTCATCAGGCTCATATGTAGAAAGAGTGGTTCAGGGAGCATGAGACATCATTTTCACACATGGATTGGCCACCACAGAGTCCAGACCTTAACCCCACTGAGAATCTTTAGGATATGCTGGAGAAGTCTTTGTGCAGCGGTCAGACTCTACCATCTTCAATGCAAGATCTTGGTGAAACATTAATAAATAAATCTTGTGACATTGCAGAAGCATGTTGATACAATACAGCGAATGCGTGTCGTAATCAAAGCTAAAGGCGGTCCAACAAAATATTGGACAATGTGACCTTTTTTTTGGCCAGGCAGTGTATGAATATTCTTTAAAAATGAACCCCATAAAGTTATCCCTTCACCTGTGCTCGTACCTTCGTAGCTTTCTAAGTTTCTGATGAGTTTGTGGTCGTCCGCATTAACAATAAACCAAATCTGTGTGTTTTTGCAGCACACCAACAGCAGCAACTCCAGATGCTGCTGAAGATCCTGGACTAGGTCAGTGCTACTCCTGATAATAAGATCTGCTGCAACATTTTTTATTTACTGTAAAAAAGGATCGTAGTTCTGGAGTCAAAGCCACAACGCAGCCAGGTCTTCTTACGCATGAGCCCAGCTGTAGGCACACACAGCTCAGGGTTGTGAGAGCATTTAGCGTCAGGGCTACGTCTAATCCAAAACACCACTCCAATCCAGTTAAAACAAATTAACACTCCTTTTTTTAATACACTGGCACAACTCTGCAGGAGACATAAGTGAAGAAAATGGGGACGGAGCTACAGTCTCACCTGATGAGAGTCCAGTGAGTTTTCACACACAGCTGATGAATCATACATGCTTTTGCTCTCCTACTGTGTGATTGTGTCAGATTTCTCATCACAGGTGTCCAATGACATCACCGTGCAGCCAACCAGCACCACCGTTCTGGAGCAGGTGGTGGAGCTGAGCATCCTCTTGACAGGAGAGATTTTCAGCGATGACCTCAATGATCCGGCCAGCCTCAGGTTCCAAATGCTGAGCAGACACCTCGCTGAGAAGGTTTGTCCCTATAGCTCCATCTGCTTCCCTCTTCCATGCATATCCCAGTAGTTCTTTCCGTTTCAGCACCAACCGACTGGCTTTTTGCCCTCTGATTGTTGCATTTTAATAATATCCACCCTAACTCAAAAACCTGGGTTCAAAACTCACATGTTTTATTAAACACAGTCGCTGAAATAACCTTTTCAAGAGTAGAAAACGCAGCTTTATGAGATTTCTTGTGAATAGATAAACTTTTGCACATGCATCTGCTCAGGTAATCACTCTTGAAAGAAGCTTCGGTGGTTTTATAAGTTCGTGGAAAATTCTATAAATGTGCCCGTGGGCTTTTCCCCTTGCAGCGAGCATAGCTTACACTCACACACACACGAATGCACTCCCAACTTGTCGTTTTTGGGTAGTTTAGTCAGATTAGTGCTGTAGTTGTGGTCTATCGTTCAATTTGTCCTTCTAGACATAAATCTGCAAACACCACACACCAACCCTAGGCATGTGTGTTATTCTGCATGCCTCAAACACAACCGCTTTTCTTTAGTGGGTCAGTAGAACGTTTTTTTTATATATCTGTGTGGAGAGATGCAGAATTTTGAGAATTGACTGTATTTACTTTGTTTATGCAGATAGAAGACGCTCTTGAGGGGCTTCCTGGATTTAAGAGTGTGTCTGTAATCGACTTCAGGTTAGTCCATGTCCAGTTCCATTTCTTATTAACACTTTAGCGCTATCTCATGCTTTCAAAAGAAGTCTAACAGCCGTGTGTTTTATTTAGACCACAGAAGTATCCTCAGGGGTAAGTTATCAGCAACAATGATGTGAAGTAGCTGTTTCCCTGGCAACAGGGCTGTGAACATAGGTGTATCAGTAGTTGTCCGTGTCAATGTCCTTAACTAAGAGACTCACCTGTTAAACGGGATCGGGTTGGGTCCAACCAGTAAGCAGGCGCTCCTCCATAGAGACGATTATCTGAGATTCGTGACCTCATCGATCCGTATCTGATGAAAGGAGGCGAGGTGGACGATGTGTATGAGTGTCGGAGTTGGGAGATAAACAGCGAGGACTGGGCTTTAACGCAAACATCCATTATAATGCATAGTCATAAACATGCTGATTCATTAGTTAAAGTCATGCATTGATTGTTTTAACTGATCACAGCTGTGATAGAGCTTAGCTCACCAGACTGTCAAATAAAAAGTGTCTAATCTGGAACCCATTTAAGCTGATTTTGGGTCCATGTCTGCTCAGACGCCTGCCAGCAAACTAAATCAGCGTGGAGGTTTCACAGCAGTCAAATGAAGGCTACTAGAACTTTCTCCACCTTGTCCTCAGTTCATTTTACACAACTGTATCTGCTTTAGAGATCAAGGACACCTAATTAATGAAAAGAAATGACATAACCTGTCCTGAAATAACAGCCTGGCGTGTGTTTTGTCAGGGTGGATGGGATAATGGTGGACTACGCAGTCACAGTTGTGGTGAACGGAGCAGGAGTGAGCTCTGAACAGCTGAACTACCTGACCCTGCAGCTCAACCGGGTGGAGAATTCACACCACGAGGTCCAGGAGCGGCCCACTACGGTCGACACCGTCAGCGAGGTGAAGAACGTTTTCACCGAAGCCCTTCACATCACCGAGGTGGAAAGCGGTACGTTGGTTGAGCAGAGAAGATGTTTGGCTTAACATCTGCTGGCCTTCAGCAGTTCTGCTCCTCTCCATTTCTCACACTCTTCTCTCTGTGAAAACATGGCGTGACAGTTTGGATGGAGATTAGGATTATACTATTAGCTAATTAGAGCTAATTTCTCCAGCTACTAACCTCAGAGACCTTACCCACTCACGGACTCTGGGCGACCTCATTTGCATCTCTATCTTGAAGATTTGTCATGCACACGTGTTTAAGTGTGCCATTGCTTTACTGTGTTAGTGAACTTCTCTGGAGATGGATGCTCATGTTAGTTATGGACTGTGACATGAAGGCTAAACACTCTCATATGGTCATCACATGTGTCTGAGGAACCTAACAACCCCCGCAGCTTTGTTTTCATGCCCTCTTTGCAGTGCAGTAATAAACTTGCCCCACAGTTACTGAGATTTACACAATTTTAGCTCAGATCTGCAGATATTTACCTCTAATGTTTGTCACATCTTTAGTTTATGAGTATTAATATTTGTTCTGCTCCGATTCCACAGCGTCTGAAGTTCCCGAGTCTGTCAGCGTAGCAGATGGAGCCACAGTGAGTAAACTCTCTTACCATCCTGACTGTATTCTTTCTGCAGATGGCCCAGCTGCTTTTGGCCCCAAAAAGTTTGTTTCATGTTTCAGGTTGTTGACCTTTTCCAGTGTGGCTGATGTTGAGATAACGTGTAAATGGCTTGAGATGTTATCCAGGCTTCATCAGCATGGGCCGCTGATGAGCTCACCGGGACAGATGAAGTGAAGCTTTGAGGATTACGCTGGCTCTTGCTATAATAATCTACAACTATTCTCAGACATAGACAACCGCTCTGAGAGCAGACAGGAGACTGCACTTATCATTATATGCATTTGATTACAGATTAAAGACCAAGTTCACTTGTTCATTCAAAATATTTGCAGTGGTTTAAAATGAATGACGTGCGAGTCGATCTCTGTGGGGAAAAAAGCTCTCGCGCTCCTGTTTCAGGAAGAAGAAGTTAGCCAGAGGAGAAGTGAGCAGAAGATGGCAGGTTTGGAGTCTATTTGCTGATATTCTGACATCTCGTCCCTGATTGGATAACAGCAACGCGACTGTACCGCTGACTCTGTTTGCTTTGTAACATTGATGTTTTATCTCCACAAATAACACAAGCCTGGAGGAGTTCTGCCGTGTGGTGGAGTTGCTAATGCAAATGTTTAGCTTCTACTAGCTAACTTCTACATGGTCTCTCCTTTCTTGGACACTAAACCAACAACAGCTTTCCCTGTCGCGAACCAAGATGTATCCATGAATGCTAACTTTCATTTTGACATCGATCTGACCCAAACGTTTCCCCGTCTATTATCTATCGAGGGCTAATGCAGGAAATGGGAATAGAAAACTATTTTCATGTTTAGCCTGCATGTTAAACTCAGAGTGACCAATCGTATTACCGTATTTTCCGAACTATAAGCCGTTACTTTTTCCCACGCTTTGAACGCGGCTTATAATGAGGTGTGCGGCTTTAAAAGGTTGGATGCTGGAAAGGAGTGCTACGGAAAGCACCCCGGAGGATTTTTTCACAGTAAAACAGCGCTGCATGTTTTCAGTTCAGTAGATAACTGCGGCTTTTAGCCCGATGCGGCTTGTATTGAGGTGGGCTCTAAAGTCTGGAAATTACGGTGAAAAATAACAAGTAAAAACTGTTTCTCAGTGAACTTTGTTCTTAAAATCTGTTGTAATCGTATGGTCATATATGCTTTCTGACAACAGTTGCAAAATTCAAGCATTGTAAGAACTAGGAATTTGAACATCTTTCTATTACTGATAGTTTTTTTTTAGTTTTGCGTTGCAGCCATGATCGTTTTAGTTAGAATCTGGAACATTTTAGATGCAGCTGCTGGTTTTTAAAGCTTTTATTTAGTTTATGTTGACCCTAACCTGCCTGCAGAAGCTTGCCGTGTAAAGAGCGTTATTCTCTGTGTCTGAACAAGAAACATGTGAGAAACTGTTTATCTGGTCTGAATGGGTTAACAGATCTCATTCTCTACTATGAGTCCCACCGCTTTAATCCAATAATACAAACAGGATTAGCTTTGTTGTTTCCTCCCAGCGTGTGGCAGACTATAGACACTTTTGGTTGCAAGACTTTATCAACAGATTTTATAATTAGACAACAAAAATAATCAATGAAAGTACTATTTATGTATCCAAATTAGACAGCAATAAAGTAAAACCTGCAACAAGATAAGCAAATAATTTGCATCTCATTTCAGAACATTGATGATGCCTGTTTGTGATGCAGAGTGGCGCTGTTGAGGAGTTACCAGAGGTTATGCCTCCAGAAGGGCATGGTGAAGAGGACGTTCTGGTTATGCCTCCAGAAGGGCATGGTGAAGAGGACGTTCTGGTTATGCCTCCAGAAGAGCATGGTGAAGAGGACGTTCTGGTTATGCCTCCAGAAGGGCATGGTGACGAGGACGTTCTGGTTATGCCTCCAGAAGGGCATGGTGACGAGGACGTTCTGGTTATGCCTCCAGAAGGGCATGGTGAAGAGGACGCCCTGGCTGCAGAAACCAACACAGTGGCAGCAGCAGAGAATGATGTTGTAGTTTTGGAGGAGAGTGCTGTGGTGACCCCTGCAGTTGTGTTGACCATAGATGAGCCTAAAGCAGACAGTTAGTATTTCTATTTAACACAACATCATGTTGTGCAAGTGGACTTATAAATTCACGTCCTGGTTGTTTTTGTTTTTTAAGGCATTGAAGAGGAAGGTCTGTTGGTTGGAGACATTGAACAGGCTCCTGCTCCAGAGACCATCTCACCTAATGAACCTACGCCAGAACCTCCCTCTTCTGAGCCACCAGTGGAAATCGAGGCTTCTGGCTCAGGTCCAGATCATCCAGAGGATCTAAATGAGCCCTCAACATCCACTGCAGAAGTTGAAGATGTGTCCTTTGAGAAAACTAAAGATGATAAATCAGAGGCTGAAGCTGAAAGGGTGGAAGTTACTGTGGTAGAGGAAGAAGCCACTACTGGAACTCCAAAAGAAAAAGATTGGGTTGACTTTGAGATCTCCACAATTGTAACCAAAACCATGAAGGAAGAAGATGCCACCATTGGTTTATTGGTGACCCAGTCTGACAACACCGCATTTGAAGAGAAAGGCTTTGAAGAGGCAATACAGAGCGAAGGAAATGAATCTAAAGCGGGAACCTCATCTGAAGTATCGGCCATAGAGGCAGAAGCTCCTCTTGCACCAGAGATCTTCAAAGAAGATCTTCTAGAGGATGAGATTTTACTGGTGAACAAAGAGGATCCAGATCCTCCAAGGCCTCCCCAACCAACATCCTTGTCTCCAAAGTTGGAATTACCTTTCACTTTGACATCTGATGTTATCCCAGATTCTAAGATTCGACCTCATGCAGCCATCACTTCAATAATGGAGGTAAATCCAAGATCTTCGCTAACATCTAGAGGTCTTTTCTTTACCAGAATATCCCTCCTGTTAGAAAACACCACATTCACGACTGATTCTGAGATCATGAAGTATTTTTAACTTGAAACGATAAGAAAAATAATCTGAATCTAATGACAAACATTTGGACAATTACGATACCCGTGTTAGGAGCTGTTGTGCTTTTGGTCCTCCAGATACCGGTCATTCCTGAGAACTTTGATGATTCCACCACTGGAGACCTGGGATTTGGTGTGGTTTCGTTTGATTATGGTTTGACCAACCACACAGAAGAGGGCAGCACTGGATCCCCATTCAATGTGGTGGACGGTACAGACCTGGCCAGTATCGCCATGCCTGGGAATGCTGGGCGAGCTCTAATGGTGTTCTTCAGCCTCAGAGTGACCAACATGGTCTTTTCAGAAGATCTCTTCAACAAGAGTTCTCCAGAGTACAAGGCTTTGGAGCAACGCTTCCTAGAGCTGGTAAGAATTTAAGCTTAGAGCATTCACGTTCACCAGCATCCACACTGGTATTTGATTCATTTAGACATGTGAATCTATCCCCAGCTTGTGCCATACCTCCAGTCCAACCTGAGTCACTTTAAGAACCTGGAGATCCTGAACTTCAGGAATGGGAGCATTGTGGTCAACAGCCGAATGAAGTTTGGAAAGCCAGTAGCTCGTGGCGTCACCACCACCGTTTACTTGATCCTGGAGGACTTCTGTAACACAGCTTACCAGACCATGAACCTAGCTATTGATAAATACTCACTGGATGTGGAATCAGGTGGGTTTTTACTAACAGAGCTTTAGTTCTTCTCACTGAGTTTGTTTGTATTAAAATTGCAGTTTCTGTCTAAGAAATACTCCAGCTTAGTATTGAAAGGCCTGCCAGGTTAGAGAAAACTACACTGCTGACCACAAAACAAAATACAGCAAAGGATTTAAAGTCCAAGTGTATTGAAAGCCATTTTTTACTTGTTTTTTTAAATATTGGTCACTCAGAGTAACACATACAGGCTGAATGTTAAAATAGACTTCTACCCCAATTTCCTGCATTAGCCGCCAATTAAAAATGAATGGGTAACCTCTCAGATTAGAAAAGTCACTCAGATCTTTGTCTGACTGTAGGTTGGTGTAGCAGGGTGGAGAAACAAGGGCCCGGGTGAGATTCGATCCCCAGAATCCTGCGTGAGAGTCGTAAGCTAACCAGTCAACCAAAGGGGTATCCCTGTGGCCAAGTAGCCAGGGCACATAATCAATTGGTTTACAGTGACAGGATGCTCACCCTGTCACATTAGCATTCATGGACTCACCCATGCTGGCCCGCGATGGGGAAGATTGTTGTTTAGAGGCCAAGAAAGAATGTTGTGACCAGTAATATGGCCTGTATGGTAAATGGCCTGTATTTGTGTAGCACTTTCTTAGGGTTCTGCAGCCCCCCAGGGTACTTCACAACACAATCAGTCATACACACACACACACACACACACACACACACACACACACACACACTGGTTGGGATGAGCTACAATGTAGCCACAGCTGCCCTGGGGCGCACTGACAGAGGCGAGGCTTGACGAACACTGGCATCCCTCCGACCGCTACCAGCAGGCAAGGCAGGTTAGGTGTCTTGCACAAGGACACAGCAGCAGCATTCTCTGGCGGGAGCCGTGATCGAACCTGCAACCTTCTGATTACTGGACAACCTGCTCTAAATCCTGAGCTACTGCTGTCCCAGCTAACTGTTAGCATTAGCAACTCCGCAACACAATAGAACTCCTGCAGAACATAGAAAGTTGTTGGTAGAGTCGTGTTGCTGTTAGCCAGTCAGAGACAAGATGTTAGAATATCAGGAAATAAGACTGCAAGTCCTGCCGTGTTCTGCTCTCTTTACTCTGGTTCACTTCTAGTTCCTGAAACAGGATATTGGCTCACAAGGCATTAATTTATACTAGAGACCACTGCAAATGAGTGAAGTTGGTCTTTAACATTGTGAGACTGTCTGCATCTGTTTGATCAAACACATTCAACAAGACCCTTGGGTTACTTACATTTACTACAAACGTAGTTTTGAATTCTCTGACTGATGTTTTTAACTCTGTCTGGATGCCAGTTTGACTCACAGCCAAATCCTCTGATACAAAACCTCTTGCAAGAATCACAAACAGGAATGCTTAGCATTACTGATAAAGCAGCTGATAATTGGATTTAAATGAACAAATCAAAATGTGAAACTTCCTGAAAATAAAGTCAGATGAATCTTTGTTGTAACATTATAGTAAAGTCACGGGAAAAACACCTAACAAGCCTTCAAAAGTGGGATAAGTTTAGTTTACAGGTAAAGCTGGGCGATATGGCCTCAAATCTATATTGCGATATAATCTGAAGCATGTGCGGTAATGATATATATTGCGATATATTTTTTCCTCTGTTTATATATGTCAAAATGACATGCTTTTAAATATCCTCATGTGGCAAATATATGCCATTTGAGGCATATAGGCCTCCTCCTCTGCCCACTCCATGCTTGCAGTCACTGCCATTCTGTTGTCCCAATGTCAGCAGGGTGCACATCTTAGGGACGTCATGTGTTATCGCGATATCGCGATATTGCGATATAGCCAAAAACTCTTATCATTACCCAATTTTATATCGATTCTACCTTATATCGTTTATATTGCCCAACCCTATTTACAGGTAATAAATAATAAATAAATCTGTGATAGTATTAGTCTTAGCTTTGATCCAGATGTTTAACTACAGGAGGGATGTGAAGTTTATTGGAAAAAATGTGCACATATTTTTTGAAGTTCAGCAATGTTTGTAAAAATTTTGTGCATCCCTAAAAAAATTTGGTACATTTATGTTCAGTTTGATTATATTTGTCAAACTGATTCACAAAGCATGATTTCTCTGTTTTTGCATTTCAGTGGATCCAGCAATAAAAAATCTTTATTGTAGTTTCTTTGTTGTAATTCCAGGTGACCAAGCCGACCCCTGCAAGTTCCAGGCGTGTAACGAGTACGCGGAGTGTAAAGTGAACAAGTGGTCAGGGGAAGCCGAGTGTGTGTGTAACGCTGGATACTTCAGTGTCGATGGTTTGCCTTGTCAGAGCATCTGTGAGCTGCAGACGGATTTCTGCCTCAACGATGGCAAGTGTGACGTCATTCCTGGACAAGGAGCAATCTGCAGGTGGGTGGTTTGATGCATTTGTACAGTTGAGACGGGAGACTGTCAAAAAAGAGAAAAAGGATTTACCCTCAAGACTTCTCTATAAATGTACCTTTGTGTGCTCTAAATGATTAATAGTGATTAATAGTGCTCATGTTAGCATTTTAGTTGAGCAGATTAACCAGTTTCCTTTGATTTTAGCTTCTTGGACGACCTCAGTTCAGAAAAACTGCTCATATATCTTACATCATTGATAGGCTAATAGCTAGTACAAGCTCCATGACCAAGGTGCATTGTAAAGGTTTATACAATAATGTTTAGCTGAACCGCTATGAAGTTTTAGAGAATTAAGCTGCTTCAGGATGGAAGCAATCCACATTTGAGTTGGCAACATTCAAACTAGCTGTTAGGCCGTCAATCCTGCTGGATGAAAATGCTATTTTTACAAACTGGGCCCTTCAGGAAGCTTCATGCATTGTGTAAGATACAAATTATTTATAACTTTTTCACTAGTGTCTTTCACACGTGTGTGTGTGTGTGTGTGTGTGTGTGTATGTGTGTCCGTCCCCCTTTTTACAGTGAGCGAGGTGTGTTAAAGTTTAAAACCAATATTCCACATCAGTGAGAGAAACATGCTACTATGTCACCTTGGCTTTAGTATTTATGAACCAACAGAGACGAGTGTGTGCCGAGAGAAGTCTGTTTCACACCTTCTACAATGTCGTAAAACACGAAGGCAGCTCCAGATGCTGTTAGATGGTTATTCATCCCACATTTTATGACTAAACGTGCTAAAATTGTTTCGTGGAGACGAGAAACAAAAATGAGATTTAATTCCACAATAATTTATCAGCGACATTTCAAATCTCTAGTAATGATTTTGTTGTTTAGGTGTCGAGTTGGGGAGAACTGGTGGTACAGAGGGGAGCACTGTGAGGAGTATGTATCAGAGCCGTTGGTGGTTGGCATAGCGATTGCCTCTGTAGCTGGCTTCCTGTTGGTGGCATCTGGAGTCCTCTTCTTCCTGGCCAGGACTTTACGGGATCAGTATGACAAGGAGGACTCAGAGGATCCCATTGGGTGAGGAGAATCGGTCCAGTCCACCCCTGCGCTCATCCCTGAATAATACATCAACTAATTTTATGTGCTTCGTCATTGTTGTGGTTTTAAACGATTAGCATGCAGTCAGTTTCACACCTCTTGTCTTACATCATTTATGTCATGACACTCCAGATGTTTCTCAGAATTTGTAACATCTGATTTTTGTTTTTTGTAATGCATCCATGAATAATGCAGACATTCCTCAGATATGCAAAAGTTAATTTAAAGTTTTGTTCTCCGGAGGTTTTTTTTTTTAAGTCCAGCTTTATAATTTATGATTTTGCAGGCGAATGGAAAGTATCCCATCTTTGGAAAGAGCGACCAAATACAACCCCATGTATGAAAGCGAGGCCACCACAGGCTACAGCCACTACTACCGCCGTTACCCTGAAGCTCCTGTGTACAGCAGCGCCAGCGCCGAGGCCTCCACGGACTTCAGCAGCGAGGAGATACGACACATTTATGAGAACAGCGAGTTGACTAAAGAGGTGAGTGTGTCAGAGTTTCTCATCAAATTTTACATGCAGCAATAAATTTATTGAGTCATTTTTCAGTTTTTGGCCCCGATTTATATCTAGTTTCAGAAACATGGTTGGTTTTTATTGGAGGAGCATAACAAAAACATGATCAGTGCACAAAAAGAACATAAAATCAAAGAACTGATATTTGTGAAATGTTGAGTTTTTGGTTGCTCAGCTGCTCCAGGAGTAGCTGGGCAGGTTTTCAGTTAGTGCTTCAGATGTGAGGTCCGCGTTGTATCAACCAGACATTTCAAAATGATGAAGATCCTCCACACAGGAGCAAATCCAAGCCTAGAATAACAAAGTGACATGCTTATTATACTTATTATAACCAACGGCAATAGTTTCACGTTTTACCACAGAACAGTTCACCTGGTTTAATATATTTTGTCAAATAAATGGTTCAACATACTCATTTTTCAGTGATTATGCTTAGGTTCCACGTTAAATGAGAATAAAATAAAAAGGTAAAATAACAAACTTGATCAGATGTGAAGACTTAAGTCAGATTGTTAAGGCTGAAATGAACATTTGGCTTTAAAAAGGGCAGAAATGTGCTTTTTATTCATTTATCTTTAACAGAAAACATCTCTGATGTTTTTCAGGTTGTCTAAAGGGAATGCCCTTTACCAAAAGCATGCTCCTTGTTCAGGACAAAATTACTATTTCTCTTTTTTCCACTGACATCGTAGCAATTTATCTGAACCCCCGTAACAAAATGTAGTTTGCCGTTTATCTGTTTGAGATTCCCTGTATAAAAAAATAAAAAATCTTGTTCTTCTGCAGGAAATCCAGGACAGGATACGCATCATTGAGCTCTACGCTAAGGACCGGCAGTTTGCAGATTTCGTGCGGCAACATCAAGCGTGAGTCAACTTATACATTTCATATTGTAAAGAAATGGACCAAATACACCATCTCTTTTAGTACAAAGGAGAGGAAGCTGGTTTGAGATACACCTTCCTCCACTTATCTGGGGTCGGGTCACAGGGGCAGTAGCCTAAGCAGAGGGGCCCAGACTTCCCTCTTCCCAGCCACTTGGGCTCCTCAGGGGGAATCCCATGGCGTTCCCTGGCCAGCTGAGGAATACAGACCCTCCAACGTGTCCTGGGTCTTCTTTTAGGTCTCCTCCTAGTTGGATGTGCCCGGAAAACATCTCTAGGGAGGCGTCCAGGAGGCATCCTGACCAGATGAACTCTGAAAACTCATTTCAGCCGCTTGTATCCAAGATCTCAATCTTTCGGTCATTACTCAAAGCTTGTGACCATAAGTGAGGGTTGGAATGTAGCTCGACCAGTAAAATGAGACCATTGCCATCTGGCTCAGCTCTCTGTTCACCACGACAGACCATCACTGCAGACACCAATCCGTCTATCGATCTCACGCACCATTTTTTCCTCATTCCTCAAGACCCCACAACACTTAAACTCTTCCACTTGGGACAGGACCTCATCCCTGACCTGGAGAAGGCATTCTGCCCTTTTCTGACTCAAGACCATGGTCTCAGAAGAGGAACTGCTTCTCAAAGACAGATTCATTATATTTCTACCAGCCCTGTAGATGATTCAGTTGAGATGCAGACAAACAGTTTGGATTAGAGTGTGTATCGGTGTTTTATTACTGGTGCCAGTCAAGCAGCTGACATTTGAAATATTTTCTTTGAATGTAAAATATTCTAATAGAACAATAATTATTGTGTTGCAGTGTCCTGGAGACCCGAAGAGAGAGCTCATCTGTGCAGACCTGAGACAGACGAGGTACTTGTGACATCATTCTAGTCTAGGAGATAGGGGTTCAAATCCCGGTCGGGTCAAGACTTTAAAATGGGACCCAATGCCTCCCCGCTTGACACTCAGCTTTTAGGCGTTGGACTGGGGGTGGGGGGGTGGGGGGGGGGGGGAATCCACCAAATAGTTCCTGAGCACAGTCACAGCTGCAGCTCACCGCTCCCCACAGGGATGGGTCAAATTCAGAGATGAATTTCTCCAGTGTGTGTTGACTAATAGTACGTTAACTTTAAATGCAGCACAATACAGAGCAAGCTTTCTGATCATGACAGATGCAACTGATTTCAATGAATTTCACTTTAATAACAGAAAAAAAGAGGTTCTAGTTCCTGAAATTACCAACGTGTAATCCATGTTGAATTATTTTATTAACTTGCAGTGTTTCCGACACAGGAACACGCTTCATGCTCCTCCAAGTTGGGACTGGTTTGGTTCCTTCCAGGACTTTTCTGACCTCTACAGCAGCCCTGCGTTTACCCATCTGTCTGCAGAGATCTTTGATCGTTCCTCCATGTTACTCTGTGCCTTTTTCCTGACTGGGTGAGCTTATCGTGACTTAACGGCCCACGCTGGCTCGCATGTTTGCTGCTTGTCTACTCGATTTGATTCTGTAGGGGAAACTGGTCTGAATCCTGTTACTTGAATTATTGAGAGACACATAAAACCAAACGACAAAGTACGAATGTTTAATGGTATGATTGTTACTTTGAATGTTGTTGTAAATGCCTTCTCGTGAAAGGGAAGAACATTAAAGAGCAAGTCATCCCCAAATCAGCTTATATTTCTGATAAACTATATAAATGTGTGTCTAATCGCACTGCAGACACGTGTCGTCAATAGTTTTGCACTTTAGTGCATTTTAGATAAAATTTTAATTTTCTGCCTAAAACTGTCAGTGTTGTGCCGTTGTCAGGTAAAAACTCTGCACTGCATTTGAATTTAAATCTGCCATCGCTATTGGCTAAGAGGTACCCTAGAACGTTAGCTGGTACCATATGATGTCACAATGTCATTGTGAGCGTGTGTGTATTTGTTAGCGGCTCCGCCCTCTCGGTCTGCTAGGCAACATCATTTGTTGCATTTTTCAAACAGGAAGTGGGAGTTGAGTAATACTCTGGTAGGGGGTGACTTGCTCTTTAAATCTGTGAATGTAGTTTAACTAACATGAGTATTTTAGTTAGAGTTTTCCCTTTGTTTTGTCTTTCTGAAGCTTGTTAGCTCTTCTCCCAGATGGATGCGGGAGCTATTGGTTTTTAGTTACGGGTGCTACTTTAATTTGAAATGCTTCTTCAAGTGTTTTTATTTATTCAGCTTAAAAATGACTTGCAACACAATGGTTGAACATTTACAGTAAATTGGGAGCAAGGTTTAGGAAACTTTAGAAACTACACCAGTGGCCATTTTGCATGCAGAGTGTAGCACTGAGTCCCGCCAGGAAATGCGATGCATTTGTCTTCACAATTGATTAAACATGTCTGCAATTTTTAACTATTGACACAAGAATCCTTGTTTCTTTCCTGCTTGGTAAAGTCCTTTGTAGAGTCTGCAAGGTCACCAAACAGGTTACTGATTATTAGTAAACGTCATTACCACAAATTGTTGATTACAGCTGGCAGCGTTCAACTATTACAAGCAAAAGAAAATGGAAAACAGCATGTATAAATTTAAATCAGCCAGTAGGATGGCACAAATACTTTTAAACTCTTTAGTTAACTTTCAAAATGAAATTTACTAAAATAAAATCTAATAGAGATTTTAAGCCAAGTTCTCTGAGGAAAAGCTTTTTACTTGTAATTAAAAAAATCTGATCTGTGACTTAGAGTTTCACATGCAGGATGAACAATTGACATGAATATGTAGATGCATCATTTGGTGCAGGAGAGGGTGACAGTGCCGCCGCCATATTGGATGGTCTCCTCACTCTCCAACCCCAACTGGAGTCAATGCAGAGTGAGCAACTGTGCCTGCTTGTGTGCAGCCTACAGTTGCAACAACCAGTGCATTTTTAAAAATAGATCACCAGGGAAAGTCTGACTTTTCTAGCCTACCTGATTTTATGTTTTAAAGTATTGAATTTAATTATATTTAAATATATTTATATTTTATCATCATACCATACCATATGTCTGATTTTGTGAAAAAGTCTAAAAACATGTGATTTTAGTTGGGTGAACACTAGGGATGAGAACTGGTTAAATTCTGGAGATACGATATGTATCACAATACGGTGAGACGATATGATATATCAGGATATATTGCGATACATTGAGCCAGACGTTTGTAGCGATTTTATTTAGACTGAATTTATTCTAGCAAAATTCAATAAACAGTCCAAACTGATACTTAACATGCTTAACATGAGGTATCTCAACCATAGGGATTTACATTTCAGTGGTGGAAACAAAACCCAATGCACACTGCTGCCAACTAGCATTCGGCATTTAAATTGCACCAAAAGAAAAGAAAATAAACAAATGTTTGCATGTAAATTCTTCCAAAAATTAGATACATGGCTTTTGAATATCAATGTAATATTGCAGGAAAAAAATTGCGATATATTGCCATATCGATATTTTCTTACATCCCAAGTGAACACCTTCCTCAGTACTGGGGGGCGAATGGAGACCCATCCAAGATGGTGGCCCACTGCTACACCAACTCCGATAGGCAGTGCCAGTCCACGTCTGCGTGTCTTTGTTTATGATGTCTGTGGGATGAATATGAAAATAGTATAAGCTAACCTTTAGCATTAGCTACTCTACAACAAAGCAGAACTCCTACAAGCTTGTGTTATTTCTGGAGATAAAACATCAAAGGTTTAGAGCAAACAGGGTCAGTGGTAGAGTCGCTTTGCTGTTAGCCAGTTAGAGACGAGATGTCCAAATATCTGGAAATAAGTCCTGCCGTTTTCTGCTCCGGCTCACTTCTACTTCCTGAAACAGGAGTGCCGGAGCTTTTTCCCTCCACAAACAAGGACTCACAAGACATTCATTTATATAGAGACCACTGCAAGTGTGTTAAAAAATCAGTGAACTTGGTCTTTAATGAGATTCGTCAGCAAAAGCATGAGGAAGGGAATCTGAATTTTGTTTTTTCTCTAATGCGAGGGATCAGGTCACATGATGCACATAATAAATATGAATCGCCTCTATTGATCCGTAATCGCTCCTCCTCTCAAATTTGACTCACACTTTCTGACTTGCAGAAATTTAATTAAGAAGACTTCCCAAGTATCTGACAGGTGCTTGAGATCCTGTAAATGCATTGAATATTAATGTGGTATTTTCTACCTATGATACTCAATACAATGACATTTATTTTAGCCTAGATACGTGTGTAAATCCTCCCCACTGTTTTCCTAAGTTCCCATTAAGGCCAAAAAGAGTGCTGTTGAGGTTTTTTAAAACAATGTATTAACAAAACAGCCACATTTGACTGTCTGAATGTTGTTGCAGCATTTTTATATGTTTATTGAGTTTTTCATTTTCATCAAAGAGAAGCATTTGTGTGTATGAATGTATCACGAGGCAGACAGCAGAGACGGGTCAGCACTAAACCCTGCTCAGCTCTGGGATCCAGAAACAAAAGAAAACTCATTTCAGTGGAAAAATGCTCCGAGGCACGCAGCCCAGAGATCTGATGCCTGATTGTCTGCTTCAAGTGTCACATGTAATGCAACAGAGAGAGCAGGAAAACAGGGAAAGGCTAGCTGATAAACAGCAAGCCCTCTCTGTTTTAGCACTCTCTGTCTGTGTGGATTAATTAAAAAAAAACAGCAGTTCTTAGAAAAAGATCTGTCTCGTGACTACTTATCTGGCAACTGTCCTGGTTTTAAATCCGAAACCTCCTGACATACTAATTCCAGGGTTTCCCTTTGGGAATTCACACACGTTCCTCTCTGGACTTGTTTTACTTAACCCAACAGATCTCTGCAGCTGCAGCTGATTATGTTTCATCTGTTGTCGGTTCTGCTGGGAGATCAGCGTCTCACACACAGACCTGAGTGTAGCTCCATGGACGTCTACTCATTTACCGCAACAACACAACAACATTATGCCTTTTGCAATCTGTGTGTTCATTTTGGTTTCATGTTCTGTTCTTTACCTGCCATCTCCACAAAGAGTGTGTTATCTAATTTAGTGTGTGTGTGCATTTTTCTTTTATACTGATGACCATGTCACCAGTGTTATCAACAGGCGCAGCTGTGTATTATAATAATAATACTAATAATTATGAAGTGTAACGAATATAAAAATAAAATATTTTGTATAAATTGCAAAAGTTTGTCAAGTGATTTTAAAAGATGTGACTTAATTGTTGTTTTAGCTGATTTAACTTTTAAAAGGAATTTATGTTAAAGGTTATGAATATTTAATATTTTATCAGTTGTCAAAAGACTTTTGAACAATCTAAACCGCCTTACAATTAGTAATTTAAAATTCTCATTTATTTTTTAATTTCTCTCCTCGTTTGCTTCTGGCCAAAGTTTCCCTTTCCTGCAAATAACGTGATGAGACACGTTGCCCTTACTCTTAGAGCCATCACGTTGTGGGAGTTCAGCTGCTGTCCGGATAATCTGAAGGTGAGATTAACCTCAGGGAATGTGGATTATAGGTTAATCTGGAGCCATGAGAGTTTCTAAAAGAGTGCTTCTAGGTAATCAGCCTGTGCAGTAAAAATCTGTCGGCCAGGGTTCGTTATTTACTGCCGATGCAAACGTCCCAGACACTGTGAACACACCACTGACCTGGGAAAACAATAGAACTATAAACAGAGCATCATTCTTCTATGGAGGGAATATTGGACCCAGATGCAGCTGCTCATGCCTTCATGCCGACCCTGGCTGCAGCTGGAGCGATCGTGCTGTCTAGGGTTTCTGTTCATTCTTCTAGTGCAAAGTACCAAAAGTGCTGTGAGTACACGTTTGCATATCTGATGTAAATGGTCACTCAGATTTTCCAAATTAAAATGCAAGTCATCTTGCTTTTATTACAGTGAACAAAACTTTCAAGAGGAGAATGAAAGTGAGCTGAATAATGGTTAGAAAGAAAACCAAACAAGCTGTTGAAACCCTCAAGTATAACTGCAGACTATTTTCAATTTCAGCCTGCATGAAAAACTCAGAGTAACTGATCATTTTCAGAATTACGCAAAAAATATTTTCTCAGTGAACTTGGTCTTTAATATGCTTCACAGCTGAGATGAAGTGGATTAACAAGCGCAACGTCATCAAGAACATTTTCACTCTTGTTGCCTTTTTGTTCCAAATTTCCCGGCCTGGATTCGTGGGCTACAAACAAGCTCTAACTGTCAGTCTGGCAAAAAATATGGACTTCTCGTTCAGTTTGGGATAATTTATAAAAGCAAAATAACATCCATAACCAACAACAGCCACAGTCACGCTGACCTCTGGAGATACATTCAGTATAATGGGGTGTTTATTCCAGCCTACACCCTCTTCAACTCTTCATCCATAAATTCAGCATCACTTCTGCAGTTTTTGGCAAATAAACATTCTGTATTGTCGTTTGTCATTGTTAAGATTCTTTCTCTTGCTTGGTGGTCGATGCCAAAGGCTTTTTTCTCAGTCGTCCTGAGACCCTGGGCTTTCTGAGCTAACCTCGCTGAAGTAGATTTATTCTGTGCAGATGTTTTTGGAGTAAGTACCGTATGCGTTTCTGTCTTACTGAGGTGTCTAAAGTATTCTTTGAGGGAGACACTTAAGTTTCTCTGAGGGTTTTTCAGATGGATGTGCTGCATGACCCCCTAAAAATCTAAAATTTGAATTTGATTTATTTTTATTTTAGGAGACAAACCCGTTAACGTTGTCATCCCTCTGTCACCAGAATAACCTCAGGTCAGCATCTCTGCCAGCATCATCATCATCATCCAGCTTGCTTATTGTGACCTTTCAGCCTTTGTTTTGGTGATTGTTGTTTTGTCACTGGCTTAAAACACGAGTATTAAAAACCCTTCAAAGTAATGATGAATCTGTTCCCAGACAGAATATGATCAGTTTATTGTTATCCAGTTATGGCACAATGGAGCTTTCCTCTCTGTTCTATTAATTTTAAGCTGTACTGGAAACAATGAATCAAGGGTGTGAAAAACATGATCTCAGCTGTCTTGTTACAGACTTTTTGTCAGCAGAAACCTCAGCTGGGTCTGATGGGAATAAACACGACGTTGCAGGGAAACCTCGTGTCTGTCAACAACTCAGCTTATGAAATGGCGAAGGTCATAGACTCACATAAACTCTGATCTCATGCTGGTTTGATCTTGAACTCAGAGGCCACTCAGCTGAATAATAATAATAATAAAAAAAGGAAGACAGGATCACCAGAACTGGACCATAAGGGACTGGAAACTCATTTCCTGGTCTGATGAGTAAATTTCAGCTGCAACAACATTAAGATGGTTGGGTCAGAATTTGGTGCCACCAACTTGAACCCTCTAAAATGTCTCCAACACCTTGGGGAATCAGTGACATGCAGTTTATCTAGACAAACGTGAGATCTCACCTGAAATGGGTAAGGTGAACCTCCTAAGTTTGTGATGCAGGGTGTTGCAGGGAGCTGCTTTGGAGATGGAAGGGTTTATTTCTGGTTCAGAAAGAAACCCACAATGGGAAACATCCTGCTGTTCTGTGACTGACTGCTCTCTGATCCTCGTGTCCTTGAACGCTGCTGCTGTTGTTCTGTAGTCCAGGTTTGGAATGCAGCATCTAACAAAGCTCATTAATGAAACTCAGCTTCGGCTAAGAGTCCACCTTTGTCCAGATTTAACAGACCAGAAAGCTCTCTCTTCTGCTCAGGAAGCTACAAGCCATTCTGTCAACTGCTGATGTTTTACCCCGTTGATGCATTCATATATTTTTTGCTCTCTGGCCAATAATGTGTTATCTGAGGCAGCCACATGGTAAACAGATGGTGTGCCCAAACTAACTCTCCAGCAGGTTTACAAGAGTGTGTGATCTAAAGACCGTGACTTGTGCCTGAACCCTCAGGCTGAAGTTAAACAACTCAGTCTTGTGGATGTGATTATTTATGCACAATGTAACGTTTTTGTGTGTGATTATATTCATGGTGTGAAACGTTAAAGAGCAAGTTCACAGAAAAACAGTTTCTTACTTGTTTTTTCAGAAATCTGATTGGCCTCTCTGAGTTTAACATGCAGGCTGAATGTGAACATAGTCATAAAAAGCCACACAGATTTACGTCACACTGTAAATTATCATTCATTGACTCACCCAGCTTGCCTTGCAACGGAGAAGGCTATTACTGGTTTAGCGGAAACAGCAGAGTACGTTTTGGCTAGTAGAAGCTAACCGTTAGCATTAGCAACACCACAACATGACAGAACTCCTCCAGGCTTGTGTTATTTGTGGCGATAAAACATTAACTTTGCAGAGCAAATGATGGTAGCGGAAGAGTCATGTTGCTGTTAGCCAATCAGAGGCGAGATGTTTGAAAAACATGAATGATAATGAGTACGAGTTGAAATCCTGCTGTTTTCTGCCCCCCACTACTCCAGCTAACTTCTACTTCCTGAAACAGGAGCACCAGAGCTGTTTTCCCACAGAAAACTAAAGACCACAGCAGATATTAGAAAAGCAAGTGAATGAGAGCTTTAAAAACGCTGTTTAGGAGCTACTGCTGCCATCTTCTTTGAGTTCACTAAGTTTCTTGACCAGCAGTTTTTCCACTAAATTATAGTTTATTACATCAGCAGCAAGTCCGTCTTCAGAGAAGAGAAAAAAAAAACTTCAGGAAATTTAAAGTTCAATGATTGAAACTTGTGTTCAAAGTAATGTGCAACTGGTACACTGACAGATGATGTGCTCATTTGTACCAAATGACATTTATTTTGGTACAAAAAAACTCACGTTGCACTCATGATGTCAGGTAGTGTGCAGATTGCCCTGTCCTGCACATTTTTGTCATTAAAGCAAGGGCGTCAGTTTGTTGTCAGAATTGCTGGGGACAATAACCATACACTTGAGTGGGGTTTAAAAATTGCTGGGGACAATAAAGTAGGCTAGCACAGGGGTCGGCAATCCGCGGCTCTGGAGACGCATGCGGCTCTTCCATCCATCTGATGCTGCTCTCTGTGCTTGTAAAATAATGAATGGATATTTAAATAAAATGCTTTATATTTTACTGCATTAATTTTACATCTGTATGCCAATTCCAAATGTAAAGATTGTCTGCGTAAACCTGAACAGGTCCAACCCAGTCTTACTGTGAGACCGGGTTGACGCGTCACGCTTGTGCGTAATCATATGCGCTTCCTGAGCTGAAGGATGTGAGATTCTGGGCTTCTCCTCAGACAGGTTCCTGGATGCGTCGCCACATTGGAGACAGGAACAAGCACTATTCAGCCAAAGTTTCATAATCAGGTTTGGCAGTGTGAGTGTCCCGATAGATCATGCGCCCTGGCTACTTGGCCAAGGGGTTGTCCCTTTGGCTGACTGGTTAGAGCGTATGACTCTCACCCGGGAGTCTGGGGATCGAATCGCGCCCGAGCCCTCGTTTCATTTGACTGTTTATTTTGATGGATAAACTCAAGGATGTTGCTTGGTTTGAAAGAATTACCCCGACGCAGGACGCACACTGATGCGCATGGATGAGCTGACCTTTTAATCGTTAACGCACATCGCGGAGGTCAAATATTCCCATCAGAACATCAGAGCTTTATACTGGACACTGTGTTCAGCGTGGCTCGGAGCGCCCACGGTGGACAGTGAGCTGAAGATCTGGGGTTCGCAGCGCAGCACAGAACCGGCGCATGCGATAAGATTTCCTCCCACTGAAACAGTCTGGAAACCCGGTCTCTCTGAGGGATGTGTCACTTGGAAAAATGTTCTTTTTATGAAATTATGAAACTTTGGCTGAACAGCGCTTGTTCCCGTCTCTAATATGGAGACGCATGACGCGTAGAGACATTTGATTACGCACAAAGTTTATGTGGAGCAGAAGCGGTCGGGCCACGGCAGGTGAAACGTTCCTAGCCTACATGAAGTGAAACTGTTTAATTGTAACATTAATATGTTACTGGACACGCTGGTCTGGTTGGTTAGACCAGTGTTTGAAGTGGAAAACACACACACACACACACACACACACACACACACACACACACACACACACACACCAATTAAAATAATGCTGATAGCGTGGACTAGAAGACAGGTGATGGTTTATGTATTTAAATGATGATCAGGCTGCTGTAAAATGTAATCTCCATCCACATCCAGACACAATTATCCTCTATTCTTTCTCTAGTTGCTCTGCTCTTGTCTGGGCTGATCAGTTGACGGTGCGCGCGGCGCACCTAACTAGCGGCTGATGCACATTTTACGCATTTGGAGAGGTGGGCTGGATGCTTTGCTTTTACTGGAAGATGGTCCACTTAACGCACGGGTGTAGACTACATATTAATGACAAATAATTGAAAATTAAATTGTGAGTTTTTACTTCATATTTTATAAATAAAAAGGACGGGGGAACACATTTATGACGTCTTTTTAAACTAAATTTTCTGGCGCGACCTGCCTGCTTCACTTAAGTCACTGCTTATTAAGGTTCGCCCAGAATTACCGTG